CGGGACAGCGGGCAGAAGAGGCCGGAACACCCGCCGCTGCTGCTGGGAGAGAGCTCGATGCCGTTCCCGCAGCCCATTATGTCTGCGGAGGTGTTTGCTCAGTTGGGGGGCAACCACGAGCAGTATCTTGGTAAGCGTGCTTGCTTGTTTGGTTACGTTGTTACCTGCGCTGCTTGGGCGATGTTGTGGGGTTTGCGGAGTGGAAGCGTTTGTGCAGTCCCTCGGTTAGCCTTCAGTGGTTCGACAAGTTTTGAGTGTAATCGTATGAGTCAAATCGTACGAAGCTGCCGTTTCTGTGCAGACGCTCAGTTTGCTGCAATTTTGGTGGGAGCCTCTCACGCTTTAAACGGCCTTCCAAGTGCAGCGCGCTGATTCCGTCCATCATCCCCATGTGCAGCTTACTTGAACGAGCAGCGCGAACTGCACGCCCGCTTCTTCCAGCAGGTTCACCTGCAACGCCAGCACAGTGGCCTTTCGCAGCATGGCGAGGGGCCTGCTTTCCCTGCCGGAGTACCCCCTCATTTGCAGCCCCCACAGCAGGTGTGTGGACCTGCTTCCTGTGCGACCGGCGCTGTCCTGCACTTAAAGACAAACTTTGAAATTTCAAAATAGAATTGAAAAGCAAGCTGAAGAAAGGTACAAGGTGTATGTCTGGTTTTAATTGGCTCAATTGAGACGGCTTACTTTCGTGCTCAGCAAATGGGTTACGGTCGTTTCAATCGCTGCCAAGCAGGGTTTGTATTCATGCCTTCGACCTCGGATCAAATGCTGCTTTTTGATTCATACGCTCGCTAGTCCTCATTACATGTCAGCTCATGATCACCTCATGCTGGCCTCCTGTTCATCTGCTCCACTTCCTCTTTTTCTGCAGGCCCACTCTTTGGAGCAAGTCGAAGCCGAGCAGCGCCAGCGCCAGCGTGAACGCGAGGAAGCCGAGCGCCGTGCACGCACCCCCTTAGAACAGCCTCCCTTCCTCGGGGGGCCCTTCCCGCCAGACATTCTTCCCCCCCACATGCGCTTCCCCGGCCCCGAGCAGCACGGCTGGCCGCCGCGCCCCCCCTTCGAGACACCCGAGCAGAAGTTTCACCAGGAGATGATGATACGTCAGCAGCAACACGAGCAGAACCTGCTGCGGTCCCAGTCCGGGGGGGTGCGGGAGGAGGCGCGAGCTCAGCCTGAGCTCCCCCCCTTCCTGCAAGGCGTCCTTCCCAGGGAGCGCGCGGGGGGGGTGCCCCCGCAGGAGCAAAGCATCCCCCCCGAACTGGTGCAAGCGGTTCAGGAAGGGAACCTGCCAGTGGAGGCCTTGGTGCAGTACCTCAAGTCGCTCGGCGTTTCGGCCGGCGAGGGGGGGCATGGCCAGGGGCAGGAGCACCCTGCCGCAACGAATGGTCCGCCGGCGGAGCAGCGTTGGGCGAGAGGACCAATGCCGAACGTTGAGCGGCAGACGATGCGGGAAGAGCACCCATCAAGAATGGAACCGGGTGTCGAGATCCAGGGGCAGATGCCGCCGTGGGGGGGCTTCCAAAACGGCGAGCACGTGTCCCAGGGATTGGGCGCACCGCAGATTCCGGGGGCCTCGCAAGGTTTGGTTGTTTCGCAAGACGAGCTGCGAGCACAGGAGTTCGAGCGAATGCACCAAGAGCATCTGGAGAAGCTGCGGCGGGGGGCTCCGGCCCCGCAGCAGCCGTGGGGAGCTCCTCAGAGCAGCGCCCGGCAGGCAACCCCCCCCGAAAAAGGGCCTTCTATGGAAGAGCCGGCGAGATATCACAATCGGTTTGAGGCGCCGGCGCCGAAACCGGACGGCCGTCCTCAGTGGGGGCCGGAACCCCAGCCGGAACCGGTGGTCGTGTCGTTGAGTGAGTGGAACAAGCAACCGGAGCAGCTGAAAGCAGGGCCTCCCGTTACGAGGCTTCTGGCACAGCCGCCGAAGGAGGCCCCGTGGACCGTGGCGGCGGCGCCCAAGGAAAAGAAGTCGTTGTTGCAGATCCAGATGGAGGAAGCCGAGCGGGAGAGAGCGGAGCGAGCGCGACTGGCAGCGGAAGAAGCGGCGAGGATTGCGGCGGGGGGTTACAGTGCGAACCAGAGCGGTGCGTCTCCGTGGGGGGGAGCGGGAGGGGGGTCCCGTCCCAAGACGCTGAAAGAGATCCAGGAGGAAGAAGCGCGCCAGGCTGCGGAGCGCAACGCCAAGGTGTCTCAGGCCCAGGGGGGTCCGGTGTGGGGTCCGAGCCAGGCTCAGGGTACCTCCCCGGTTGGGAACAGGATGGAGAAACAGGCGCAGCTGCAGGCGAGAGACACTTTGGCGGAGCAGGTGATTATGAACGCGGCCGCGGCGGCGCCGCAGACGCCCCCTCCCGGAAAGGAGGAGAAGAGGAAGCGGGCCAATGAGATGACGCCACCTGTCAGGACGATCACGGCGGAGGAGGAGGCGGAGTTTGTGGAAGCGGGGAGCGGGAAGAAGGGCAAGAAGAAGGGGGCGAAGGGCAAGCAGGCGGCGGCAGCGAGCAAGCCAGGTGAGGGGGAGGGCCTGACTTTCAAAGAGAGCGCATTGTTTGACAGTGATGGATATACCGAGTTGAGTGCCACGAAGTCCTTGGAAAATTTGAGTGCAGACGTGTTTGTCTGCCTGGTTTTATGTTTCAGGAACGTCCTGAAAGAATGCAGCGAAAGCTAGGACTTCTCAACGCATTCTACAAGCTTTTCCCTTCTCAAGGCTCATAGCCGTGGTCTGCTTCGTGCGAACTCTGCATTGCAACGTCCTCTCTACTTCCCCAGGGCATCATTCTCAATGTCTCACGGCATCTTTGCAAGGACTGCTTCACCGCTGCTTGTCATGTATCAATCAGCTCAAGTTGTAATCATCTCATAATGAAACAAATCCTCGTTATCTCAAACCTCTCCCCCCTTGCAGCGCCCACGCCGTCCCCCATGCAATCCGCATCCCCCTGGGCCGTCGAAGCCGCCGCGACCCGCCCGTCGCTGCGCCAGCTGGCGGCCGAAGAGAGCGCCGCCGCCGATGACACCCCTCCCGAGTACAGCGCAAAGTCCGCGGCCGGTCCGTCGCTCGCCGACTTCCTCCCTGGGCTGCACCAGGAGGAGAAACCGCAGCAGGCGCCTGCGTGGAACACGAACGGGGGGGGCGCGAAGAGGATGACGCTCAAAGAGATCCAGGAGGCGGAGCGGAAGGAAGCGGAGAGGCGGGCCGGGCAGGAGAGGGCGCGCCAGGCGGCGATGCCACGGCCTGCGCCGACGCAAGGTAAGCTGTTGTGCTTCGTTGATTGGTGGTTTGAGGGACGGAGACGTAGTGTGCTGAACGTTTGAAATGGGTTCATCGGAGGTGGCAATTGGTTGGGAACATCTTCTCGAGAACGTGGGAGAGCTTTGACGACGAGACGAATTGCTGAGTCCCCAGCCTGAAGGAACTCTCGAAAAAACGTGAAAGGGAAGTAAGATGGGAGTGCTAAGCTGTTACCTGAGCAGTGATCCGCGCATTTCGGCGGGATCCTACCACGCAACCCGGATGGAGTCCATCTGTGCCTTACAAACAGCATCATCACCCGTGGAATTCAGCGTTGAACAAGTGCCTCTCTTTCTGTCCAAAGCCCAGTTTGTTTAAGCCCATCACTACAATCTCCACAAAGAGTACATTGGGAAGTATGCTCTTACAAAGCCCTTACTATACAATCGCGAAGAGTACTGAAGCACCAGCTGACAAAAAAAGTACTGAACACGAAGGAACGAAAAGGAGAGCAGGGGGAGACTTTCTAACATCCTGTTCATTTATTGCAGCCCCCTCCGGAGCCCCGTGGCAGCGCTCGACTCCCCCGAACGCGTTCTTTCCCCCCGCTGCTGCTCAGCAACAGCCCGCCAACCCCCCTCCCAAGGCTGCCCCGGCACCCCCCCAGCACGTGGACGATGACGATGATCTGTTCTGGGACTACGGCAAGGACGTCACCATCACGCTCGGGAACGTGCCCAAGGAGCCGGCACAGTGGGTGCCTTATCCCTGGATCCTGACTTGATTCTGGTTCTGATTTTCAAACTCTTTGCTCTCTGAGCCTTTCTGCCGGGTTCTGATCGCCACTTTTGCCTCCGTGCCTTTTGTTGCCCGGTTCTGATTTTGACTCATTTGCTGTTGCTCCATTGCCTTTGCTTTTTTGTCATTGTGAACGTCCTTTTTGGTCCCCCTTGCTGCGGTTGTCCGGCCTCTAGGCTTCTGCGCTGCCAGCTTCTGTCCAGTCCATCCTCCGTCACCGCAAACACCCCCGTTTGGCTCTTTATACCTCAGCCGATAAATTGCAATGGTTCCACTTTTGAAACGCCACACATTGGCCCTTGCAGGCCCGCTTTCCCTACACTGAGCGGCCCCCCCATGCCGCAAGCTGGCGGCAACTGGGCGACCCCGAAGGCGCCGGCTCAGTCTGGTTACAAGCAGGTAGCGGCCCCCATGGTCGCCGGAGCGCGGGCCCCTGCCGGCGCGGCCGACTTCCCGACCCTGGCCCCCACTGGCGCAGCGGCAACAGCGACAGGAGCCAAGGCCAAGAAGAAGGGCGCGGGTGAGGGCTGTTTTTTTTGTAGGGACTGCTCGTGACCTTGCGAAATTGCGCGCCTTGATGTTCGTTCCGTAAGCTCTCAAATTGGGGGTTGCAATTCTGGGACGCCAATTGGGATGTAAGGTTAATGCGTAGGACGGGTTTTGTAGCTTGTCAGGAGTACGGGAGTTTGCAGCGACGGTTATTGGCACTCTTAGCACTCTTAGCACTCCTTCCGCTGCTTGAGCTTGGCTTCCTCTTGCTTGCACCTGACACGGGTTCGTCAGCCCGCTCCGATGAGGCTCCTCGTTCTAGCGCTAGTCTTCCTCTGCGTCATCTCATCCTTTGGAGGATAAGAAAGGAGCACTTGGTAAGTCTTGAAATGGACCGGGGAAGGGCTTCTACGTCTGACTAGCTCTCAAGATGTTCAAAGACGATGATTCTGGATGGATTCTGGTTCATTTGTGCACGTTTGGAGGCAAAGAAACGACTTGCCTAAACTGCTCCTCAAACGTTTCTGCGCAGGCGCAGCGGAACCTGCAGCACCACCCGCTTTCACCCCGGCAACCGCCAAGGCTGGTCAGGAGTTCCGGCGTTGGTGTGAGCAGTGGACGCGGAAACTGACGGGACAGGACGGTGAGTTTTGCAGTATTCGCTTCGATTTCGCAAGTAGTCCATTGGGCTCGAACAAGCGGGGCAATCACTTTCAGCGGGAGCTGTTTGCGTGATACTCGCAAATGGTGTCTGGTTTTCCTTACGTTGAGCTCGCTGGACCCATTGTATGCCCCAAAATATACGATCCAATTTTTGGCAGTCCTCACGCAATCCCGCGTCGGAAATGGATGCGCTAGGAAAGAAGTCTGTTGCGGAACTCCTCTTGTCCTGTCCGTTTCATGGGTATCGCAGGAAGTGTCGATTCCGATTCCTGATAGTATTCTGTCCAAGCTCTTGTCCTTCCTCGCTGCAAATTTGTTGATTAGCAGCCGTTCTTTCATGATTGTTAGCTAAAGTTACTGAGCCGTTCGCCCGACGTGTGCTCCTGACCATAGACTTTTTGCCCGCTTCTTGACCCGTTCCCTAACCTCCTTATTAACCCTGGTCTGCAGACCTGACCCTGCTCGACTTCTGCATGACGCTGCCGTCTGCTTCCGAGGCCGGGAACTACATCAGCGAGTACTGGGGCGACAAGCCGGAGGTGACCGCCTTCAAGGCCGAGTTCTTCAAGCGCCGCAGCGCCATGCCGGCCTCGGTGTTGCAGGCAGACTTCCTCGGGGGAGAAGCCGTTGTCGGAGACAGGTGGGCAGGTTTTGCATTGTGGAATTCACCGTTTTTCGGTCTTTGAAGTGGTCAGTTATGTTCTTGAGCGCTGCAGAGCATTGGCGCTGCAGACGAACGTCCTTGTGGTGGATGCCGCTCTTGCGGACACTCTCTGCGGATGCCGTATGGTCACCAACTTTATGAATATTCTTCTTGCTGTTCAGGCATGCGGAGAAGACTTCCAACGCAACTGTACGCGCAGCAGAGAGCACTGATGATGCTCAGAGGAGCACTACGGCATCAGATGGTGCTGGGAAGAAGAAAGGCAAGAAGGGCAAAAAGGTGGTTGACAACTCGTTGCTCGGCTTTAGCGTTCATAGCAGTCGAATCAACATGGGGACAATCGAGTCCGCGGCTGATGCGCAGTGATGTTGCCTGCACTCTTAGATTTGTCAGATGTAGCTGATTTCAGGTGACAGGAGAGGTTTAGTTTAGGAGTGGATTCTTTTGTACGAGGAGCTGAAATTTCAAAATCGAGCACGCTAAGAATGTGATCTTAATCTGTTTCTTCAGTGGTTCTCTATTGACTCAAAGCGCATGTCAGCTCACAATGCATTGAACGACTTTCTACGTACTGAAATCCAGTTTGTAGTAGTGCATGCGACTCGAGCTAAATACCGTATACCCTAGCCTTGTAGTTGAGGGCCTGAGGCTCCTCTTAATCATTGCATCCAACTACAAAATCTGAGTGCTCGTGATAATGATGGAATATATGCAATTGAACCTACGCTGGGTATTAGTATTGGATGCATTGCGATACCTAAATGCTTAGCTTGTTCTATAAATACAGCTGCATGTGCAAGCCCGGGGGCCCATGCATGCACATGGTACTGTAGGACTTACTACCCGTACCGGTATTTAATTTCGGCATCAAATAAATAATCATCTGCTTGACCGAAAATTTCAGAAAACATTGGAGCGTGATAATGGTTCGATAATGGTTATTTTAGCAGGTAGCACTTCGACTGCCGAAAGGATAAAAGGTTTCATAATTAATTAATCGGCGTCGAACTGAAGGTGCCGAAATCCAATACTGGTACGGTATTGTAGCTGCTAGCTGCAGGCTCTGACAATTGGACAAGATGGTCGTGAATTGTACATGCATGATCGACTCAGCGTATGATGGGCATGGTGCCACAGATGTCTGATACCTACCGTGACAGTTGCACGAAGTGCATGCACCAATCGAGATGTCCATTAATAGGATTTCACCTATAGGCTAGCTTATTCCGCAATCCTATCTGGAGGGGCTTCGGCACGACTCCTCACGCTCTAGTTCAACTTTCAACGCGTGGTTTTTTCCTACTTACCTCGACATACACATTGGCATCTGCAAGCTCAAGCTGGCAATCTGAGCCGGCAAGTTCAAGTACAAATACTACTAGAGTTGTACGCTCGCATCATCCCGTCTTGTTGATGATTGCCTCGGTAAGCATCCTCAAATCTCCCTCCAGGGACTCTATCCATCGTTATAGGCATTGCTGGTCATTCCTGTGGCCCTTCCCTGTGCCGTTCAGGTTGCCACCGCTTGATCTGGATTTCTTCAATAGAGAAACTAGCCAAGTGTTCCGTCGGATCTGCACTCGCTGTCCCCCGATCTTGGATAAGGTTCACTTGAATCAGGCCCTGCGGAAAAAGAAGGCCAGTATCACTCGCAGAGGTTCTGCTTGGACTTTTCAGAGTGATGGCGCTCTCAGCCTGTGCGTCCAGCTCGCATACATTGACACCGACTGCAAAGGTCCCAAAAGACGACACGTCGAGTCCCATTCAAAGGCAGAGGCTGAAGGCGAGCAAAGGGACTGACCTGACTAGACTATGCAATGCTACCCAGGATCAATGCAGTACATCATATCTGACCCAAGTTTGATCCCTCGCACAGAGGTGTCTTAAGTTCAAGCCGCCTCCTCCTCGTCTTATGCGCAATCGAACATGGACACGCTTTTGGAGCTGGCGGACCTTATATGTGGAGTCGAGTTTCGTCACAACGTCTGTACGTCGTCTAACAAGCCAGACTGGGGTTCTCGTAGGAACGGACAGCCGCAGACCTATCATGAGAGGGCTCTAAAGACCTTCACGTGAATGCCTGCCAGAAACGAGACAATCTGACACCACGAGAACAACACATAAGTGCGACGACTGCCTAAGACGACCTCGTAAACAGAGGTCCCCTCCAAAAGAACAATCTTCTCATACCGTTGACCAGGGAGCTGGTTGCCGCCCGAAGTGGTCGAAAGGCTCACCTTCACCACTTGTCGACACAGCCTGGTTTCTGAGTGCAGGTCCACCCACGTGTCCAGCCTGGGGGGCAGCCCCTCTGCTGCCACTATCACGCAGTACCTGGGAGGAATGAACGGGGAGCGTCGCTTACGAGGACCAACAAACAAGGAGAATGTATTGACTCTCTAGCTCCTCGTCTCCAGAGCTACCTGGATTCTTTCGATTGGTCAACGAAGCTGTAGAACTGCCGTGTATAAGGAAGAGTCGTAAGTAAGGGACGCCTCTCTCTGCTGCTGTCAGTGCACGAAGCTCTCAAAGCCCCTTTTAGCACCAATATTACGCCGGTGACCCGACCTTCCAACTTCGACGAGTGAATCTCATTCGAACTCTTAAGCACTATCCTGTGTGGTAAAAACTCGAACTTTGTGCTGCGTCTGGAAAATCAGAATCATTCCGCATGATCAGAAGTTCTCCACATGCTCGACCTCGGTTTTCTGCCTTCCCGCTTGAAGTTACTGTACAAGCAGCGAACTCGATCCCACCACCGAATGTCTGCACCGCTAGATCAACAAAGAGTCTACCAGTTGAGAACTTAGAGCGCAACCAGTCCCATCATCATCGAATCTAGAGCACTCTCAAAGAACCAAACTGATTACTAGGTCAGGAACGGAGACCGCTGCCGATCCTCCGGTTGACAGCTGAAGCGCAAGCGGTGACATCGGTTGGGAACATTGCAAACAGTTTCTTCGATAGATCTACGAGCACACCCACCCCCTTGTTTGAAAACACAAGGGGACTCGCCCTCTTAGACTTAGCGACAAAACAGAGCGTACTTCGATTTCCATTGGAACAACTTCGCACTCACTCTGAATGAATCTCTCCAGGGTGCCCCCGGTAGAGGACCCAGTCCGCCCCAAACTGGACGCCGTTCTTGACCACCCAGCCACTACACCGAAAATGGTGGTACGCAGTGTAGAGGGGGAGGAAGGTCGGCCGGCACTCTTGGAAGAGGCGCCACAGCTCGGTAGCAGGTATCCGGACTCCTTGCTGGAAGAAGTAGGTTTCCGTGAGTCAGCTGCTTTGGCTGGTTGCGACATGCTGAACAGGGAATGACCACTCAATCTCCAGCCCTGTGGAATACTCTGACACCTTGGACGGATGGCAAAGTAGTCAAGTAGTAGTCTCCAAGTCAGTGACATATTGCACATATGTTGCAGTCCTCTCTGAATTGATTTGAATCTTCAATGGAAACAAGGAGAAAGATGACGGTACGTCTGGTCGCAACACAGGGTAGAGAAGCAACGTACGCTGTCCTTGATGTGGAGCCAGCCCACGGCGTACGCTAGAAAGAATGCCTCCTCTAGTTCAAGCTGCGCAATGAACGACCGGCGTTCGATGGACCGTAACACCTCCTCCGGATAGGCTGCACAAAGGATAAGTCAGTGTTCTAAAACAGTTGCACTGCTGGGGGGGCCTGTACATTGTCCCACCACCAATTTGAGGGTGGGCAAGAAGCCATGCTTCAACGAGTCTACAGCAGAATGGTGATCATTCTTCCAGTTCCAAATCTGACCTCTAATGGCTAACACCATCCGAAAGGCCGTGGAACATTCTTGCTTTGTTTTTGCGCTAGGTGTCGAATTCCGCAGCCATTGATGAGGACGCTCAACCAAGGCCCCTTACCCTGCCTTCTAAGTATCTCCGCATGGGGCAGCGGCTTGCCAAAGGCGCCCCTCTCTAGAAGTTCCACCTCATCTTCAGAAGGTTCTAGCCACACAAACCCGCAGTGGAAGATACCCACCACTGGAAGAGTCTCTTGCATCTCCTGGACGAGCTCAGCCATACCACTACTCGGTCGTGCTAACTTTTTGTTTTTCCACTTGACAGGGATGCTAGGTGCAGGAATGCTCCCTGAGGCAACTTCATCATCCTCCATCGCTGAGGTTAGTTGCTTCTGTTGCCCGCACCGACTCTGGAGAAATATCTACGACAAAAGCTCGCGCAGCGTATATTGCAGCGCCACGAGAAGATCAATCAGGGCAGAAAGGATTAGGGCATTGAATTCTGGTCTTACCCTGAAATCTATGAAGAGGAAGGAGGAGCTCCAAAGATTTAAATTTCTCACCAGACAGAAGCTGAACTCTCAGACTCAGAGCAGAGTCTGCGAATTCATCCCATGAAGAAATGCAACTTGAACTTGTGACCAATTCTAGTTGTCTAAGAACCGGTACCGTACTGAAACAGGCGGGTAGGTACCTACCGGCGCAAATCCTCCTCTTCGTGTAGAGGAATCCATGCAGACTCCCCCTGCTCCTTCTGTGACTCCAGCTGGAGGAAGAGTGGACCATACTCGAAGAGGAACAGATCAAGGAGATGGTGACGACGCGCTGGCATGCAGAGCTCTGGAAGCCAAATTCCAATTTGCTTGTTCAGCTTGTTCAGCAACAGAAGGCCGCCATTTTCTGCAGCAAGGAGACGAAGTCTGTGCTAGGAGAGGCCCTTGACTCGCCTAGAGGGAAGTAACGAACCAAGCAACCATGGCAGAGGTGCATGCATCGAGGCCTGTGGCAGCAGCACCGGCATCGTCCCATGCTACAGAGGAGATGAAATCGGCGGTTCACAGTATCAACCCGCCGAAGCAAAAGAATGTCCACAAGGCGCTTGGAGGAGGCCAGCGTGAGTTTTCTAGCAGAAGTCTGCGTGTCAATGTCGCTAGATGGAGCCTTGAAAGCAGCTCTTTTCGCAGTTTAGGGGTTTGCGGGTATGTCTTTGTGAAAATCATTACTTGGCTCTGTACTCAAAGTCAAATCTGACAAGCCTCTCTTCTCCATGCAGTGGCTGATGTTCTGCTCTGGAAGAACATGTATCTCAGCGGAGGGATCTTGGGAGGTGTATTCTTTGCGTACATCCTGTTCGAGTGGTCCGGGTATACCCTTCTGTCGCTGATCGCGAATGTGCTGCTCATCCTGGTTTCGGCGCTCTTCATCTGGTCATATGCAGCTTCTCTGCTGAACAGGTGAGACTAATGCAATCTGCATGCTTGCTGCATGCAATGTTAGATCTTGAGCACCCAAGCACAGCTCTTTGATCTTTGGAGGACAGCACTTCGCTCCAAACGCTCTGTTTGCTAAAATTGGTGTTTAGAAAGTTGCATAAAAGGAGATGTGCTAAGAGGTTCAAAACTTGCTCAGCTGGATTTATTACCGAAAGCACGAGCAATCCAAAGCCGATCAGTTCAGAGGATCTCTTGTTTGCTAGATCTGTGTCATCTGTAATTCTGCTTGCAATATGTGCTAATGAAATGCGTGACGCACTTGCGTTTTTTGACCAAGTGCCATCCGACGCACCCACTCTGGAGTATCCTGAGTTGCCTGCGAAGGGGTGTTAATCGAAGCACACTCCGGAATACCTATTTAGACTTCCCTGTGAAGACTGTGATTATGAGCAAACAACCGCTGATTGTTGATTTCACCATTTTGACATTTTGACAGCTCTTCTTGGGCCTGGTTGTGTTGGATTTAGGCAACATTGCTTGTCAACATTGCTTAGTTTAGGCACCATTCGTTGATTTTCGTTCAATGGTAACATTGCTCGCAGTTTCAAGCACCTCTCGTCTTTCTTTGTTCAATGCCATGTCTACGTATGGTCAAAGAGAGCCCTGCAATCTGGTAAATTGGATCTTCAACTGGAGCCAGATTGTTGTAAGAAGCAGCGCCATAGCCGAAACTGCACCTGGAATGCGACCCAGTTGAGAGTCCTTTGCTGATCATTGCCCCATTCCATTGCAATATTCCCAGCTTTTTTTACAATACAAGGTTCATTAGTTTCACAAGAAACCATGGGAAGCAACTGGAATCTTTCAGTGTAGACATCGCCCGTATGGAGCCGACGACAAAGACTGAGGTTAACAGTTTTACAGAGGGGTAGAAACAATGAACATCACGCTTGGTCTTAAATTCTCGTTGCCCTTGCTGGCAGGAACCCTCCTCCCCTTCCGAAGCTTGAACTATCAGAGGAACTTGTAGACTCGATCGCGAAGGAGCTGCGCGTCACACTGAACCAGGGTCTGAAACTTGCCCATGATGTTGCTCTCGGAAGGGACTATATCCTGTTCTTCAAGGTAAGCAGAGGGTTCTGTCGGGTTCTTTGTGCACTTCCAATTTTGCAGCAACTTGGTTTTATCAAGCTCGCTGGTGATGACTCGCTTGCCAAGATCTGGGTGCAGTTATTGATTGGCGGCACAATCCTGAAACCGACGCTGAAACCATTAGTGAGATGGGTTTGGTGTTGACATCTAGACCTTGCCTCATTCCAATCGTCTGAATGTACCTGACTTTGTATCACGCTCTCTTCCAGTGCTGTCTGAACAAGCCTAGTGTGGAAGTAAGGGCATCATTCAGAGATGGTGTTGGAGATGTTTTGTATTCTGCCTTCCACTGAGTTCCATTTCTGCCTACCACTGAGCATTAAAAAGAGGCTTCCTCTGAAGTTGCGAATTTGATCACAAGTACTTTCTTGCAGGTCATCCTGTCGCTGTACGTGATCTCGACTGTGGGCTCGTGGTTCAACCTGCTGACTCTCGTCTTCCTAGGTACACCGCTTGAGCTTGTTTTGATTCTTATGCTCAGCCTCTTTCTTATGAGCATATTCAATGTCAGCTTGCTTTCATGTTGGTTTCTCTATACTCATCAAGCCCTGACTTCTACAGAGACATACAAAGACACTCCTTTTGTCACAGTTTCCATGGTGGATTGATGCAAGTATGATCATCAGCCGCAACTTCAAGTGACTTACCCCTTGTGTCCTTCTTTCTGCAGTGGTCCTGATTGGGTTCACGGTGCCAAAGTTCTATGAGCAGTACCATGGTGAAGTGGACAAATACATCAAGCTGGCTGGAGATGAAGCGAGGAAATACTACGCAATTGTTGATGAGCAGCTTTTGAGCAAGATACCACGTGCTGGTGCCAAGACCAAGAAGGTGGAGTAGGATGCTGCAGGACGAGGGGAGGACGTGTACATACGGTTCGTTCACTGATATTTTGCAGCGCCTTTCCGCAATGAAAACCCTCCCGTAGGCTTTAGAAAACAGAATGCAGGTCACAATATAGGGTCTCAAATAAGTCTTCGTTATGCTTTCAGTTGGTGGACACGGAACTTTTGGGGTGACGGATTGTTGACCTGTTTATGCGATAGACTTGCTCACAGATATATGGCACATTAGCAATGCGTCAGTGCTTTCGTCACATGGTCAGGGTAGATGACAGGGGCGTTATTCCCTTTGACAAGTGCATCATGTAATCTGCATCATTCTGGATGCACAGTGTGTTACACTGTCTCCCCTTTGTAAGGAAGCACGAGAACACTAGCTAGACAGCTTTTGGCTCAGACCTGCAATCCAAAGCCGTTTTGTCGCTTGGGCTTCTCCATCAAGTATGTGCAATATTCTTTATGGTAGGTTGGTAGGTTTCCGCTTGGATGTTTAAAAATTGCATGGTCCCTGGCAGCAGCAAAGATGGTCGGATCATCATGCTTCTATTGCATTGATGCTTGTTCATGTTGGCCACTGAAAGTGCAATTTGTTGCGCACTTTGAATACTTGTGAATCGGTTATCGTCAAATGCATGCATTGTGGAACACAGTTGCAAGCCAATGCTCAGACAATGGAACACTATGGGAGAATGAGACGCCTGGTATATGCTATATACATCATGAATCCATGTGCCATGCAGCCTGTGGTTATAGAATTTCATATGTCAAAATACAATTTTATGGTTGCCATCGCGATAGGCGTAGTATATAGTTAGCCGCCTGCGTCGAGTTGTGCTCAGTTAGCTGAGCTGAGCGGATCGCGACTCGGCTATAGCTTGTTACATACTGAATGAACAATGCATTGTATACGTAGCTTCAAGTCCGTGAGTTATGTAAAGATCGTGCCGGATATCTGCACAAACTTATAGGCGCATTTTTATTTGCCAGAGCATGCGAGTCGGAATGCAGATGTCCATCATTGGATACATGAGGGCCAACGTACACAACGCGTTGCCTGAAGCTCTGGAGTCGACCAGATTGTTATGGGGAACTCAATGAGTCACTGAATTGAATTGACTATTTAACGTCGGTTCGGAGCCGTGGTCGACTTGCACTTGACTTCCTGCAGTGCAAGTCGCAACATCTCGCGATCACATTTGCAAGTATAAGTTTTGCACCCGTGAATATTCATCGGCGCGAGGCCTTAGCAAAATTGCTCATGCGTGCATGATACTAAATCAAACCTTAAACCATAGCAACGGCGTATGACCATTACTTTGGTCCGCCTTGACATACATCAAGGTGGATGCCACAAATGTTCTTCGAAAATCGTATGCGAGCAAATGTTTTGGAAGTCTGCGCAAACTGCCGCCTTTGATCCTGACTTATTGATACAGCTAGCTACTTAGTCTCCTTTTGATATCATAGTACAACCTAAGAGGATCGATTGAACCCCAGGCTTCTTCTGGCTATCTACCGGCTTTAAGCTCATCTGGTAGTATGGCCACAGGTCGGCAAAACGAAGCTTCGACCTATTGTCAATCCTCCTCGTCCGCCCCAACCCAATCCGCAAAAGCAAACAAAAACTCCTTGAAGGAGACTGTACCGTTAGCATCCCAGTCCATCTCTAACCACCGCGGTCCAACAACCGAACGAACGCCCCCTGATGGTCGTCTCAAGTTACCGCATGTCTCTGCAAAGCTGTTTGTAATCTCATCCTTGCTCACATATCCACTTCCGTCCTTGTCACAAAACATGAAAGCATCAACAATGCTTTCAACTGCTTTTTGCAGCTGTGGGGACAGCGCATTATCCCTTCTTGGGGGAGCCAGGAGGTAGCTCAGCGCGATGATGACAACAAACTCCCGGAAGTCGATTTTCCCGGATCCGTCCATGTCACTCTCCTTGAAATAGGCTTGAACTTCGCCTTCTGGAATCTGGAAGTGGAGGTCCTTAAAACAGCTCTGCACAAGTGGAGGAGGAATAGACAGAATGCAAGTGAGTTAAAGGGGGGGCTTTCTGATCAGCGAGGTTACAACTTGATTTCAAAACATGTGCCAGGCAGCTTTCCCCATTGTTGTGTTTGTATTGTGCAAGCACCGGTGCCGCCCTTAAGAAGCACTGCTCGATGTTTGGAACATTAAATGCCATAAACCTGAGCTAGCTAAATGGCGCGAAGCTGAAAAACTATCTCAATGGATGGCCTGCTTCCGAGAACTCTGCAGACTATGAGCTGAAACTGACCATTTCAACAGCATAGACGCGATGAGCCACTGCTCGTACCAGTGAGCGGAAGTGTTGCAACCCCGGATCTTCATTCCAAAACAATCAACACCGACAGCCCCTCTAAATCTGAGTTCGACTGTATTTAGCAGTTTGGATAGAAGGACAAAGTGAATGCAATCGAACTGGGAGAACCAGAGACATCCTGCAATCAAAGCTTGCAGTTTGCTCCTACTTGGACTGTTGGTTGGCTTTAAGCTTGCCAAGTACCTCAAGGAGCTGCTTCCAGAGTTTAGTTGCCTGCCAGCAGCAGAACGATTTTCAAAAGTGCAAATTTTTGGGTTGCTCTCAGAATACCGTCGCTCTGATACCTGCAGCAATTGTGACTACGTTCTGGAAGGGTTCTTGCTCGCACGAGCAGCAAATTGACTTGAGACAAACTGATAAGGCTGCTGTTTCAAGACACTCCCATCCACATTTGACACCTTGCATAGCAAGAGCAAGCCCTTCAAATTGACTGCAGTCTTAGCACTCAGCGTGACAGCTTCAAAACGTACCTTCATCTCCTCAAGGTCTATCGTCTTACTCTTATCCACATCGAACTTGTTGAATACCTCTCGCACTTCACAAAATGCTTTGTTGATGACCGGGAACTTTAGCGCAACTGCATCAAAACTGGGGGGCACCTTCCGGTTGGGGTCTTTGTGTCTGGCCACAACCGCGGCCACCATCCTTTTCTCAATTTCCGACACAACCTCCTCCCTCCGTTTGCTGGACTTTTGCCCCATGACGACCCCAATGGAATTCAAGCGCTGGCCTGTTGATCGCCCCTTGCTCGCTTCACAGGAATTCCCTTTCCTCTCTTTACAACATCCTGAAGCCTTCCTCTCTCGCCCTCTTTACAAAGGAAAGATGGTGCCGGCGCCACCTTGGCGATATTTTACTGGCAGCTTGTAAAGGCGGATTCTGAGGTTGTTCAACTTGAAACCATCACGTGCCATGTGCAATTTGCGTGCGGCGACACCGCAAGCTCAGCTGCTTTAACAAGCTGCTTACAAGTTGCCAGTCAGAGCTTCAACCCTAATCCAAACCCCTAATTCGGACATGTTGGACGCAATTGTTCTCAGGTGAACGTCCGACACGTCCGCAGAAATGGGACACTAAAAGAAGCAGCTCACAGGATCACACACACACAGCTACCTAGGCCCAGGCCCAGGGATTACTTTTATCATTGTCAGGGGCCAAGGAACCTGAGAATTGGCGTCAAAGCCTTGCTGTCAGGCTCAACCAGCTCAGAAAAGGAATGGGCGGCGCTCTTCAAAAGTGCCTCGGCGCACCTGCACCTGAAACCACCTCAAGGGAATTGCCCACCAACTTAGCCGGCCCCTCTGACGAGCCTGCCCCTGTCAGTCCTCCAGAGTTGGCCCCTGCAGGCCCCCCGGCGCCTCTGCTGAACAGGAACGGCATGGCTGAGAAAGGCGGTGTGAACGGGGCCCCTGCAGCTGAGCATCTGAGCCGCATTAGCTCAGTCCATGAGGAGCCAGGACTTCAGCAGCCAGTCTTAACACCGACGAGCATTGTGCACACAGCGCCGCCATTGGATGAGGCTGGACCGTGGGAGGATGTGAGCTTTGTTCTGCATCCTTCTATTTTCATGTGAATGTATAATGCGCCTGGAATCATCAGACATCAAGGATAAAAGGCGCAATGCAGTGAGCTTCATTGAAAGGATGTTGATTTTTCAAGAACCACATTGTGGAAAAGTCAAACCTCAAAGTCTCAAAGTCAGATTACTGTTTAAAAAGAGAAAATGTTTTGCACATGATGACCTGGACATCTGGTAGCTTGAAGATAGCTGGCATTGAAAGTAGGAAGAAAAGCGTGTAGCTCCAATAGTTTTCTTTTTAAGATTCATCGAAGAGGCATCTTTGAGAGTATGCTCGACCAAAGTTTCAGCCCCACGTTGCAGTGCATATGTCTACAGAGCCAGGCAGATTGGTCAATTCCACTCAATGCAGCAGACACTGGTTCTGGCTCTGATCATTTTCACAATCACCCAACTCACCACTGTGTCACAAAATGCTAATAACACATTGTTGCTTAGTCAAAGCAGTTCGCATAGCAACCACAAAATCGCCGGCTTAGAATCTACAATGACATCCGAGCTCCATATCAGAAACACTCACTTTCACACAGGTTAATTGGCTAAACGCCTTCCTGCAACAAAGTTGGCCCAGCCTGAACGAGGCTGCTTCTAAGGTCGCCAGAGAGTCAATTGACGGCATTTTGAAGCAATATCAGCCGGATGCCATTGAAGTGATGCGGGTGAAGAGCCTAGACCTGGGGGAAGTGCCACCTGTATTCCAAGGTAAGTCCTTTGCTTTGTCCTTTCGTTCTTGTCCCCTACTGTCTGGGAAAGTCTTTGCAAAGTGGGGGAAATGCACAAAGGCCAGACTTGACAATCTCTATTGATACTTTCGGAACTTGTTGTTTGTCCAAAGGCAGGCACTTCAGTGAGCTCTTCCGTTGACTTTTTGCGACAGAGTGCGATGCAGAAGCGAGGAACTGCAAAGAAGGCTGGAATTGTCTTTACATTTGTAAAATCACTCATGTCGTCAACTCTCTGCATTTTGGAGGAGTCATTGCTGACACGTAGATACGACGCTCGATCAGCATTATCTCCCCCAGCCATCCAAGGAAACCTTCCCATCAGATAGAACCATTCTGGTAACATTGGTACAGAACATTGATCCTTGCTGTGTCGCAAGCATTGAGAGCGCCAACTTGCTTACGGAAGTAGCATTAGCACGTGTCAAGGACTCGGCTTTTAGAGGAGGGAGAGCACTGAGCACTTGGCGACCATAACATGTATTCTCTTGCAGGGGCCTTTCGAAGTAACCGCGAGGTAACGATTTGCCATTCTCAGGACCGACTTGGTGACATCCTGCTCGATCTTAGAGCAGAGGTTGCCCAAAGTCCTGCCCGAAAGCCCTAGAAACTTGAAGAGCTGAACATGAAGTCTGAAGCTTTCTTTCTGCTGGTTGACCAGAGGTGCGCGTCCGTACTGAACACGAGCCGGATGAGATCCTACTGGATGTTAAGCTGGACTGGATGAAAGGCAAGCCGACGATGGTCCTGGAGATCAAGCCGCGCTTCTCGTTTGCGCTCGCAATCAAGGTGCGCGCGCTAATGTATTTGTCATTGTGAACCTTAACGGAAGTCCTGATTTGAGTCTTCATTGTGAATGCTGATGCCTCCTTTGCTGATCAAGGAAACTCGTGTCAGCGACCAGGTTCACGACTCTTTCTCGTCAGTGCTTCTGTTGGTAGTATTGCAGAACAAAGCCCTTGCCAATTCCGACCTTCAATGGTTTTTCCGAGTACCCTGTGCCTACGAAAATCTTCCAATCTCCTCCTCCCGATGACAAATCAGTCGTTCAACATTTCAGTTGTCTTCATGTATACACGGCGCACTTTTTGTCCTGTTTGCGAAGCTTCTGAGCTAGCTCCCGAAGGCCACTTTGGCAGTGGCCCTTGCTATTTTCAACTGTGATTCTTCTACTATCCGTCAAGTCTGCACGCAGTTGTAGCCGCGAAACCGTTGAAAACATGGAGCTAGTAGCAGTTCAACATCTGACATCGTGGACTTCTCGAATCTCTTCAGTCCTAGCCTCCCCGACTCTCATTGTGACTATCAGCCTCCGAAGTTTATGTTGGTTCCAATCTGCGAGCACCTCGGTGTTTCTCAAAGCCTTCGCTTTCAAACCACCAAGCACCAGAATACCTTGCAACCTTCGAAAAGAAGACCTAACCTCTTACACCTGAACGCAAGGTTACTGAGCGAGAAGCCTTCTTTTTTTGCAGCTCAAGGATCTGGACCTGGTTGCGTGGATGCGCATTGCGTTTAAGCCGCTCACCGGCGTGCTGCTGCCCTGCTTCGGGGCGATGACGATTGCAATCCAGGAAGAGGTCTGTCCCTCCTTTCTTCCCTTCTCCTGCCAGTTGGGCTTCCTACAAAATGTGCTCATTTCTTCACTCCTGCGTTTGTCCTTCGGACGTTCTGAGTCTCATCTGTCGAGGTTTGGCTGCAGGCCTTTCCTAGATAGTGAGACGATTCTAAGCGGCCCTCGATTTGCGAGAGAGTAAGAGGGACGAATGATCCAGACGTTCTGAACGCATGCGAGCCCACACTTTACTCTTGCCCTCCAAAATCAACCTACGGACAAACGATAGTCTTGGAAATTGATTTGACATTATTGCCAAAGTCCTAAAGGGGTTTAAGTCAGGACTGCTCTTACGGATCTGTAGTGTCATCCGCCCGACGGTTCGAGAAAGACCCCGACAGAGGGGTCCCCAGGATAGCAAGCATCCTATGTCGTCAGCGTCTCCAGATGTGATGAAACTTTACTCGCCCTGTTTAATATACGGGGGGCGTCCATTAGGGACTTGGAAGACTTCAACACTATCGAAAGCCGCTCACCAGAAGCCAGATCAAAGCTAGGCAACTTTGCTGCGCTCTTTCTGGCGACCCCAAAACGCTTCCGACCGTAGCAGCTTCTGCAAACCCGTTGGCAGACTGTCCCGTCCTCAACACACACGTCTTTTCAGAATGTATTATTCAGAGCTCATATCAATTGACCCAACTTCATGCAATTTTCGGCGTCTGATCCCTGTGCGGATGCCTTCTGCAGCCCCACGTGAACTTCCAAATCGAGGCGCTTGGCGGGGTCACCAACCTGATACCCGGGCTGGATGCTCTCATCGACAGGTGACGTCACCTCTCCTTCCAATCCAGCTCTGCTGTTTGCACCCATCCTTTGTCGGTCACATGTTCGGCTTTCTTTGAAAACGAGCTCAGAGGAGCGCTCGTGGAACGTGATCGTGTAAGATTGCCCGTGAATGAGGTGGGTCGCATGTGTCGTCGTTTTTTCAACTCCTTCCCCCCTCTTCACATGGCAAGCCTTCTTGTTGTCTCAAAAGTCCTTGTCGCATGTATCCGGCGTTCGCGAAGTTCAAGTACTCGTCCAAAAGACCTTTCAGGATCTTGAGTCGTTGATTGCAGGTAGAGCGAACACATTAGTTCTGCCTAAAAGCAATCGGCTTTGGGTTACTTGCTCTTCGATTGTGGGTCGGAGTACCGAGTCCAACTCTTTTTTCCTGAATAGACTCAACCGCATTTCTTTGTGCTTCTCGCGCCACAGGATGTTAACTTAATCACTTTACGCAAGAAGATCCATACAGCAGTCCCATGCCACATGTTCCGGGGCTCCCAACGGAGATTTTATGTTGGGGGTCGAAGAGCTTCTGTCGTTGGCCTATGTGTGCCCCTTAGTTTTGAGGTGCTTTGTTGACCTGCCAAACGCTTCTCAGAGTTTTTTAACGGATGGCGTCTGTCAGAGGAGCGAACCTGTACTCAACACGTGCACGTGACCAATTAGATTATTGCGGGTATTCATCTGCTCACAATATCAGACGGCTCCCTTATTCTGCAGCACTGTCAAGGGTGCCATCGTTGACGCCCTGCAATGGCCCAACCGAATCGTGGTGAGTCCCTCTAGACAACAAGTCTGCACGCTTTGGCTCTTGGGCTAAAATTTTGCCGCCCAAAGTGCTCAAATGGAGCATTTAAATCGGGGCTTCAAGAGACCCCGTCCTTCAAGCTTTACCAGCCCGGTCCTTACCCCGATTCAGCACAGTCAAATATCTTTTCTGAAGGCAAACAATGTCTGATGAAAGTGTGATTGCAATGCCCGTGACGGGCATTGATTCCATTGTTTGCGATTTGTGCACCCGTCTCTCCATTCACACCATCACCGAGACGCTTCTCGCCGAGATTCGGTCCTGATGTCAGCACCGGCCCAGGAAGCTGACGTCACGACCCCACGTGCAGGTGCCAATCATCCCACGGGAGGATAATTACAAGTGAGCCGCTCGCTGCCACCTGGTTTGAAAGGACTGGTTTTTGGGGGCGCCTGCTCGAGGAGAATCGAGGCTGTCTCTGGCTGCCTGTTGAACTTGCTGCGATTGGTCTGGGTACTTCTGCCATCGCTTATGATTTCCGACGCGACTCCGACCTCGATGCGTATGGGCAATGGAAGATTTCAAAATTTCTGGCTGTCTGCCAAGTTGGCGAGATTGCTTGTCGGGAGACGGGCAATTATATAAGACATGGTCGTTTCGATGAGCGAAAGACGTGCCGGCAGTCGCTTCTTATGTAACGTGTTCAACTTTCCATTGCAAGCCTCCAAACTTCGTTGTGGAATGATGAGTCGAAATTCATCTTCCGGTGACTGTATCCAAAGACCGTTTCTTCTCGGTTTGTACTTTTATTAGTTTTACCTGGCAGCGAAGTCGGAAAGCACGTGCTTCTGATCTGCACAGTCCGCCACAATCCACAGACATCCGAAGAGTCCAAACTTGGAACAGAGCGCGTCATTTCGCCAACATAGCGGAATCCGCTTCCGCATCCGTGCAGGGACCTTTTGTTCTGGCCTTCTGGCGAGTTGCGGATCTCGAGCATCGCCTGCGCCGACCTCCCCACCATGCGCAGCCTCACTGACGTGGCAGGGGTACCGGACCCCATCGTCTGGTTTTATGGTACGTACCAGCTCGCCTTCCCGTCTGATCGTGGGCCACGTCGTACTGGGTTGACTCTCCCGAAATGGAAGCTAAACTTTAAAGTTTCAGAAAGTTGCCCATGGTCTGAGCCAAGAAGTTCGACTCGGTGCATGACTACTTCGACCATAATAGTAAGGTTCTGCGTCGACCGAAAACTGCTAGGCTCGCCAGCTTCGCATTTCCGGTCCACGTACAGCTTTGTAAACTACCGTTCTGTACTAGGTCTGTACTTTTTGTGCCACGTGATTGATTGTAAGCGTTCTCGTTGGTCCGGAGGACCGCAGATGAGCGTTCACTCTCTTCGCTTGACACAGGACCTTAATGAAGTCGGCCGAAGCGAAGCGGTTTGTTGACATGGTATGTTTTCTGAGCAACAGCGACTGGGCCGGGGTCCCTGACCCGTTCTCGTGCTACTCTTGGTTCTATGATGCATAAGCTCCACGAATATCAACACCACTCTTCTGTGGCACAGACGAACTCATAACCCTAACCCACCCTAACCCCACTCTAACCCCCACACTAAGCCCACCCGTCCCCTCAGCTTAACATCATCATTCACGCGCTTCTCTCCCCAATGAATCGAGACTTGTTCGGTGCAGTGCGCAAGAAGGCGGACCGCATCATCAAGACGACGCCCCAGATCAACACCCGGAACCCCACGTGGGAGGAGGAGCTCAAAGTCATGGTCGAGGTGCGACAGTGCCGCTCTTGGGGCCCTTCACCTGGGACCCAAGATGTTGATTTCGACGAAGTGTTCGATAGCTACCACAAAGGCAGGGAGTATGCCATATGGTCGACTGTCGTAAAACTCGCACCTGAGAGTTTGCAGACTGGCCGTGCAACATCTTGGGTGCGATTTTATGGTGCCCGAGGCTGACGGTTTCCTCAGGCCGTCAGCAGATTTTGTCGCCAACATTCCTCTACATTCTGCTCCGCCGGCTGGTCCCGAATCTTCGCCAGCATCCTTGGATCGTGCATGCACTCCAGCACTTTCTGTCTTCTCATTTCGAGGACCACGCTTGCTGAGGCGACCTCCCGTTTCAACGCTATCATAGCTTGAGTCTGAGCTTCCGGTGAACTTTCTGGCTTTCCGAGAATCCAGTGAATTCTCGCTGTTTTCTGCGGCTCCTTTTGCTCCTTTCGTTCCGCGCGGTTAACGTTTCTGATACCACCCCGTCATTATATGAATCGTAGAAATCTTGTGATGCTAACGGTCATTGCACGTGGTTGCAAAGAGTTCCTTCGGTCAACACCCCGCACCTGGCGAAGGTCCGCAAGTGGTCCTGTTATGCCGCGTAGATGTTGCCGTTCACGGACCGAGTCTCCTTCCCATGCACTGTCTGTTTCCCACGATAACCGCTTCCTGGATACTGGTGGACACCTCACCTTAACCGAGCAACCTCTGTGCTTTTTGACCTTGAAACTCAATCCATGTGTATCTTTCAGTCTTCAGTCGCATTGTTAGTTGGGTTACTTCCATATGCTACACAGAGCCCTCGCGGACGTCACAGTGGCTCCTAAATCGGAGCACCCTAGGTGGCTCTGCTTATCCTGGTTCCGTTTCAAACTCTGATTACGCTGACTGTGTTCCTTGTCCCCTTTCGCAGGATCCCGCCCTCCAGAATTTGACTGTTGTCATCATGGACCAGGAAGTCCTCGGCCGCGCAACTTTCATCGGCATGGCCGTCATTCCGCTCGCCGGAATTGCGGACGGCGAGGAACGGAACGTCTCCCAAGACCTCCACGTGGAGGCGTTTTTCATGCCCGAGGAGCAGAAGGCCAAAGCGAAGAACGCGGACCAACTCCGTGGCAACATCAGCTTCAAGATGACGTGGCACAAGTACCTGCCCGAAGAGGTTCCTCCCGTTCCGGCGCCGGTTCCGCCCAAGGCGCCGGAAATGCAGCCAGCACCGGACACAGTCAGCGACATCCCGGTGGCCGCTCCTGCGACGCCGGCAACGCCTGAGAAGTGACCTGCGGTCGATGGGTCAAAAACGAGTTGATGATATCTTGTACATACCCAAAGTTTGTGTTGCTCACAGAGATGAATTTGTCAAAGGAGAGTCGGTTCTTTGTCTCCCGGGGCTGAAAGCATATTTAATCGATTGTTGATAGGAGACCCGACAGCAACATAGTCCTACAAAGGCAACTTATTAAGACGTTCGGATGAGTCGAACCTCTCACTGCCGTCACGCGTGCTGGGACAATCTGCTCTGAGCACAGTGGCGCTTGTGACCATCGGTTGTAACAGGTTGACCTGCTGAAGTTACTTCAGCTACAAGCTTTTGGTTGACACTTGATTTTTATACAGTCAAACAGAGGTACTTGACCTTGACAGCTATAATTTAAAGTAAGCAATTCTTTAAGGTTTTTGGTCGGCAAACTTCGTCAACACCAGCCATAACAGTCAAGTGTGCTACAGCTCAGTGGGCAGTTACATCGATGGCTTAGATGGTTGCTTAAAACACCACGTATTTGATCCTTAGCTTTGTGCCGGCCGTGCGGTTCGCTAGAGGCTCATGAAGTCAAAGCAGCTACTCATTTCTCTTGTTCTGCAATTAAGTGACCTTCCTGCACATTGTCTAGTCCAGCGCACCAATCGACGAATAATTGTCAATGTGGCTGAACTGAGGGCCCCCGTGGGCATGGCTGCGTACTAAGTAACATCAAAGCTGCATGTTGGTTTGCGATGCATGGTGCGCTATAGTGGAAAGGGACTCCGGTTTTTGATGTTGCAACTCATGTGTCGAGCCAAGCTAGATGACTATATATATGTAATCAACTCACGTTTTCTGAAAGTTTGGAGTCGTCCAAAAGCCATGCGTGCAAAAGACGTTATGTAAGGCGCGTGGTCCTTGTATAGCCCTGCAAAGTTCAAACAGGCGCTCCAAATCATGAAATGAAATTCAATGCAATAATCCGGGTTAAAAAGTTTCTCGATCTCTAGCTGTTTTCCGCAAGCGCGCTTGCTGAATGCTAAGCTAGAGGCTTCTCACAACGTACCTACATGTAGACTCATGAGTATGTACCTTGGGGCTACTGTCACGGTGTCTCTATGGGCTATGCTGAACTCCAAAGGGGCTCCAAAGCTTCTATCACGATACTAACCGAAGTTGTGACCTTTGCAATCGTACCGTACACAACACTGAATTCAGAATTCTTATAGTAGTACACGAACCCTGCTGGTGAACTCAGTACCTTGAAGGCCACAAGGAAGACAGATACAGGTGCGAAGTTGATTGGCGGCATGAGTACGGTATCATGCATATAACAAGATCTGATAGAGACGGTCGGCATCGTTTCTATTGGCTCGATCTCGTGCAGTTTCTGAGTTGGGATACATGACGCGACGGGTCGTTCATTCGAAACCCCTGCCCCGCTCATTATACAGCTTCATAGCTTAGTCAGTGGGGAGACTCTATGAGGGAAATTCAAACATGGAAGCAAGATGGAACCTGCAAGCGGTTTGTAGTATCATGTGCTGAATTGAACAGTGGGTGCTGCATGCAGGTCTGGATGATCTGGATTCAGTCTGCTTTGGCTTGAGTTTGAAAACTTACAATGCTTGAAGATAACATGCAGCTTGGACAACAACCATGGAGCCAGACGATCTCGTCTCCAGAATCCGGTCCATAAAAATCGAAGCATTCTCTGACAATGCACTTGCTTGTTGCAAAAGGATTCAGGTCAAAATCATTTTGGAGTTGCACATCACTAGTCAAGCCAACGTGTAACGATTATCATCCATAATATTGACCTTACGTCGTTGCACACGAAGTTTAATATGCTGAGAATAGTACCTCTGGAATCACGTTTCGCAAGGGACCATGGATGTTATCCTTCCTCAGAGCCGGGATCTTTTGCATCGCTTCTTCATGATCTCTTGGCAGACTTGGTAGTTTCTTGCCTCAGCAACGACCTGGATGACAGCATCCCAACGGAGGGGAATCTGCATCACATGATCCTCTTCTGCGTATACAGCTGAGGGACTTGGGAGGTCTTTCTCGGCCAGCAGGAACATATTCGCTATGATTGGAAGTAAATGTGCAGCCTTTGCGGTCAGTTCCTCGACGTTTTCCCCGTACACCCGGGCGTTTGGGAAGTTTGGGAAGCGACCTTCCCACTCCCCTTCTGCCTTGCTGTACTTGCAGCAGAGTGGGTACGGCTGATTTAGTTCTTGCCCTAGTACCCGGCGCAAGAATTCTGCCATCCTTTCTTCTCAAGTGACTCTAGTGTCCGAGTTGTATCACAGGTAGCGTATGCAATCGGCGCTGTGACGTGCGCGAAGCCCGCGGCCGCGTCCGTGATTCAAGGGTTTGAGGCTGATCGGACGTCCGGAATACTTCAAGGTTTGCGCCTGTCCACCGTCCAGACATCGTCCGCACAAAACTTAGGGTTTGGTTCCACCTTCCAAGCTCACTGTTGATCAGCTCATGATCCAATGATCTCTCATTTTCTGGATAAAGCAAAGCAGCTCTTTCCCTTGGACGGCTATACGGCATCTGTTCAGTGGTTCAGTGCTTTGACTAACCTTCATTCAAACAAGGTCCTTGTGGTGGTGAAAGTCCTTTCTGCTGCTTCAGGCAGCAATTACAAGAGGATAACAGAGGAGTCGAGCGGTGGTAGCAAGGACGCACTGAATACGTTTGGTTGGGGCCCAAGAAGAAGCGGTGTAGTCAATCATGGGGACTGTCTATGATATGCAAGCTCTGAAGGCGTATGTACAGGGGCCTTCAAGTCAGAATAAGGCAGACGACACTGTGTTGCTGAATGTTTCCCACAGCAACCTGAAGCAGCGCTTCATGGAGCTGCGATTTGACCTCCACGTAAGCTGTTACATGATCACTGCAAATGGAGCCATCTCTTTGCCGAAACTGCCTTTGCTTCTCCCAAAATCTGTGTGTCGACGTCCGTCATCAGTATCAATATTTCTGCCTCACAAAGGGGAACATTTCCTACAACCACTACTGTCTTTGATAGGAATGCAAGAGAATTCTTTCTGGACGAAGGAGCTGATCCATCTATAGTGTACTGATCTGCAGTCCACCACTGATGCCATCTTCTGTCTTTGCAGACGAGCATTGAGGGCGTAAAGGAGCGCTTGAGATCACACTCTGGAACCGCTGTGGAGTCCATGGTCTTACAACTCCTTGATGAGTCTGGCAAGAAAGTTGCGGACCTGAGCGACAGCGGGCGGCCGCTGGGCTTCTACTCTCCTCAGGATGGGTGCGTTCATTGGGCTGGTCTAAATTGAGTGGTCTGCACTGCGATCACCGGCTTTGCACTTACTTCAAAGATAAGCACAGCATGAGTGCTTTGCACTTCTTCAATATAATATGCAGCAACAAAAAGTCAATGATTGTTTCTCTGGCTGGAAAACCAAGGTCTACCATCCGCCATAAGAGTGTGCAACATGATTGCTGGATAAGTCAGTCGCTATAAGTTCTGGGAATATTGAGAAATCTGCAAAGAATATTGAGAAGAACTGATGGAACCTTGCTTTATCCCCTGACAGTTATCGGATCCACATCATCGACCTTGACCCTCAATCACACTCTGTGGGAGGGTGGCTCGAGGACACCTCGTTGGTGGAGAAGTACCAGATTTCTGAGGAAGCATACAACAAAAGAGAAGGTGACTGGTTGCCCTTGAACCACTTACTGACTACGAAGAGTCACTGTGGTCAGCTCATGTTGAAAGATTTCAATGTAGTTCAGCCGTTAGGAGCTCCCCATCGCCGATATTGGTGGAGAATCATTATGACGCAAGATGCTCCGACCTTTTGTTGCTAAGTTGTTAACTACCAACCGCTCCCTCTGTCTACTAAAAGGTTTGTTCTTTTTGAAATAAAAGGGCCCTCTCACATAGTTGTTTTCCCTACAGTTACGTACAGAAAGTTCAAGGAGACCAAGCTAGCTCAGGATCCAACATGGACATTACAAAAGGTGAGCAAGCAGGCCCGATTCACTGTCTTTTGCAGACTCGTATGTGAACACGGCCCCCCTTTTCTCAGCTGTGCGAGCCTGCTCAAGTCGGGGGCTGGTCGCGCCTTGTGGAAGAGCGAAATGACGAGGGGGAATCAGGAACTTCTATTCAGTCACCCATGCTTGTTTCTACTTGAAACTCAAGTCCGGAAAGACAAGCTACCAGGGTTTTGGATCTTTGGGCGCATACTCAAAGCAGATTGCTCTTCTGCAATTTCCTCCTTGTTTCCTTTGCACGAATTGTCCATCGGTTGTCGAATGGAGGAGTCCATGTGTGAAGGGCCTGATTCAGCTACCTTTGAAGTCTGCAACCAACAAGACATGGTGGACTTCTGTGGCAGCGGCGGAGCCGTACGCAGTGAGTGCTTGCATGAGAATTGTCATCTATGCTCAAGTCCTATGCTGCTGGCAACTGATGGCGGTTTGACGGTGCAGGAACTAGCGGAGCGGAACGGGGAGGTGTATGTTCCGAAAGAGGTATGCTCCGATACTCCACCTTTTGGAACAGATCTTCCTTTTAGAACGAATGTGGCTTCAAAGCGGCAGGTGCTCGTTTTCTCCATTTCTATTACAAATTGGACATCTAGTATCTTGGTCACCTAAAGATTCGTTCTAGTTTCGCACTAACCGGACACGCATTTTACCACCTGCTCGACGAACCTAATTGAAGCACTGCTGCAACGATAAGGACATTGTATCTGGTCTCTTGTCGAGCTTGTAAAAGGAGCATTCCGTGACGTTGTATGCCGTTTCGCTTGCAGGCTCCGGGTCCCGATCACATGGCGGATCTAGCCGAAGGCATCAAGGTGAGGAGAAGGAACCAAGATGTTTTGCCCAGGATTGAGCATATTGAGTGGTGCTCTACCTGTTGATGGACTAGTGCGGTGTACGATGGAGGGTCTGCGAAGTTAAACTTCTCGGTTGAGTGCTTCTGTTTCGTCGGCTCTAGAAGTGTCTCTCCCAGCCTTCTGGCTCGTATGCCAGTTCTCAAACTGCTGGGTTCTCGAGGCCGAAAAAGCTAACATGGCTAACATCCTCTAAAAGTCCCCGACTCAGTGGGCCTTTCAGAAGTGCTTCGTTACGGAGGAGTCGCCAAAAGGAATCGTGGCAGATAGCTACCCCAGCTGCGGCGGGCGAGGGTGCTGACGTTAGCACTGCACCCATGTTCCAAGGGGGCGGAAGTGGGGTCGTGGGGCTTTCAGATGCTGATGTCAACGACCTTCAAGTCAGGGATGCGATCTATGAGCTTGCCCGTGTGCAGGTGGGTAACCGGTGCGAAGTCGACCCGGGGGCGAAGCGGGGGGAGGTCATGTTTGTGGGCAACAACTGCAAGGGCCTGCCCCCGGGGTACTGGGTTGGGGTGAAGTACGACGAGCCGGTTGGCAAGAACGACGGCAGGTGGGTTAAGCTTCCTACTGTTCCTGGTCGCGGTATGCCATGATCCGGCTGTCTCAGGCTCTGGCACTTAGCAAGCTCGTCGACCGATGGCGGAGAACCACCCAGTGGTACAAGTGGACGAAGAGTTGCTTGATTTGCAGTTTTTCGCATGCGTCCGGATGTATTCATTGACCATTTGGAGCCATTCTTTGCGGGTGTGGAGGAGAGAATAGAAGTCCGAATTTGGAAGTCGTCGAAATTCTGCGCACAAGATTCAGAGCCCATGCTGGACCCTGTCTGCCGGCCACCTTGCAGTGTCAAAGGGGAGCGCTTCTTCACGTGCGCTCCAGGGTACGGCGGCATGCTCCGACCGGACAAGGTCAAGGTGAGCGGATCAACAGAGCCCCAAGCAACTTCCGCACGCTTCACTGAGAAGCCAAGTCGGATGTCCAGGTGTAGAAGCTTCTCTGTTTTTTGTTACGTGGATTGGTAGGTTGAGGGCGCACAATCCCAGGTCCTCTTCGGAGGGAGGTTTCGAAGGTTGTTTTGCGCTTGGCAAAAGTGGTTTCGTTCCATGACGGGTGTCACGTCAGCTCGTATTCATAACGGCGTGTTTCGATTTGATCAGCGTGATCGTACGTGCAGGTTGGTGACTATCCGGAGAAGGACCCGTTCGAAGACGAGGACGATGAGATTTAGGAACGTGCTTTTCGGTCTTTAGTTGAAGGCAGGGATTCAACGATCACTTGAAGGAGCGCCTTACTGTGGTTGTTGAACGAAGCCGTGTTACCACTTCCCGTGGAGCGATGCAGACTTTACTTGAGATCCTTGTGCGAGGGGCATGAAAAATCTGTTTTCGTCAGTGCACCCTGACTCGGTTTGATCCATGGTCATGTAGCATGCTGCGTGCACATGCATGATGCTTTTGCTAATCATGAACGACACAGGCTCTCATGCTACAGTTTCCAGCCGCTAGGTTCGCATCGTCAACGTCAGATTATATACCTAGTGGAGGATGAGTGCTGCGTACCTTGAGGGTTGCATGCGCCGCGCAGGCAAGGATGCATTTTGCCGAAGCTTCCCAATGTGATGGCCAGCATGCACCCTCCGATCATTGATCGAAGCTAGGGTACGCTAGTGCACAAGATTATGGTGAGTCTGCGCATTTCAGAGTGAGCCGCGGAATCCATGTGCCAACTCAGATCGACGGTTTGCGAAGACGCTTAAGGTTGTAGCCTGAGCCTGGCCCCGCATGCCCGGTCGCCTGACCGGACTGGGCCCGCATATATATATTCTCAGAGGGACCAAGGGAAAATCCACGAGCGCATTCGAACCCTCTATAACGAAGGAACGAACTGACCAACCTGGTCTACGATCGTTTGGAGTCGATTGCGGAACCAAGTTGGGCAGGCTTTGGCTAGTCGGACTCACGCCAATTGGAGGTTTTCGCGCAAGTTATGAGTCTGCCGTCAACCTGAGCGAGAGTTTCTGGCTTTTCGACTTTAGGACTCAGCCTCGCCATCAACTGAATTGCTCGATACGGATCCTTCACAAGCTCTTGCAGTTAGAAACAGGCGGCCTGAAGCTCATAACACTGAAAGTTTCTTGCCAGGCTGCCTACACCTTCAACTGCGAGCACTGCCACCTCTGTAAGCAATCATGGAACAGGACACCTAACCGACTGGGCGCTCAACTCCAAGGATCATGAAATTTGCATGCGCCTACCTCCTAAACAAGAGAAGCGGATTACAAAGCTCATGTCATAGCCTGCCGATGCACTTCCGTGTCCGAGTCCGAGCTGTCCTCCCCAAGGGACTGCCGACTGCTAGTGCTACCTTGTTCTTCTACTTTCGAGGCTTCCCCGCCCCTCGTCTCCTCTTTTCTCGACACCAGATCAACCGGCGCTCCTGATTTTTCCTGTACCGAATCGATCTGCGCGGCGTTCCCCACACGATTTCGCGCCATCGCATCCACAAATACCGGATCCGACGTGTCAAAAAGTTCGATGTACTGTTGGTCCGTTAACCGCGCCTTGGAGCCCGCGAACCTTCGATACTCGTCGAAGATGGGTGTCAACATCCACCGCTGCATCCGACGGAGGCAGCCGACAAGGGCGCCTGTTCGATGCTGTGCAGATGAATTGAAAAACGGATCATGAGTGATGGATGCGGCCATCTGATGTCGCCTCCAGCCGAAATGAGGGTTAGTTCCGAGCAGAAGTTAAACGACGGCTTCAATTTTGAATTGAGACATTTCGAGTCGGTTGTACGGAAGAAAGCTTTGGCGGTATTGTTGAATTTCTGAAGACGGGCGAAACAGGTTCGATGCACACAGACGGGCGGAGTGAATCAGGGTTCAGTTAGGAGGCAAGAGCATCGAGGCCTCTTACAACGAACAGAACTTCATTGAACCTTACGCAGAGGACTCTACTGATAGTCGAATGTTCAACCGCGTCGATGCTTCTTCCGCCTCCTTCGTTCCAGGACATCGTCAACAGCGGGTCTTTTGAGAAGGGCGGAAACAATCATTGACTTCCCGAATCCAGAGCCTCTCATGCCAGGACTTCGTTGGCTAAGCTTAGATATCCAATTTGGCAAAGTCTTCTCTCCATAGACTTTGCGACTTACCTTGCCTTTGTTACAGTGGATGAGGAGAGGGCGATTCCGAACATCTGCAAGAAGAGTTCACGGCTCATCAATCAACTCTATCAAACCATGAATGGACTCCCATCAGACACATGCGAGCAACCTACGCGCCAGCACAGACAGTGGCCAGACAAGGAACTTTTCCAAGGAGGCTGATTGGGAAAACGTCTCCGGCAGAGAACTTGATTCTATGAACCAAGGCAGAAACCAGAAGGTCGAATGGACTGTCGCTTAAAATGCTCGTATTCTTACCTAAGAGGACTAAGAGGGCGCCCTTCATGATTTCTTCTGGATAGTCATGTGCAGGGTCCTGAGAACGTGAAATCGAAACCGTCAGTCGAGAGAGCGGGTAGTCTTCGCGTACGATCACGCTTTTAATGTGAATCAGACCGTGCCAGCGCAAACTGTATAGAGTGCCAGAGAAGTAAGAAGCTCGGTTACTTTGGACCAATGAGATATTCTTTGACAACTGAGGGCCAAAAACGAGAGCAGAGAGCCATATGAACTTCGAAAAGGCCATCTTTCCTTGCCTTACACGCGTCCTGGAAGCAAATACCTAGACTCTAGCGACAGAAGCAACTTGGTCTTGCTCGCGGACTTACCTTGTTTGTCTCCAACCCGAAGTGGAACTTTTTGATTTGATGCTTCTCGACGAACTCGGTCATGTGGTCCGGATATGGATCAGGGCAAAGATAGCTGGTGGTGTAAGTCAAGGACTGACTTGATGTTTATGTTCTGAAAGGTTAAACACAGATGATTGGAATGCATGGCCCTCTCATTGATTCTCTGTTATGTCAGAGGGTTTTCAACACCTGCTAAACAGGACCATTCTGTTTCAAGTCAAAGGAAATGTCTATGCAACACATAAACAACTCGTTCACAAGGATATGGAAAAAACATTTGGGGACACAATAAGCTCCTTGAATACCCTGACATCGTTCTGGTGGTGACGCCTCTAAAGAAAGAGATGTGATGTGCAACCAAGCTCATGACTCAAGCTGTCAAAGCAATGGCTTGAATGATGAGCAGCTAGCAACACGAACCTGAGACAACCAGAGTGGCACTAGCTTGGAACAATTCAGCTGAAAGCCAAATGGAAACCCCCAGTGACCCAAGCCAAAGGTTTGCAGGCGCACTCCTGACTTTATGCTCAACCAAACTGTGAAAGGATACATTATAGATCGCAGGCCCAGCGTGCTCAGGAAGGGCAGGTTTCTAGCGTTGGGATATCCGCTCCGGTACACCCCTGTGTCCACCATGGAAAAGTTGGTCGGCGGAATGAATAGCTCCTCAGCCAGCCCCCGCTGCTGCCCCGCCAGGGCCCAGTCCTTTGGCATCTCTTATGCAGAGAGCGTGAGCTATCTATGAAGGTCAGGATACATGTACATACTACGTTACATCATTGGCTGTGTGTCTCAGCTTGAGTGGTTAGCTAGCTCAGATTGGTTATGGTTTCCTTTTGAGGACTACATGTATCTGCAACTTCTAATACTTATACTCCGACACAGTGGCCGTGGGTCGCGGCCCCAAGTCTCCAAACACGTGGGTGTCGTTCCCAATGCACCAAGGACGAATGTCGGGGCTCTCAACCTTGCGAGCGGCGTTTTCAATCGACGCTCTGCATCCAGATTCATGGCCAGAATGCAGCTGGAGCGGCACATCTCCAGCCAATCAAAAAGCCTTGGCTTAAAGGGGGCGTTCTGCATGAACAGGAAGCGCTTCTTCGCTCTCCCCCCCAGCTCCAAACCCGCACACCCCTTGCCAAAAGTTGCAAAAGCGCTGGCAATTGCTGGCAGAAGCAAGCCCATGGCGGGCCAATCAAATTGCGCCGAAAGGAGGGATGACCGCCGCTGACGTCAAAAGATTCCTTTTCGGCCGAAGAGGACCTGACAAGGTGGCAACGGTTACACCTGGCAAGACAAACCCGGTTGATGGTTACTGGGCGTAAAACTCGATTCTTGAGAAACCCCTAGAGTGCCCGGTGAATGTGGCTATCATTAACCCCGGGGAACGGGAAAATGGCGGGAACGGCAGCCAATCAGCTTCAATTCTTTGGAACGGGATTCTCTTGCTTGCTTCAAGTTTGTGCATGTTGGATGGGAGTTGGATGCTGCATTCAAAGGTGGTCAGCGCTCACAGCAACTCGTCAAGGGAGCTCTTTTCACTGGCGCCCCATTGCTCTCCTGGCCCCGTTGCGCGCGCTGTCCAGCTTTCGGCGCTGCAGTTTGATCGACGTTTGTTGATAAGTCTAGCTTCCCGTGCAAAACTGTTTGGGTCCTTGTCGGCTTGCCGGTTGTCTGTTACTTAGCAAGTCTTCTAGAAGTTGCTTATTCGCTGAAGCTGGCTGACGCTTAGTTGCTCAACTGCTTCAAACGCCCTGTGTCTCTCCACTTTTTCAGCACAGTTTGGCCATAGTCCTGCCCTGAAATATAAGCAGAACATTTGCGCAGAATTCAATAGCAAGAATAGGCGCACACCGAGTCAGTCACCATGTTGTGGGTCGATAAATACCGCCCGCACACTCTGGAGAAGTGCACAGTCCATGCGCAAGAAGCTGAGCACCTCAAAAACCTGGTGAGCTTTGCGCCCGTGTCCGAATTTGTCTTGTTCTTTTGAGACGCTATGGGGAGGTCTCAGAGACTGACAACCTCTTTGTGTTGCACCTTCTTAGATGAAACCGATTGAAAGAACTCAAGCCTGTTTATATCATGACAATCTCGACTCCCCGCTCAGTTTCAAAACCCACTCAATATTTCTGTACTAGAAGCAACACTGGAAAGCGGCGTCTCTCAAAGAGCTTGAAACTTCATATTCTATTCTTACACTTTCGACTGCATTTTCTAGTTTGTGGAATGAAGCGCTGTACTTAGATCCCCCTGATTCCTCTTTGGTGGCCCGTCCCATCACTTGTTTCTGCGTGTTCTTACAGTAGAGCACTCCAATTTACCACATTCCCAGAGGTCTTTCATTTTGAGCTTGATGACCAGAAGCAATTGTGGCCCTGAGGAGGTAATGAACGGATGCCTGTCGATGATGCAGGTTTCTTCTGGAGACTGCCCACATCTCCTTTTCTATGGCCCCTCCGGTGCTGGAAAGAAAACCCTCATCATGGCACTGTTGAGAGATATGTACGGTGCCGGTGCCGAAAAGGTGGGTCAGAGTGCACACATGGGCTGGAGTTGGCCTCTATGCCCTGTGCTTCGGGTTGCATCTTGGGAGGATTTGCTCTCACATTGCTTCTCTTGTACACACCGTTCGTCATTCACTACGAGCGAAGCGGTCAAAAGATTGTTATGGATTTTGCCTTTTGGGACAAGTGGGTTTGGATTTTTGCCGAGCTTAATAGCAAGCAATCATTCAAAAATCAAAAGTTCCGGAAGGTCCGACATAATTGGCGCTTGGCTCCGTGAGTCAAGTTCTAAAGGACCAAGATTGATAGCATCTGTTCGGGATTCCACGAACTTTTGCCCAAATCAAAGTTACGCCCTTTTCACAAACCTCCTGTTCCATACACCGCTCCTAAAAAGTTTCTCCTCCTTCTCAGGTCAAAGTGGAGAACAAGGCGTGGAAGGTGGAGGCCGGGACGCGCAAGATTGACTTGGAGCTCACAACAGTGTCCAGCAACTATCATATCGAGCTGACCCCGAGCGACGTTGGGTTCCAGGACCGGTATGTAGTGCAGGAAGTCATCAAGGAGATGGCCAAGAGCCGGCCGCTCACAGTGGACGGGGTCAAGGGCTTCAAGGGTGAGCAGGGCAGCGGGTTGTGTTTCAAGATCTGAAGTCTGTGTCCAGGTTTCATTGGTTGCTTTAGGGAACTTTTGTATCAAAAGCTCGTCTTGGGAAGGCCAGTGGCCGAGGGTTACGGATCAAAGAAGTGGGGCAGGGCTGCGGAGTTTGATTATTGACAAGAGTTAAGGTGCTAAGCGCTGTCCGAAAGGTCATGAGGGTTATTGAGGAGCAGGACATTGGAAAAGGTGTTGCCGGCTGTCTGGCGTCTTCTAAATCGGGCGCCTCGGATTTATGAGGATTGCCAATCAAATGAGCAACTAAACAAAGTCTTTCCTTGAGTTCCGATTCCATTCTAGGTTGGTCAATCACTCAACTCGTCCGGAATCCTTATGCGCTGCAAATTTGCCTCGCAGTCCTCGTTCTCAACGAGGTCGATAAGTTGAGCAAGGAGGCGCAGCACTCGCTGCGGCGGACCATGGAGAAGTACAGCGCGGCATGTCGGTTGGTGCTCTGCTGCAATAGCGCGTCCAAAGTGATCGAAGCGGTGCGCAGCCGATGCCTGCCGATAAGGGTTAACCTGCCCAGCCAGGAGGAGGTGGGTTAGCAAAACTAAACCTCCGTTTGATCTAGTTAAGGTTTGGTTATCGTGATTGGGATACTTTGATTGAGGTCGATGTTGCCGAACAGATCGTCGATGAAGCGATGGTTAAGGTGCTCACAAGGAGGTCGTTTGATTGTGGTTTGCTATATCCGTTCTTGAATGGTTACCATGGTGGGCTCGTGGTTGTATGCTCCCTTTTGCTAGAAGACGATAGGCACAAAAGGACTGTTCAGCAAACAACCAATTCACAGGATTGCCAAGCGGGATTTAGCCCACACCAATAGAGACAACAATTCGATGCGCGATTCTATGTATAACAACTGTTAAAGAAACTTTCCGATCGATCGTCTTTTATACCGCAGATTATCAAAGTCCTACATTTTGTTTCCAAGAAGGAGGGGCTGACACTGCCATCCGCTTTTGCGGGCCGGATTGCCCTTGCCTCCCAGCGCAACCTGCGGCGGGCGATCCTCTCGCTGGAGGCCTGTAAAGTGCAGCAGTGAGTCACTTATCTACAATCCGCAATTCTACTCAATTGAACTCAACAAGAGTTTTACTGACGCAGTGGGGCACATTTGTTGGACTCGACAGCTGCTTCTTTGAACAAGGCCGGTTTTTGTGTAGCTCGGCACGTGGGTCCATCCCTTTGTTGCAAAACGTTTCAGACTAAGAGCTTGTGGGGCACTCGGCTACTCAATGGTCAATAAAGTTTCTGAGAGCTCCTTTTTGTGTTTCCCGGAACGAGGGACTTCACCTGGCGAGGCATGACTTGCGGTAGGATTTGGCTTGCACGAGTTCACCAAGTGGTCTGAACAGGACGATTCAATTTTGAGCACCTTTGCAACTGGATTTACTTCAAGGGCCTGCTGTCAGCCTGCGTGTTAGCCCGCTTACGTGACGCTCGATGTTGCTACTTCACGTGTTTCCTTTATTCAATCGCTAGAGGAGGCAAACGCAACATTATTGGTCAGGATACACACGCCCAGTCAAAGCAAATTCTTGTGCGAAAGACCCTTTCGACTTGCATTCCTGTTGAAGTTCAATCGAGCTGCTCTTCTCTCGCTGCAGGTATCCGTTCACCGACAATCAGCAGGTTCAGGTTATGGACTGGGAAGCGTACATCACCGAAATCGCGAACGACATCGTCAACGAACAGAGCCCAAAACGGTGAGCAGTGGGTGCCGCGATATGCGAAGCAGAAACGGTCAGGTAGGATGGAAATCTGCGAAGAGCTTTTCGTGTTCAGGGTGCTCTGTCCAGCAGGCAGGAAGCAGTCCGTTTGGGTTGTATTTCTGAACCGCGCGCAGTGGACTCTCGCTCAAGCGTTATCTAAAACTTGCTTCGCCTTGAAAAGCCTGAGCTCGAAGATTGGACGGCTTACTGCCAACGTGACGCTGTTGAGCGTCTCTTGTTGCAACTGCAGGTTGTTTATGGTGCGGGGAAAGCTGTACGAGTTGCTGGTGAACTGCATACCTCCGGAGGTAATCATGAAGGTAAGCTCGGTCGTCTTTGCCCGGACCGACCTTTGCGCTTATTTCCGCGCACATTACCTGGGCTCGAGACAAGAAACAAGTCAGCAGGGGATATTAGACCTCCACCAACGAGCCGGCCGTTGAGCCTTTCCTGGGAGAAGAGTCGGATCTTCTTCGGTGTCGACTTCATGACGTTCTTTTAGCGCCTGTGCTCCAGTCTCTAACGGGACCAGCAAGGAAGAGGTTCTGCCGGTTGAAGGGTGTTAGGATAGGATTGGATTGACTCCACCGGAGTCAATGTAAACGCAAGAACGACGCCAGGAAGTGCTTCGGGCTGGCTGGTGTCAAACAGTGCGTCACTAAACAACGGGTTCTGGTCTGCAGCGGTTGATGTTAGAGCTGATGAAGAAGCTCGACTCGGAGCTGAAGCACGAGGTGTGCCATTGGGCGGCTTTCTACGTGAGCGCCTTTCCTGACCGCCGGTCCCCGTTCTATTCTCTCCTCGTTGCTTACGCCTCCCTATGACAACCTAGTCAACTTCGTGGGTAGCTCACGACTATTTCCATCTTAGTGTGGATCTGAATGACATTAATTCCTATCTTGATTTTTACTTTTCTTATTTCGAATTGATTTCCTTCTGATGTCTGAGTTTGTTTATCCTGCTGAAGAAATCTATTTTGCTCCAGCGGTCCATTGTGCTTGCGAATTCGTGACGTCCGGGGTGCCAACGTTTGGTCCAACTGAAGGCGACCCTTCTGCCGAGGAGCCAAAGGTTGCTTAATTGATCAAGCATTAGAGTGTTGAAGAAGGCCCGTCAGAATTGGAAGGCAAATCTGCTGACTTTCGTCTTGGCTTGTCGTACAGGAACACCGGATGCAACAGGGCTCCAAGGCGATCTTCCACTTAGAAGGTGAGCAGGTGTCGTGTTTTGGCGTGGCCTTCTTTCCAGCAGATCCACCTGCATGTTAAACACAAGCAGAGAATGGAGGCACGTGTCCAATGTTGCGACTTCTTTGTTTTCTTAGAATGTAAGGAATGCCGTTTCGGGCTCATACCGCTGTTCCGCTTATGGGTGTTCTTGGAAGAGCGTTCGAAGCGGGACCATAAAACTAGAGAATGCATGAAACAAAAGATTCGGCTGAAGTTTCTGTCTCTTTTTGGAGAAGCTTCGCTCGATTCTTGAATTGTGCATCGCTCTTTCATTGAATTGGGCATCCCTCGTTCACCGTGTAAGCTCTCTACCGGCGCGTTCTTTGTAACGCTTACAAGAAGCATTGCTTGCCTTCACTGCTGAGTTGCACGATGTTGACATTGAGACTAACTTGGTGGCTTCTTGCTGCAGCCTTCGTCGCCAAGTTCATGAGCATCTACAAAAAGTTCTTGATAGCCACGTTCGGGTAGCCGACTCGCTGCTTTAATTTTGCGCCTATGCACTCAGAAGCCTCGCTCGATAACGGCTGAATTGGGTCAGACGTTTGCCTTGCCATCTGTACACTTAAAGGCGCTATATAGATTCTCCAAACAGTGGCTTCGGGGACTAAGCGTGTGCTGCATGACCAAACAGCTGCGATGCGCATTAGCGGGCTTTGGTGGTCAAACGGAACTCTTTTGGGCAATGATTGACCTTATCAAATGTTGATCAGCTCTGAAAGCTTGTCTAACTAAACGAAGCAAGTAAGTTCCGCACCTGCTGATTGTCAATCCGTTGACTACCAACCGCTAAGTAAGGACGGACGTAAGGGGCCTCCATTTTATCGTAGCCCCTCTTGAGGGCGGATACATTGCGTTTCCGGCCTCGGATGACTGGAATATCGAGGGCGGTTTACGTGGCACTAAGCGCCATTCATTTTCGGGCCCTCTACATACACATACCCTTCCTTCATAACAGCATGTCTACTGGTGCCAGCAAGGATGGCGGCTGCTCATTCATGCATCCTTTGGATGCTTGAACTGATGCGACACATGTGGCATACATGCAATCTCGCGATCGCTCAATTTTAGCTCCATGATTTTGGATCATGTCACCGCATCTCTTATATTTGTTACAAGGGCGGCTATGCTACGTCTGCACTGATCATTGCATGCAGCTCCACGGCATAGCCCTCAGCTTGAGCTTCGATCTCACTATCAAGTCGACAGATTTGCACTATGCCGATCAGCTAGAACATAGCGGCGTGATAATGTCCTGAGCTGTACTAACGAACTTGATGATCAGGAGGTCGAGCCAGGTCGAGCAGTATCATAGGAGTATCATGATCGATTGCAGCTCGGATCGAAGATTGACCAGTGAACTTAACAGATCAGAATCCAGTCTGGTCTGGCTGCAGGTTTCCAAATATCCAAAGCATATATTTGGCTATGACGAAGCCCTGCACAACGGAGTCCATGTACACCGTCTTCAAAGCGATCGTCTCGAGATATCTACATACGAAAGTGAAGGCTCCTCCAGGCCGCCGCTAAGAATCGTCCTTTTTCCAATTTGACTGCTAGACCAGCCGATTTGTCGGTGATTTCTGTGCAAGCTGATTACGGGGCCCAGCTCCGTCTTCATGGAACCAGACTGCACACACACAGCAGCGTAATTTCAGTTGCTGAACATATTCAAAGTTTGTCTCGGCAAGCATGGAGAAGCTTGATTTTGCTGTTGAATGATTGGAGGTTCTCTATGAAGCCGCCAGGGTGGCTGCACGATGCCCCGACCGCAGACAATCTTGCTGTATGTCTAATTCACACGTCAGGCGAGAACGAAGTTCTGGATTATCAAGCTCAAAGAATCAAGGCGACCTTCTGTAAGGCCATATCCGTGAAGCTCTGAGCTGCAACAGATTCGCGCTCTATGTCAAGCATCCTGTTACTGCGCGTATGAAAAGCATGCCAGTATGCCCATCTTCTATGAAAGCAATCGTTGGATGAAACATCGAAAGATGACCAAGATCATGGCGATGGCACAAAACTGAGGCTCTGAAACCCCAACTTTCTCGACAGAATGAAACAACCAAGCAACCAGAAAAGGCTACAATGTTCAGACTGCTTGACGTAAGCCCATCAATCTCAACCTGTCTTATCTTGAGCAACGGTCAACTCAGACTCCTCATGCTCCCTCGGTTGACCGCTGACGCTTGCTTCCCCGTTCGTCGTAGAATGCCACGACTTCTTCGGTCCGGCTCAGCGCTTGCGTCATGTCTGGAGCCGCCGCCTGGTAGGATCCCCCGCCCGCTTCCAGCTGGCCTTCCATCGTGATTTCATCCTCTGCTATCAACGTGACGTCGTCATCCGTCTGAGCTGGCCCTGTCCCTCCAACTTCCTCGCCTGCGCTTTGACCCAGCGCCGCTACTTCTGCTCTGGATATCACGACGAGCCGCCACTTTTGCAGCCGTTCTGCCTCTGCTCTATACTCCACCATTCGCCATCTAAACTGAGTCGCTCCCGTGGGGCCAGGTGAAAGTACCAGCTTGTGCTTGTCCTTTATCTTGAACACCAACTCCAGTCCGTTTTTGAATCCAATCTCCCGGTCACTGCCGTCTTTTATTCTTGTAACCTTGCCGGTTGCAGCTTTCCATCTGTGAAACGTTCCAGTCTCTCTCTTCATTTGTCCATCCGGCACAACCTCCCAATAGAGCCAGTCCTCTGTCTTGGGGTCGTTCTCAAGAGCCCGTTTCACCTCTGAAAGCTCCCACGGATCGCAGCTGTAGATGTCACTCTCGAAGATGTAATGCGGGAGCTGATGCGCCTGTCTTTCGTCGTGCTTTTTCTGGATCAGCCCTATCGCCTCTTTATCTTTCAGCTGGAAGCCTGGCTTCATTTGCGGACCAAGACATTCCGCTACTTTCGTTGCATGAGTCTTGCAGCAAAAGTCGTGGACCCGGTTTCCCTCAACGCACACCTCTATGGAGCATCCCGGCAGCTTGCATAGCTTCTCCCCCGCCAACTCCCGCGCTCTTGCAGAGGGGTCGATCCTGAGAGGTCTTTGCAAAGATCCCGCAGCTCTTGCGTGCGTTCTTCCACAGAAGTTGTGTTTTATCTCTGCAATTTCATCGTAGTACACGTACCGGTCACAGCCGGGAAGCTTACACATGGGCCTTCCCGCTGCCTGCGCAACCAGCTCCTCGTACTTTCTGCTGTGAGTTCTCCCACAGAACAGGTAGATCTCATTGGTTGCTTCATCACGATAGACCGGCCGGCTGCAGCCTTCCAACTTGCACACCAGACCTTCCATCAGGACCGCCAGAGAGCGTCTGAGGTAGAGCAAGCGTCTTGGACACTGATCTTTGAGAGGCGCTACAGCCGTTGACGCGCAAACCTGCCGACTTCGCTTACACTTTCCTTCCTTCTGCGCACCTGCGAGGGTCGCTGCAGCTACAAGGTAGCGCTAATGGTTTACTTGTCTTCCTCTTCCAAGGATGATGATCTTTGCCTCACAAGTTGCATAATTCAGATGGTACATATCTTCGCTCTGTGACGAGACAGCAGCTTTGCTTGATCGCCCCTTCCTTTCGTTGCACCGTCAGCCCAACGTCAGCCTCACCTTCTCTCATTTCCGTGGGTGTGGATCGTATAGCGAAATGGCACGTTTCGCTGTCACATCAAAGACGGACCGACAACATCAGTACGGTCGATCAAATGCAGTAGATTTGAAAGCATTCACGTGGATGTCGGAGGTTCCAGGCTGCATGTGCATTTCCGCGCATGCGGCCCATTGTCAGACGCGACCTCGTCAGTTCGACGCAGACGATCTCATCAACAATGGTACTCGGAGTCTGTTGAACCTGCGCTAGTGACCCTCTTTCATGCTTACGTATCATCAACTTACGGAAGCCTCTGGACCGAGTGTATGCCGTGAGTATACCTGCATTCCAAATCTCTTGGCTAGGTCCTAGGCATTCGGCTCTGGGCAGAAAGTCAGTATACTATACTGTGCATTCATGGATGTAATTATTATTCTCCTCGATTAGAAAGCTCAACACCCAAGAGGCACGCACATATAGTTTGTCACGCGCTTAACTTAACAACCAAGATGCAGGCTAGCTTGGATGCGCGCGCACTAAAACATCGTAAGCGTGGGCACATGGGCTCATGAGATGGCTGCAGGTACGTTGCCAGTGATCGTGCCGAACGTGACCGATTTCTGCCTGCAGTATTGGTGATCGCCTTTACGTCGCGCTTCAATCAACGGGGTAAGGTGCTGATGACAGTTTATTCAAAACAACCAGAAAAACGACAGGGTTTTAGCTCACGATGTTGCGAACGACCCGCTCGAAAGTTGATTGTCGAAAACCTTCAATGATGAGGTTTCATGATTCGCGGCTGTATATATATCCGAGTGCCCTAAGTTTGTGATTGACAGCTCAAAGAGCGCATCTTTGTCTGGCACCTTCAAGGTCGGGAATCAAGGCTTGATTCCCGACCGACTTCAACAATGACCTTGAAGCCTGCTCGTTGCTGAGCGGCTCGGCTCAGGGCAACCAGTGGCCCGAGTCAGAAGCCGCTTGGGCTGTTACTGTTTCTTATATGGTAAACTATGAATCTGCGGCATCCTAGCATATGTGACTTGCTCCTTTACAATAGCAATTTGAACTACACACAGTGTCAGTCATTTGTAAGACGTGATCTAAGGAGTAGTCTTTTTGGCCTGCCTAAATATCGAGCGGTTTGGGGCGTCTCCTCTTTCTCGTAAACGAACCCCATTTGTAGGTACAGGTTTCGAGCGGATGTGTTTTCTGCAAGTACATGGACGTACAATTCCTCGATGCCTGCAGTGCATGGAAGGGAAGGCAGGACGAGGTCAGTCGACTTCAGGGGAGTTTGACAAAATTCAAGTCAATGGGATGCAGATTGGAGTGGCTGATAGGATGTGTTGCCTATGCTTCTTACCATTCGAAAGCTTATTCTTCGGCGAGTTGGCAGGTTCGGAAGCATCTCTCAATTTTGGGACACGGCCTAATAGAAGAACATGGTTGCTTGTCAACGAGGCCTAAAATGCACTCACCCCACTCTTTCGCAAGTATTTTGGCTTCTTCTATAAGCTTCCGAGCTACCCCCCTCCTTCGAACCGCGTTCTCAACACAGACGTTGGAGAGGTAGGCCCGCCGTTCCCCAGCATCCGGGCCCTGCACGGGAAGCACTGGCAGACTCAACTACACTGCTGTTTTTTGAGGTCGAAAGATCGAATACTTAAGAAACGCTAAAAGAGTCCAAACACTCAGAAACACTCACGACTCAGCTTCATTTAACCTTACATCTTCTCATCAGTGCTATCAAGACGAATTGTCAAGTGGTTCAGGCTTGTAGACGGATAACAGACGACGCTTACTTCGGCAGTACATAACGCAGCCCAAGTCGGATGGCACCCGACAGATCTGATGTCTACTGAATGAAAACGTATCTGAAGGACATAAATAATGAAGGCAGAATGACGAAAGAAGAATGGTGTCTCACCAAGGGGAAGTCGCCTACGAGATCTTCTCCTGGTAGCTTTTGGCCTTGATTCAAATCTAGCGTGCCTACAACCCACCAATTGCCCTCTCTGTTCGAGATCTGCATCAACACAGTGTGTACTTGCTCGTCAGAGCACGGATGAATGACAACAAAGAACAATAAAAACAGGACGCATCTCAGCAGAACAACCTTGCAAAATTTCCAAGCTCTTCTCCTCAGCAGCAGGAAGGGAGGTCTCCGAGGGTCTTTGCAGCAATCACCTGATCAACTTGTTCCCTTTGCGTTCTCTAACGATTACGATTGAAAGCCCAAGAGGACCAGTATAGAGTCTAGAAAGTTTGACTTGAAGGTTCGACCAGGAGAGTAGAGTACCTGCCTGACATCGGGGGTCCACCTCTCCTGGCCCAATGTCAGGACTGCCTTTCCGATGAATTGCAAGCAAGCAACAGGCCTTCTTGTAAAGCAACCGCAACTTGTTCTCTAGACTCCTGAGGTTCGCTGCAATCACCAAAGCCTCCTACAAGAAAGAAGAGAGGTAGGGTCAGAAGAGATGGCTTACGTGCCTTCAAGCTGGGATCTATTGAAACAGAGGCTACTTCTGCCTCTGCAACGCCGGCAAAGAGGCAAGCCACCCTGCAAAAGCTAGGCTCTTGACCGTTTACTTTCAGCGTGACGCACTCAAACTCCGCCTGCGCCTTCATGTCACGGTGAGCCTGCAATGCACCACCAGTCACAGAAGCGGATTCTAATCGTACACTCTATTTTATGATTCTTCGTGGACAAGGCATTGGGGAACAATCAAAGTGGCCAACTGCATTTCTTGAACGTCGAGCATATGAGAAGATGTGGCTGACGGCACCCAATAGTCTTAAGTTACAGAATTGAACTTCCTATTATGATGTAGGAGGAGTAAGCACCGCACCTTTGCTGCAGCTTCCGACCTGCCCGGTGGATATACATTGAAACTGTTTGATCTTAGCACTGCCGCAGCCCGGAGCTCGTCAGGTCTCCTTCCTTCCTTTACAATCACAGTCAAGGGTTCCGGAGCAGCATACACCTCCTGCTCCTCCTGATGCTCTGCCTGCTTGTCTGTCACACACGCTTTGACAGTCTTTGAAGTCCTTTTTGTTTTGGCCTCTCGAGCACTTTTGTGGAAGGCTTGCACCCGCAACGTTTTTCGCTTCTGATGCACCGAAAAAACGAGGCCCGAGAGGCTTCCCGCCCTCTGTGTGAATGCATTGAACCTTCTGTGACCACCGCTCATCAACAACTCATGCGATGGTTTAAATAGCTGCAGTCTGCAATGTGGTTGCGCCAGCATTCCATGAGGACTTTGGCTGCCGCTCAACTGATTGCTAAATTTGCAGCGGAGAAGCTGAGAGGATGAAGCCATTGGACTTCTGCTGTGGACAACTCTGCGCTCACTGCCACTTCCAAAACGGTTGCATCATCAAAAGAAAGAGAGGCAAGAACCTTCCAAATCGTCTTGCATCTTTTACAGGTTCCTAAAGCAGGAAGCTACCTGACAATGCACAGGCAGCACGACCCTGCCCACGCAAAACGGCAGCAGCCTGCTGTAACAATGAATGCGTGAGACAGTGAACCTTTGAAAGCGCCCTGGCAAATGGAGATCTTCGCAATTCAACTGATCCTCGTGAAACACTGACAGTGAATGTGCACAGAGCTCTGAATGCCGAGTCTAGGCTTCGCCCATGTGGAATGAGTCTTCCACACAGGTTCCACACCGTTAACACAGCCGTTTCCCAGCTGCTTCCACAAATATTATCACGATTCTATCAGCGCCTGGACTGACGAGCCGATAACGGTACCTTGACGCTCCTGGTATGGTTTGAAAGTCCCTCGTGTGCAAACCCTAGAAAAATGCTACAGGCCGGTGTGCTACAGTACACACAGAGCAGTTCCAAGTTCAACTTGAAAATTGTTGAAAGTTTCTGTCGCATCGGAACTTTGGCCGCCCCTCTTGGCTTTCTTTCTCCTTTTTCCAGTCCATCGCTTACTGCCTCACCGCTTCAGTTTCAAGGACAAGGACCAGGTGTTTCTGTGGCAAGGAATCCGAGTTCTGCAGCATTCCTTTGGAAGTGCGATTCAGCGTTCCGCAGAGCTGATCTAGCGCAGCACGTACAATCGGCCGTGATCAATCAGCTGCGTCGCGATTTCAAGGCAGCTTATTTGATCACAAGTTGCCAAATGAAGAGAATGCAGTTTGCTAATGTGGACGACCATGTAGTTGATGCTCGATAGAGGATAGTGGAGTGCAGATTGTAACTCTAACAATAGTGGAAGCAAATTCAGTTTAAGTTGACAGCTACACAGTCCAGACGGCCAGCAGCGATGGCCTCTGGCGCCCGGCTTTGGCAATGGTACAATGCAATGCTGAAGCGAAGACCAGTTCCAACTCAGATGGTCACTTCAACGGTACTTTGGGGTGTCGGGGATGCAGGCGCGCAGAACGTGGAGAGATTGCAGCGGCAGGCGGATCAGAAGAAGGGTCTGATACATGCTTCAAAGGTGAGAAAGGAGATGAGAAAAGCTGTCCTGTTTTGATTGGCCAATTGAGAAGCACTGAGCTCCTCTGCAGCTGGGGCTTCGCAATGCTGGATGGACTCCAAAAAATGGAACTTCACATCATTGTTCGGCCAATGCTCCACCAGTTCATCCAAGGCTTTTGATCAAGTGTACAAAAGATACATTCTTCCATCATTTGGTCCTGCACTTGCTTGCGTACTCTGATAAATCTTAACAGTGCTCCCCTTTGTTGCAGGAGCACGACGAGCGGGGTCTTGATTATAAGCGCATGGCACTAGCTGGCCTGTTTGGCTTTGCTTTCGTTGGGCCCATTGGCCATTTCTGGTAAGTGCAACACGTGTCCTTCTTGAATCCTGATTCCACCATCTCGAAATTCTTGCTTCAGAGTCGGAGGGTGGCACCTCAACTCTGCTTCTGATCTGCTGTTGGTTTGCTGTGGGTTACATGAAATGAACCAAGCCCGGGGTTTCAGGTCCACGTCCTTTTGTCTTCAGGTACCTCTACTTGGACAAGCTCGCCATTCGTTACGTCCCCGCGGGGTGGAAGTTCATCGCCACGAAAGTGTCGGCGGATTGCCTCGGATTTGCACCGCTGCATTTAGTCGGATACCTGACGTATATGGGTCTCGCCGAGGGGGAGAGTTGGCCGGTGGTGAAAGAGAACGTAAAGAAGGATTTCTTGCCGGGGCTCGCAGTAGATCTCAGCGTGTGGCCTGTGATCCAGTCAGCCAACTTCGCTTTCACTCCGCAGAGGCACCACTTAATGGTGGTAAATCTGTTCAGCCTGTTAGACTCCACGTTCTTGTCGTGGTTCATGCACCAAGGGGAGGCGGACTGGAAACGGAAGGTCAACGAGTTCGTCTTTGGGCCGTATCGACATCCTGGCCCTACGACACCAGATGACTGATCTCGGGGGACTGATAGACTTGCTGAACTGATTCGGGGGTCGTGAATGAAAGCTGCCCACCGGTAAAATTTTCATAGCATACGGGACGCTTGCGTGTGGCTAAATCGATAGACTGGTGGGATTTGCAGAATACAAATTGTCGAAATCGGCAAGAACTCTGTACAATGTTTCTGAACGGGCACCCACACAAAGGATGGATGCTGACATTCGATCACTGACAAATTTTGTAAGCTCGTCATTTCGGCTAGCTTTACATCAAAAAACGGCGCCGCGCTCGTTGAAGTGTTGCTTTGTGCGCTCTCGCGGGCTCTATTTGAATATTGCAACACAGCGCTTCACATGGTGCTGCATTGATATAACGAATTCGCTTAGCTTTAATCGGAATTGTTTGGCGGCATGACCGGGATGCACCTAGATAGCTGCCATTTTTAAGATAGCAATGCATGTACGTCTTGACTCAAGGATACTGTACAGTATCAGCTTGAGCTTACAAGCTACGCAAGTTCGATCCTAGGCCATCCGGATCTAATGATTTTTTACATACTGCTAAAGTTCGGCCATATGGCAGTGTGCATGGCCGGTACGCTTGAAATACAGCGCGCGCATATATGTGCGATATCCGGTTCTGACATGGACGAATCCAACAACCACGTACACAGCTATACGATCGATCTTCGTTGATAGGTATCAGATTGTACGCGCTACATTGAATTTCCTATGCTTTCATAGATCAGTACTGCACCGCCTGTAGGGCCGTGCAGCTGGCTTCAATGAGTCCGACCACGAAGCATAGGCAAACATGCACTGCAAGGTGGTTGCGTGCATGCCAGACCTTTCTGCCAGCCAGGCCGGTAGTGAGAGCGACAGGGAATTCGCACATAGCTTTTGACGGCTGACTGCAGGTCGTGGGCCGGTCAGCGGCTGATCGAGTGTATAAGTCATGCTTGTGGCGCACATAGATGGCAGCGGGCTGAACTGTATTTCGCACTGACCAGCCAGGCAGCGCTTCTGCATTTCATCCGTCAGACATTGGGCTTATCACTCTTCCTTTTTAACAGGAGTGAGGTCTGTCGACCGTAGGATCTCTATCCGGTCGGCGAGGGATACGAAGTCGGCTTTCTCTCCGATAATGTCCTCCTCAACCCCCTTCGCCAGCAACTCAAGAGTCGTGCCGACATCCGGGCCCTTGTTAGTCCCAGTCAGAAGCACCCTTGCTGGCATGAACAACCGTTTACCCTGCAAACAAAGGGAAGCAGACGTTTCATTACGAGTCTTTTTGGACCTTCCAAAATAGACAGAAAGTAAGTCGATTTCGCCCAACGAGGCCATTAACAAGACCGACAAATCGATGCGCTCGTATTCCGATCCCGGCTAGGGAGCCAGTTTGATCCAGCTGAGCTTTTCTATCAAATCAGCGCCCCCGTTGTAGCACTTGTTGCCCAATACCAGGAGCAAGACAACAGAAGACAACAGACCTCCTCGTCGAAGGCTGATAACGATGAGTTCACCCGTTTCACAAATGGTTGAAGTGCAAGTCTGCAGTTCGAAAAGGACACCCGACTTCGTCACCCCAAGCAGTACGTTTTCAGCCTTCAACCGCCGTGCTTCCAAGTACTTGCAAGAGCACGGTTTATGACGCTCCTTAAGCGACCCAGGATGCTAGAGAGTCCAATCAGCAAGGTCAATATCCAAGACCAACACAAAGAGGACACGTGGCGGCCAACCTTTCGCTTCATCGCTTTCCCGATTCCCTTGATCCACGCTTGCCACCCGTCGTGCCCGCCCTTGACGGCTTCCGTCAGCTTCCCGTCATCAAATTCCTTGACGATCGCGCTGGCAACCTCGGCCAGGTTGTCTTCTAAGAGGTCGTTCACTTCGCCACTGCAAGAGATAGACAGAGCAGTATGAAAAGAGGAACGAAAAGACTTTGTTCTCAGATTCAACGAAGTTACACTTGTCAAGTATGGCTTTAGCCGGGGTGCGCCCGACTTTGGCAGGGTTGGAAAACGCGGGCGACTCAGTATTTAATAAATCGACCGCTTAAGCGGTCGGACGTAACGATGGCTAAACACGCTCCCAAACAAAAACCCGTCTGAAAGAAAGCATTGAAGAGGTGTGCACTTTCGAAGCTTCTGTGGTTCAGAAAGCTCAGAAATAAGCGACCAGAACAAGCCAGAACGATAGCAGTCCTCGCCTCGGTGGGACCGTTCGGAAGTCCGACGAAGGTGGACGGAAGACAAGTTTTCAGCGGAAGGCACAATTCTCATGGAATTCTCGAAGAGAGCCGACTCGACGAAGAAAGCAGTCAACTGGACAGGATAACGTCGAAGTCCGACAAGCGCTCAGCGGGAGAGCGAACACTAGTATGAAGCGACTCGGCCTCCAAAGTAAGATACGTGAAAGTAATACCAACACTTGAGGGAGGTACAAGATATGAAACAAATCAAGCGTCCAGTCAGCACATCGCTGGAACTCCAGATACTACCCGATTCGAGTCATTGCTTTCACGGGTAAGCTCTTAGACACGGTATAACAGATTGCCGGTAAATGCTTAATCAGAACAGGCAGATGGAATTTCTGTCAAGAATGAAAGTGCAGGCACCATACCTGGCGATGGTTTCCCTGAGGGGGTAGTTTAGTAGCCGGTTGAGAGCGCCGTCCGCGTCCGCGATAACTTCCAAGGAGTCCTTTATGAGCTCCGCCGCCATCTGCAACAAAAGCCAGCTCAAGTCGAACATCGTTCCTTATAGGCTCTTGAAAGTTGCGGGCTAAGAACTGCGCCCCAAACACGCGTCTTCATTGTCTGCAGAGCAGCCACTGCGGATCGAGCGAAACGCATCACGTCCGCTAGTTGAGAGATTTTAACTCAACTTTCTTACAAGTCAATTTGTTGGGATCAAAATGGAGCAGGTTCCGCAAAGTAAACAAGGTAAAGGTCGAACGGTGCCTCGACGCAATGGCTCTTCATCACGCCAAGCACTTGCATGCCTTTATCAACTTCAAGGTCCATGCAGCGTATGACCTAAACTTGCATGATCTTGCTCGCGCCACAAACACTGGGAAACTTCGCGAGGAACTAGGGATGGGCGTACGTCAACGAAGGGCCCGTCTGGCCGTTTCAGGATGCCGCTGGACACCCACTGCTGGCCCAGCATCGAGTTGACCGTCTCCGCCGGGAGCAGGCGAATGTGCTGGCCGTTGATCCACCTGGCAAGACATTGCAGCTGATCGAAATTGGCAGCAGGGCAAGGTAAAACGTAAGCTGGCACAGGTGAAGCAGTGGAAAGGAACGGTTGGCTTGATACTGGAACAGGGACAGATTGCGCAAGAACAAGTACGCGCCACTTGTGTTCAGGATTCAGGCTGGCGAACATTAAGCAGGCGTCTCTGCAAGGAAGAGTTGGCTGCGGGTTTTGAAGGCACGAATGATTGAAGCGTTGCGCAGGAACGGCAACGAGATTGGCACCCAATGGAAGCGAGGGGAGCCCTTACAGCAGCTTGGTCTTGTCGAAGATGGCTGCGCTCTTCGTCACCCGGTCGATGCTGAACTTTTGCACTGCGAGACACCAACGGACGTCAATGCTCACGTCAGCAAGCAATCAGATCGCAGTGGGAAGATATCCGTCTGCTTCTCGCTGCTGATTACTCAGACACCCGCAGTCCAATATCACATCCATTTGATGCTTGACGTCGCGTTCGCTGGAATTGCTGGCATTGGGAAGCACCGTGGACAGCTGTCATTATGAGAGACATGTCTTCAGACGCCCTTCCAGATCCCACTGAAGTTTTTTGCAAATTCTTTCGCAAAAATCAGGATGGCGTCGTAGCGCTGGACCAAGAAGCATCTCAGACAGCACAGCCAAAATAAGATTCATGTTTTGAAACTGAAGAAGTAGAAAGGGCTTTCGCACCTAAGTCTTGGACCGAGAAGATCTCGTCCTCAGTCCCGTCGTTCCAGCCCAACAGCGACAGGTAGTTTACCATGGCCACCGGCAGGAAACCTTGGGCGGCGAACTGCAGATAGCGGATATTTGCTTCTTTAATTTTTCTTCAAAAAAGTGGAATGCGTGCCTGATGCTAGAGAAGAAGCCGACGACGTTTCGGCTGGCGTGTGGGGTGACCTCCGTTAAAAAATAGAAAATGCCGGCTTTCCGTCAGCTTTTCGGTTGACATCGAAGCAACGCTACGGTCGCAAACGGTCGTTCCTGTCTGTACGAACACTGCTCTATGCAAGGCGATAATAAAGATATCTGGCTTTAAAGAGGCAACCGACCTTGCACAGCCGACGGAAGCTTGCCGTGTCCAGATTGAGGCGGTGACCTTTGGCCGGCCATCAGTTGTCCCTCTCCAGAAATGTTCAGAAAAGTGCCTCAAAAAGGATGGTCATTTCCAAAAGTAACGGGTGAATAGGGGTCCCTCAAGTGAACAAGGAACGAAAGTTCCAGCCCGCGTTCCCCTAGGGTTCCACGTCGACCGACAACTGCTTGGCTCGCCAGCTTCGCATCTCCGGTCCGCGTACAGCAATGTACAGTACCGCTCCGGCTGACATCTGTACTAGGTCTGTACAATTAATACCACGTGATCAATTGAAGCCTTCTCATCAATTCTAACGACCGAAGATGAGCGCTCAGCCATTTCGGTCTACGCAGAACCTAACGAGATAGACCGAGAAACGCGCACGCACCTCTCCAACAGACGTCGCTCCGTGGCGCTTGGACAGCTTGCTCCGGTCTGGTGCCAGGATGAGCGACACGTGGCCGAACTTGGGCTGCTGGAAACCCAACGCCTGCACACGGTCCAACCAACGGGAACGCATCAGCACTTAACGACTCGAGGCTTGGCAAAAGGGACGAGCTGTCGAAAAGCGAGCTTTGCGAGTCAGCTGAAGCACGACGGACACTTGGAACGTTTGCCGTGCTTGCAGCTCCGGACTCTCATGGGCAACACAAGGATAGTTTCGACTCGTGACATGCTTGAAGTGGCCAGAAGGAGCTTTGGCGTCGAATAAGCCGGCTTTGTTTTTGAGTTTATGAAGGGTCATCCGGCAATACTTTGCACGAGAGGGGACCGCGTTGCAAATACCGTTCAAAAAAAATTCCAAATTCTTAGAAGTCGATGAGCTCACGTCATAAACAAGGACTTGTCGCAGCGTGTTAGGCAGGTGCTCCTCCGCCCTGATGACGTGGGACACGTGCATGGTGGCGTCATCAATGGCAACGCAGAAGTTGTAGACGGGGAGGCCGTTGCTCCGCAGGATGATGAAGTCGCCTAGCGTGTCGTTGGCCCACGCAACCTGCATTCGTCAGCATGTGCGTCAGAGGCTTGTTGTTTGTGCAAAAGCGGGAAGACATACATGCTGGACGGGCTTAGATGGAAGTAGGTTCACCGTTTGCAGCTGATTGTCCTTCCGTTCGGTCCATGGTTGCCGTCACTTCTTCCCAACAACATGCAGACGTTCGCTCGTTCTGTGAGCAAACAGCGGGATCAACTCGAAAGAAACTTATAGTAAGGCAAGGCTGCTCGAGTCCTCTTCCGCTCAACCAATTCACGAAGGATGACAACTTCATACCAATACGAAAGCTGTCACCATTGCTTCGAAAAGAGAGTCCAAGGCCGCACCTCCCCACGGATCATGTCCTGAATGACGACTTTGCCATCCTGCGGCACCCGGAAGCGGTACGTGTGCGGGGTGCCCCTTTTCAGCTCCTCCTCGACCTCGTCCTTGCTGGCAGTGGCCCACTTGCCCGCATACTTGGGGGGCAAGCTCTTCGCCTCTTGCTCCGCTCGCTGCGCTGCCAGCTCCTGAGAGAGATCGGGAAGGGTTGACACTTCAAACCCGCTGGCAACCTCAAAAGTATGAAACCCTCATAATCTCCTCTTGCTGGCAGTGGCCCACTTGCCAGCGTACTTGGGAGGCAGGCTCTTGGCTTCCTGCTCCGCTCGCTGCTCCGCAAGCTCCTGAAACGGAGAAAGCTTCGAAAGATGCATATTGGCTTGCTCAGAAGATGATCTTACGACGAAACAAAAGTCGAGCAACTGCTTGGGGTTGCTTGTTGACTTGTCTTGGAATCTCTAAGACACAGAAAAGGTCCTTGACCGCATTCCCAGTTGGTGGTTAAGTTCCATTGACTCCACATTGCAACACGGCAATCTGACTTCTATGCATTCAGCATAGCCACTGACGTGTGATGTGACAAGGAGGTATGAACCCCGCCTTGCAGGAACAAGCTTGGCAATAAGCAGTGGGAGAAGACATCTTCAGTGCTTTGATGTTCGTCCTATAACAACCATTTCGTGACGGAGTTGCAGTGTGGGGGAGAGAGAAGAGCTGGCTAGTCGGGTTCACCACAAAAGGACACACCTATGTTAAGGTCAAGGCAACCAACATTTTTGACTTTGTAACAGCACCCTTCCACAGACTAGTTGGCTTGAAGACCTCATATGGCCCCCTGAAAGCCGAGCCCATCTGGAGAGTGTTCCGTCAAAAGGAGATGCGCTTCTCGTACCTCATCTGTGCAGAAGCACGGGTATGCTTTGTCAGCAGCTACAAGCTTGTCCACATACTCCTTATAGATGGTCTTGCGCTCCGACTGACGATACGGGCCAAAGTCACCGCCCTTGTCAGGACCTGCGATGGAAAGCGAGTGAAGCAACCCCTGAGAAAAGTGATTCTGCAAGTTAATCCTTAAGAAGCGAATGAGAAGGGCCTGCTCATGACAAGCGCCCCACTCTGCTCCCAACTTCTTCGCCCTGTTTGAGGCTTGACACACCTCCGCTAGACAGAATTGGAGATGGTTTCCATGCAGACGGCACACCACAACCATGAAACCGGATCAGATACATTATGATGCCAACCAGACTTAAAACCTTTAGGCATGGTACCACTTTTACTGGAAGCCCTTGAGGAGGAAGAATGTCAACTTTGGCTGGAAAAGCAGTGGCTAAGAAATGCTTTTTTCGTTACTAACCTTCGTCCCACTCAATGCCCATCCATTCCAAGTCACGCAGGACGGCCTGTTCTGACTCCTTGGTCGAGCGCTCCACGTCAGTATCTTCAACACGGAGAATGAGCTTTCCCCCCTGCGACCTGCAAGAGGAACAAATCTGATCCTTGAAACTGCAAGGGAAGTGCCTGCAATCGTGATCAAGGAGACCTGCTTGAAATCATGCATAGCTTGTCTGTCCGTGGAGTTGCACCACCTTTGACCACCACCTCTGGCTCAAACCAGAGGGCACCTAATGGAGGTTTAAAGCGGTTGCACCATAAAAGAGAAGCTCCCTTCCGGAAAGAGCTATGCACTGGCAAAAGAAACGCAAGCCACTCTGATTGTATGGAGCACCAATTTCAGCCAAACTTTTGCTTGCAGCACTCAATAAAAGGCTTAGAGAGTACAACTTCCAAACAAAGGCGACAAACTCAACGTAGTCAACATTAGGCTTCCAATAGACATATCATACGCTACTTGGAGACCCTGGGAAGGCACAAATTGGGGACATGCGCCAATGCACCACCGTCAATCAGCAGGCGCCATGCTTACATTGAACTTCAAAACAATGCAGAAATCTGGCCTACTTCTGATAAACCGAAACAAAGTCGAGCTTTTTATGCTTCAAAGTGGTACCTTTCCAGACAAAATGACTCTAAACAGCACCCCACCTTGCAAACAGCCAATTGAATAGAGCCGTCCTGGCGCCTCCAACGTGCAGGTTCCCTGTGGGGGAGGGAGCGAAGCGCACGCGAATGCCGTAGTCTTTTGTCACAGTGCTCTCCTTTGCTTCCGCAGGCGCCGCAGCAATGGCCCTTATCAAACCCTGGCGGCCCTCACTTGGGCCAGCCTTCTTTGACAGCTGCTTGCACCATTGCTTTGAGAATGCAAAGTCCCCTGCACAAAACGTGCTGCTGCGAGCTTCTAATCCATTTGTGGTTGCTGGCAGAAAGGGCCTGCTGGGAGCATGCTTGAAGAAGGGAGAACAGCTCGCCGCAGCTTGGAGGCTTTCTGCACCCCTAACAATGCTGGACTTAGAGAGTTTTGAGATGGCTGACAGGCTGCTGGGGCACGCAGGAGCCGCACAGAACGCCATTGCAGCTGCTGCCCCTCGACCTTTCCACTCGCAAGAGGCACAAAACTTGTGAACTCCTTTCGAAATTTCGGACGCGGACGGTTCCTGTCGCCGGTCATGGCGACAAGGCTTCCGAGCAGTGTTTTTCCCGTCAGACACTAAAAACCTAAGAATAAGTGCTCAACCGTTAGCGGGAACCCTAATCTGAGAGCAGTCACAGGAAAGGGACGCGACCCTAACAAACCGTCACAGTTAAAGTGGCGTGACCCTAACACACCATCAGTGCATGGTGACTTAGCCCTAATGTCACGGAGACTGCCCGGTTGCTCTGCCGGGTACCGTACGAGTTCTAAATGGTCCATACCGTCCGCTGAGTCTTATCGCGACGGTACCACTCGAAACACTGGGCAGAGACCGTCCGCGTCCGAAATTTCGAAAGGAGTTCACAAGTTTTGTACGTTTTGCTCCACTGTCACCAGCAGAAAGATTGATTCAAGTTTTCGATTTTCCTGCTGGATTTTCCTGATGGATTTAAAGTTTCGCTAAATTTCTTTGACACTCCAGGATGTATGGACCATCTCACATGACTGAAAATGTTGAGCGTGTCAAGCGGGCTGTGACTTTGACCACGATGGCATGAGCTTCACGAAAGTTGTCATTGCAATGAAGCTTGGTACGTAATGTACTTTCCCCTTCTTCCTCCTCAGAGTCGAATCACATAAAGTTAGCGCTTCATTCTGCACTGATGCTCGTCAATCGCATCAGGATGGCAGCCATTTCTGCACAGCGCAGCATCCAATCGTCAGCATTGCAGAATGCAAAGCTATGGCATCAGACTTATTCACCAAGAATGGACCTTCATAGGACAAGCAATGTTGCCCCGCAACTTTCAAAGAGTCTGAATGGGACAGGGAGAACTGATTTTGAAAGCAGTAGAAGAAGCACCACCCCTGGGGCTGTCATTGTAGCCGCTGCTGAGGTTCCTGCTTCACGGCGTGGGTAAGTCTGGGTCTTCTTGACGCATTGCAACTTGTGTTCAACTTGACCTCAACTTGTGAGATCAATGTGATCTCATTAAATTTGAGCTGCCCTGACTATCTGCTAGCAGAAGGTGTTCTTGTGTTGTAAAGCAGTGTTGTGAGGGCGTATGATGCTACTTTGGACTGTCCAGTGTGAAGTATAGAGCTCTGTGTTGGACTCCGCAACAGCTGGTGGCAATATGTATCGTTAGATGCATTTTCAAATGTGTAAGTTTGTTCACTTTGTTGAAATTGGCTGCCCATGTTCCCATCACAAGCGTACCCACCCTTTCCCCTCTCAGCATGGTGTTGCAGCTCAGCCCGTGCGCACCAGCTAAGATCTCCGTCACTATGTCACAGTTTTGCAGCCAGAACAACAGAGCCAAGACCTGCCAGCTCAGCTCCAAGCGCCCAGCCCAGCACCTCGAGCAGCTACCACAAGAAACTCAAGGACATCATGGTAAGAGGAATCAGATTCTTTATCACCTGTCATCCGGTCGACCAGTTCAGGTGCTTCACGTAAGGACGTGTGTTGTTGGCGCATTCGGCCAATCTGCTCGTTTTAATGTCACACCGTTGGTATTCTGACGAGTACTTAAACCTGCAGGATGCCCTTAGGAGACCAGTACCAGAAGAGGTGCTGAAACAGAGGCGGGAACCTGACGGAACCGTGCTTACTTACATCCCATGGTACGCCATCTTTCGAACCTGGCATCCTTTCTTCTCAAGTTTCCAAACGAAGTTGCTTGGTACATTCTGGCCTTGTAGAGCTACTGAGATGCTATTAGAGCAAATGAGATGCTGTTTTGATGGGGCTAAAATCGAGGAAGCATTGAGACAAAGGTTTATCAGGGATTCATTGTCAAGTTGGACGTTGGAGCCGCTTTGATCTCAGCAGACGGAACCAAAGGATTGGCTACAGAGGTTCAGCGATGTCAGGATGTTCCTTTGAGTGGACATAACTGAAGGGTGTTGACCTGGTTTGCAGGCACAGCGCTAACCGGATATTGGATCATTACGCCCCTGGCTGGCATGGGGAGGTCCGCTCGGTGACCTTCGGGCCCCACACGGTGACCGTAGTTTACCGCATTACCATCCTTGGGGCAGATGGGGATTCAGTGAGTTGCCATTGGCGCAGCTTGTTTTCGTTGGCTCTTCCTTTGAGTGTTTCTTTTGCTAATTATATCACATGCTTGGAGCCCTTCGAAAACGTCAATGTTGCAGCTCTTTGGATGTCAGAGTTTGGCAGTCTTTGTTGTCGCACTTGAACAAGCGATGTCAATCTTCTATTATCCAGTCTGAGCAGCTTCCAAAAGGTGTGCATGACCCCTTTTTTGACCACCAATGTCAGAGAAGCTCTTCCCCATCTCCGACGTTTGGCTTGATCGTTTGGTCGATCTAAACAAACCGCTTTGAACTATAGATATCTCGCGAAGCCACGGGGACGGAACAGCTGCCAACAGCATCATCGGCTGGAGGTCCCGATCCTGTTCAGATGGCCGAACAGATGGCGTTCAGGCGCGCAGCCGCTCGCTTCGGGCTTGGTCTAGATCTGTACGGTTCCGCTATCTGAAGGCTACTGACCGGGCAAGGGCCCTAGCTTGCATGTGATGTACAGTCACTTACAGAAGGAAGCTGTCTGCCATAAAGACCCCTCCGCGACTATGTGATACCTCTGCGAAGCTGTTTGATCAGTTGTCAAGCTCGCAGTTGCTAACGGTGGTCGGAGGTGCCATAGCTTTTGAAAAGTCGCAACTTGTTAATCTACGTATAGCTGTCCGACGAGAAAGCAAGACCTAGGTCTGATTGTAGATGATCGATAGTTACAGAAGAGTGCCGCTGTACTCTGATTCCCGGGCTTGCCCATACTATACGAGCTTGCTGTCAGTGATGACGCCGCAGGGCCGGTTCTTCTGGTATACTCAAACACTCCGACCTCGAGTCCCCTATGGCAGCTCTATAGTCGATAATGTATCCTGGTCCGACGATCGACCTTGGTTGCAATCATGCATATTTTCTAGCTTCTGGTTCGATCACGGTTGCATGATTGCATGTCGATTGTCGGTTCAATGGATATAGAGCTGGATAAAGTTATGTTGGGCCTAGCTAGCCGATGCGGCCCGTGCATACACCGCGAAAACAATTTTAATGCAATTATAAATAAGTTCGATCGGCTCAGCTAGCTATCCCCCCATGCGATCTCGATGCGTGACTACAGCCGCGCTAGATAGTTAAGATAACGTGCGCGTCCGACTTCACACGTGACTGCAAGATGCCATGGACGGTTTTAGGGGCCGCCCATGCAGGCTCGCTAGCTGTGGCGCGCAAGCTTAATAACCAACGGGCTCGACAATTATATCTTATCAACATGTTATACCGGCCTGGCCGCGGAAGGAGTGGAACTTAAGGACGCTCATATACGCAGATTTCCACCAACCACTTCCTCATGAGGCGATCAGATATCATGGTGATTGATTTAGGTTAGGATTGACGGTCCTCAGCCTGCAGACTTACCTTGTGTCCTATGACAGATTCGTAATTACCCCGACACTTCAATCACTGGTGATGAGTCCTCATACATGACCCAAAGGACCACCTGAGGTGAGAATAATTTACTGATACAAGCCTTGCTTTGAGCCCTCCGTACTTGGAAATTTTATTTGATTGACCGTTCATCAAATCTCACATTTGAATCAATCAGCGATGTTCCATACAAATGAACTAGTGTCACTACAACTGCCGTCGCCTCTCTCCTGTCAACTTGCATCAGGAAGAGCAATAAATACACGAAGGCTGAAAAAATCGTCGACCAGAGCGAGACCGGTAACCTATTACTTTACAATCGCACTAGCTGCTCGTCCAAAAGCAGCACGTATATATAGCTGCTTCGGAAGTTTATACACTTCGTCGTTGCCGAAAATCCGAAGCGTGCAATGTCTCTGGACAACTCATCGCTCTTACTTCGCATCCCAGTCGACAACAACACGGAAGTGCGCCTTCCCACTCAACATGCGCTTGTAAGCCTCGTCCATCTGCAAAACGGACAAGTGCATGAATATTTTCTTGCCCCATCGATGTTTTCACGACCTACAACCCTGCTCATTGTCGTTCGATCGATGTCCGCACTCTTCGTGATATCCGGGAAGACACTTGGTTGAAGTTTATTCGAGCCACGATGAGGGTAAGAGCAAAAAATCCGGTCAGCACCAAAGATAGCATCTCATTTTTCGCTGAGCACAAACTTCAAGCTGTAGGACGCGTTTCCTGGCCCATCTCAACGATCTGAAAAAGACACGCTTCTTTGCAGTCACGAGCTTAGAGGAATATTAGTCGACCACCAGGTGGACGCTGCACTGCAGGTACCTGAGAGATCGATCAACCCGAAAATGTCTGGTCCATAAGCGCAAGGGTAGAGACAGCCAAAGGCGACCGGAGCACTCACCTTCGATACGGGGAAGACTTCGTTGAGCGACTTGACACCGGACAATTGCGCGAAGTTCATGGTGTCTTCGCTATCGGACGGGGTCCCGGACGCCCACCTGAGCAGGATGTGCAAACCTTATTTGAATCATTTTGGGGTTTGCGAAGAGCGATAATGTCTTTGTACTGAAGGGGGGGTCGTGTGACCCGTGATGCGGTGGCCAGATGGCCCGTATGCCAGTGTTTCGAGTCGCTAAACGCAATACCATGTAAGCAAGATCTTTGGCGACACTAAAGCAGGATTTGTTGCACAGGTACGGCCGCGAAACCGCGAGGCTACACGCCGTTTCAAGTGGAAACCGGGGGATCGAATTTTGGTGGCCGATGTACGGCAGGCAATTCAGCTTTTTTGTTGCTTTTTCTTGAGCGCGTGGTCGTCTGAACCTCGCAGCAATCTGCACGCTGTGTGTGCTTTGCAAATGCGGCCGATAAATGCCCACTTCCAGGAGAGTTGGCTTCTTCCGCTTTGACGCGAGCCAGATGCGAAAGCAGACTCAGTCAGCGAGGTATTCAATAACGAACAACGGTACTTCCCTGAAAAAGAATATGCTGAGCAGTCAACGGTTACACAAAAATCAAAAGGTTTTCCGAAACGGCTTGGATCCCCAGAACAGGGACTTGGACAAAGTTTTCAATGGGGAGGGACGTATGGAGCGCCGTCCCAGCAAGCTAAAGCACTGGCAAAACATCTAGACCTGATCCACAAGCATCGCACCCATGCAATGTTTGTATTATCCAATTGCCAGAAAGGCTGCGAAGAGGGGCCAATTACGTCGCGCTTTTCGGCAGGTCGTACTAAGGGGGACGTCAGCCAAACGGCAGGTAGTAAGGGTGACGTCAGCCAAACATCAGGCGCGGGCTCACCCCTGGATGTTGAGCTTGCCCATGATCAGCGGTGCGGCGCTGGTGGAAATTTCGCCTTCCCCTACTCCGATGACGACCAGTGTTCCGTTCTTGCCGAGGCACGGAATCATGGACGACATGGCCGCCGGATTGGTCACTGTAGAAAGGACCACCTTGGCGCCCCCGAGGGCCTGGAAAAGCAAACGGAATTCCGGTCAGGCACGCAACGGAATCATGGACGACATGGCCGCCGGATTGATCACCATAGAAAGGACCACCTTGGCACCCCCGAGGGCCTGTAGGAAGCAACGGCATTCCGGTCAGGCAACGGAAGTCTTTCATTTACTGAATCCATGTCGGGCAACAATTGTCCGGTCAGGTGACGGAGTTCCGGTCAGGTGACGGAGTTCCGGTCAGATTAACGAAGTTCCGGTCAGGCGACGGAATTCCGGTCAGGCAACGAGTCTTCGGTCAGACAACGAGTTAAGGTAAGGGAACGGAGTTCCGGTCAGGCAACGGAAATGTGATCAAGTGATGGAGTTCCGGTGAGGCACGCTACGCTTTTGGAATGAGGAGAAGAGTGCAGCGAGTAGTGGATTACTCAAAAGAAAGAGGTAACGGTAGTAGCAATGAAGAAATGAGACGTCGTTTCCAACGGACAAAGAGAGGAGAGGAGATTACTGGGTTGCGGGTTGCTGTTGGTAAAGGTGGAAGTGACCACCTTGACTTCACCAAAGATCTGCTTTAGTAAGGGCGTCAAACCATGTGGCATGGCAGCGACTCAAAAAGCACAACTTCTTTGTTTTACCGGCTAAAGGCCAGCTAACCACAAAGAGTCTGGCAACGGAACAACGGCGTGCGGCCGAAAGCTTGCCAATATTTACCTCGAACAATTGTTTAGAGGATCGGGGATATTCAGATTTACTGGGCTACTCTGCAGGCTTTTCGGGGCCTCATTATGGCGTTTCAAGGATAAAGGGATTGGCATTTGAGGGGCTGCGAGCAATCTTGACTAAGGGCGTTTCAGTTACTACGCTGTGGATAGAACTTCGACAAACCAACTAACGCTTTGAACATTAAGCAGCTGGCCGACTGACACCCTACTTTCTCCAAGCAAAGCGTAAACCCTGCCTCGACCCGTCTCTACCAAATTCTAGACTCAGAATCCACATACCTTCGAAGGAAAGTTATCCAAGCAAGAAAACCGAGGGAACTGGACCATTTAAGATACCACTCGGAACACTAAATTTGGCCTACCTGAAGCTCCTTGGCCGGATCCTCGGAGGTGGTGTCAATGTACTTGTGGGCACCGAGCTTGAGCGCCTCCTCCTTCTTCTCCTGGCCCCGCGAAATGGCGACCGTGTGGAAGCCCTAAAGGAGAAAAGAATAGAATCGAGTATATGAGCTACTGCACTGCGTAGCATTCTTTCAGCAGAACGTCCGGCGTGCATTGACGCAAATGCTGGTTCTTTGGACTTTAGCTTGGGAACCGCAGAGGTATAGGAGGGTCTCACAAGCATGTAAGAGCCTGTCCTTAGCCTGATGGCGCGTCCTACACTACGCACGTCCCACAATACGCAAGGTTTGTATAACTTGTCAACGGGTACAGCTCGCAACTTCGTCTCTCAACCAGGGCCCGGCTGTGTTGGCTGCCTACTCCGAGCAGATGTCAACTGATTGTTTGGGCCCTGAAATGAGAGGAACCGGCCCACAAACTTCGCCTTTCGTTGAATAAGTTCCAACCCGAATGTTTTGAATCCATACTAGAAACTTGTGACAGCAATCGTGTGTGTCGGTGCACAGCTTCCCGCTTCGGTTTACAAATCTGGTCCGTAAGGTAGACGAACCTCTTAGACTGAATATCCCAAGAAAGACTCAGTAGCCGGCACAGGCGAGAGTCTTTGAACCAAAGGCGTTTGGTCCTACCTTCGCCTCAGCCCTCCCTCCCCTCTCTTCCCCCCTCCTCGTCCCCCTTCGTCCAGCCCCCCCCTCCCCCACCTTTCCCGACCGGCTACATTGTCCGAAACTCAGACATTACTTTACTCGAGCGTGTCGAACCTTTTTCAAACGAGCATCACATCAAAGCCTGGGTACAATGTAAACAAGCCGTTCACGTGGGACGGACGGGTGAATGACCAATGCCTTATTTGGCCACTGTGCTTTGAAGATTGTTCGACGCAGCTTTTGTCGAGTGCCAAGTTGGCCTTGAACGCTTCAGATCCGGCAGCGACAGCGGGTCGGATGGTAGATCAGAATAGGGTCTGCTTCAGCCGCCAACCAGGCACTACGTTTCAAGAAAATCTACTTGATTAATTGCAGATTAGGAGCGATATTTCAAACAGCCTACACAAGTGCGGCACGCTCAATTGCAGATATGCAAAGAAATCAAAGCAAACGCCAAAGACAACGGCTCACCATCTTGTTTGCGAACTGGATGCCAAGATGGCCCAGCCCTCCGGTGCCTTGAATTGCTACGACGTCACCGGCAACGGTCTTAGTGTGGCGCAGACCGTTGTAGACTGTCACACCTGAGAACCGAGCATCGAGAGCCGTTTGTTAAGGGTCGCGTCTCCCTTCACAGTTGCTGAATAGGCCCGCGAGATTTCAGCGGTTTGGTCAACACACAGTCTTCGTCCGTTCCGCACCTCCCTGCTGTGAGCTATAGCAACCAGTACTTCGAAGCACATTAGTATTGAGTTTGACCTGAACGGGAAAATGGTTGTAAGCCGCTGATCATCTCAACAAGCAAAATTTTCAGATGAGGTCCTCATAACCATGATTGCTGTGGGTTTACACGAGGCCGAATATTGAGAGAATGAGTTTCGCTTACTGGCGGCCAAATCCATATGCCAGATATCGTAACAAATCTGCTCCCTAATTCTCGAACTTTTTGCACGTAGCCAGCTGGAAGGCCGGAATCTGTGGACGAGCATGAGGAGCTGCCCGATTCGATACATCGAACCCTATACCAAGGTCTATGGACTGGAAGGTAAGATGCCGGAATCCTACTTCGCTTCGAAGAAGTACGACTCGAAGACACTTCACTCCAAAGCGAACTTCGAGCACTCAGTCGGTTGTTTTCTCCGGCAACCGGAAGGCTCTGAATCTACACAAACCCGTGGCCCCATCACAAAGTAACCTGGATAAGAGAAGGGGCAAAACCCAAGGATTCCCTAAGAATCAGATCAAAACCCTCGAAGGATTGGCTTTGATATCAGAACGTGGCGACCCTCACCCGCGCACATCAGTGGTGCCGCCTCCTTGAAGTCCATTCCCTCAGGAATCTTTGCCACCGATTCGATGGGGACGTTTACGTACTCCCCGTACCCCCCGTCAAACGCAAGCGCCGTAATCTGGTAGTTGTCGCAGCAGATGAAGTCTCCTTGCCGGCAGGGCCGGCACTCGGAGCAGTGCTTTCCGTGCCAGCCGACACCAACGTGGTCCCCAGTCTTAAAGCGAGTCACACCGGATCCGACGGCGTCAACAATGCCAGCGATTTCGTGTCCTGGGATGCGGGGGTAGCTTGATGCCATGCCACCCTGGACCATGACGTCAGAGTGACACAAACCCAAGGCCTTCACCTGAAATGCAGAACGCCGAGTGAGTCTGGTGTCTGAAGGACCAGAAAAGAGTCTCCAATCTGTTTCCATTGTTGCTTGGAACTGAGTAGGGCTTATCCGCGCCAAAAGAAAGAAAACGCGAGTTCGAATCATCCTTTGTTCTGTATTCTGACTGAAAAGCAGTTCCAGAAATGGGGGAGTGGGGGAGCTGATCATTTCAGGAGTTTTGTCTCCTCTTTGGAAACGACCTCAAATGAATTTACATACGAAGCACACATATCTATGATTCCTTTAGTTCTGTTTATAATTCATTACAGCGGGTGTTATGGGTAGGGGCAAAAAAAAAAGGAACATTTTTTCAGCTCTCATGGGCATTGTGGGTATGGGCATTGATCCTGAGACAAGGGAAGGCTTGCAACTTATGCCTGGGCTAAGTTCAGAAGTCAAACTCCAGAATGACTGATACTCGCTCTTAGTACACTACTTTGAAGGCTGCTGTTGAAAGGGCAACACATGGCGCACATCCATGAATAGGCAGCGAACAGGCAGTGGACATGTAATTCTTCCAGAGCCACTCTGACCCAAGGGGCAATTTGCAGATGCATTGTACGGCATAACATTGTCAACAGTCCTCTACATTGACATCAGAATCCAGATAAGATTGAGATTTGGGGCGTACCTTGATCCTGATCTGCCCGGCAGCCGGCTCCTCGATCTTCCGCTCTGTGGCCTTGAGGTCCTTCTTCGGCTCAGGAATCTCAAAGGCCTTGTAGGTCGCCATGGTGGATCTGTACTTTGATATCAATCAGCAGGGTCTTGAACTGCACAAGTCGCACCTACGTTTGAGCTCGAAGTCAATCTCGAGATTAGCAGCAGGGGGAAAGACTGCTTGACCTCATTTGAAATGTGATCTTCGATCTAGTGATGGCTCATTCCACATGGACAGAAAAGCTGAAAACCACACACTTCTTCTGTTTCCCAACAGTAGAATGTAATCTGCAGCAATGCGAATTGGTCGTCAATTCCAACTTGTAAATTTCAGACCCAGGGGCAAGTTGAGCAAGCAAGAACAGAAGAGTGTATGCCAGTTGCTCCAGAATGCTGGATGAAATAAGTGTATCCTGAAATATCCAGATTCACAGCTCCAATAAGAGCTACCAGAGCAAGTAAAGGAACATAATGAGATTTCACAGTCAATGCTGGAAGTACCACGTAAAACTTGATAATCAATGCTAACAACTGTCAGCATCTCAGGCAATTCAAACCCCCCCTGTGATGACACCCACTGGCTGCTAAACGGGGACAAGGATGGGACAATGTGCTGGCCATATGCTCAACCAATTACAATGCATGCACAGAACAAAAAGTGCAACAAAACACCGGATCACCGCTGAGCCTGCAAGGAAATCCTCACCTGGATCGCTCAGGATGCTAAATTGTGCAAAACCCTGTGCTCTTGTGCAATCGAGAAAACTTAATGTGGAATGTGGAGGGAGTCGCAAGCACCTCGCCTGATAATCTCAGAATCTCATGCATGAAGCCTTTGCCATGGCAAGGTCCGGCATTGAAACTTAAAGTCTGGCTGGTGCGCGGCGGCGGCCGCCTCCTCCGAATCTGAGTCCAGACTCTTCGCTTTTGAAAGCTGACGTCATGCACCACCCGGTGCACCTATAAGGACCCGCCCGGACTCGGAGGGACCCGGGGGACACTTTCAGGGCCAGCGGCTGGCCAGGGGCCGCCCGGGTGGCCAACACTGCGGTCGGGTGAGATGGGGGCCTCGGACCTCCCTCCCAGTCTCCAGAGTCTAGACTAGTGACATGTGAACCAATGAGACGATCCTTCTCGGGATCCTAATTTAGTAAGTGAGAACTCTTATGCGGAACATGGCCATTGGCACGTCTACGATATCTCATATGCCTAGGTTGTGTTGTCCGCTTTGATTCTTTCAGAGGGCTGCTTCTAGCACTCGAAAACCCTACTTACCGATATCTTCTTTACACATATCGGTAAAACGGTCGGTTGTGAAATGAAACCATTCATCAATCGATTTCGCATGCGGTCAACCATGATGGAGCCGATGCGACATATTACACCGGGTCACATGCGTCCCTCAACTGCGGCGCCCACAGTGCCATTCCAAACTTCGACGGGTTCGATTCAAGCATGTTGTTTAATCAAATACTTCATGAATCTGTTTACATGCAACTTAGGAGAAAAGATGGCAATCTAGCTGCAAGTTCTTAGGTTTGAGCTAAAAAGGTTGTATGCCAAGACCAAGACACTGTGCATGAACATACAGCCTTCAAATTAGGAAGCCTCAACTTAAACGCAACGGCAGGTCACTTCCAGCCAAGTCAAACGAAAGCATCTTTGTATTCAAATGCCATGCGTCAGATAACCAACCAGTTCTGCGTGTACTGTACTCGATTTCCTTTGAATCTACACAACCTGCAACAATTGAGAACCAACCAAGAGGGCCTCACATTAAATGACTTGCCACTTGATCAACCTGAAGAGGGCTGAATAATACAACTAACGCTCAGTGAAACGCGCAATCTTGTCTCTGCGTGCAAAATCCTGGGCCACTGTAGATGCTTGTCCGCATAAACATGCCCTGTATTCCTCTCAAGCACCTATTTCTCCTCGGCTTCCCAGTCCAGCACAACCCGGAAGTGTGCCCGGCCGCTCATCATACGCTCGTACGCCTCCAAGGCCTGCAATCAACATCCATAGATTGGTCAGTGGCTGCCATTCATCTCGGGCCTACACAAAAATGTACGGTGTAATGATTATAAAGAAGCCTTAACTGGCACTGCTACGGCAATCAGATCACCCCACTGTCTGATCATTGGTTGCCCTTCAACTTGGCTCTACAGCGGATATTGAAACAGCTGCGAGGTATGTGGTTAACTGCTTTGACTGGCGCGTCTACGTCGTTTGAACGTGACAGTAAGAAGCAGGCCAACGCAGACTACGCGTCTACAGCTGTTGGGGTTTCGCGTCCAAACGCTCACCTTGGAAGCGGGGAAGACCTCGTTTACGGACGTGATCCCAGCCAGCTGAGCAAAGTTCATCGTGTCTTCGCTGTCAGACGGTGTGCCGGACGCCCACCTGGCAGACCATCGGACGGTCCTGATTAGTGCTGGTTGGAACTAGGCTTCCAGCCTGCCCCCAAAATGGGCCCAGTACGCAAAGCAGTAAAAAGATCTGAGTGTGGAGAATGACGTCTTTCCTGAAGCTTTCCCGTCTATGCCAAGAATACGTCGGGAGTGAGCCTCATTGCGACTCCAGCAGCGAATGGGTTATCTCCTGTGTCTTGTCACGCACAGAGTTTTCCTACGCACAAGGACTGGGGCCGGATTGGACGGCAACCATTACATGACAACTCGGAATTCAGAAACGGCATTGCGCCGTGTCTTTCTCGAGCAACTTCGAAATTACTGTACAATGTCTTAATCAACTCAGCAGCAAGTGCGGAGAACCGCTTCATTGAAGCAGACAGGTTTTGCGTATAAAAAGAACGAACGAAACAGAAAGTAGACAGGAGAATGAGCGGCACTTTTTCGAGATCAAACAGAAAACCTTATGCTGGGAAATGTTTATCTATACAGCCTTTGAGAAAAGCTGGGGTTGGACGGCAATTCTCATCCTTCCAAGAGCATCCTCACCCTTGGATGGTAGCTTTGTTCGAGATCAGGACCATGGGATCCACCTCGAGTTTCCCCTGCCCGACGCCGAGGACCAGCAGGCACCCGTTCTTGCCGAGGCACGGAACGATAGACGACATAGCCGCCATGTCAGTCACCGTGCTCAGAATGACCTTGGCACCGCCCAGGGCCTGGGACCGGGAGAGATGGTGACGTCAGGCAAAGAATGACGTTAGAGTGCCTCAACCGCGTGCGTGCTTTGTTTCGACAGCTACGCAAAAAGAACCGTGCTCGGAGTCGTCGGTGCCCCGCTTTGCCGTCTGCTCTCAGTCCTCGGATGACATCTGTCAAAGGACCCGTCTGAAGCTGAGAGCCGTATAAGTTGCAGAAGCCTTCTTGGGAGCATCCCGACCGAGGTCCGAAACGGCTCCGCAATTGATGACGTAAGCAGTAACCCCGTCTGAGGTCCGGGCTGAGGATTTTGAAAAGTGCGCCGAACGGTCTCAAGCTTAGCAAAACGGAACCGGCGCCTGAGGGCCGCTTACACAGAAAGAGCAACCCAACTTCGGCCCGAAAAACAGCCGAGTGCGAGGAAGTCCCAGAAACGTGTAGAAACATCGGTTTGACATCTAAAAGCGATCAAATCTTGGCCGTGCGCAGGCGTACCTGGATCTCCTTGACCGGGTCCTCGGTGGTGACATCAACGTACTTGTGGGCGCCAAGTTTGAGCGCCCCCTCCTTCTTCTCCTGCCCTCGCGAGACGGCTACTGTGTGGAAGCCCTGACCAGAGACGGCAACGGTTTGTAAGCAAAGAGTTAGGAAGGCAACTTTAGCCAGATGTGATATGAGGGTTTTATCTTAGATCGGATGAAGGTTCCTTTGACCGGGAACCAGTCTGTCTCTGGAAACTTGTCAACGGCAAGGAGAGCATCCAGCACATTGAATGCACCAAAGATCCTGTATTGATTCTGATTTGAGAAGGCAACTGAAGTGGGAAGTCCCCTCAAAGGTATGAGAGCAGGTCTTGGAAACGGGCTGAATGGTCGTCGAAGAGAGCCGGCAGACCTGGCGGAAGCTTAGCGAAAAGCGGACCTAGATTTAGGGACCGGACAACCAACGGCGGAAACGCAGACTATCGTGCACCCACCATTTTGTTTGCGAACTGGATACCCAGATGGCCCAAGCCCCCGGTGCCTTGTACAACCACAACGTCTCCGGCCACGGCTTTGGTGTGCCGCAGTGAGTTGTAGACTGTCAAGCCTGGATAGGAAACGGAAGAGGAGGAGCTCAACCAAGGGGCTCACTTTGCAAGGCATGAGAGGAAGAGCTGAGGGCTAAATTGATCGTAAGGGGAAGGACGAACAAACGCCTCGCATGCAAGAGCATGGCAGAAAAGTCAAGAAAAGTCCATCATAAGTGCGCACAGGCGCATTCTAAGTATGGTCATGTTTTGGGCCTTTACAAACCGCAGTGGACAAGACCTGTTCGACGGAGCCAAGTGTGCTTAATGCAGACATGCAGATGTTTGCAAACCAGCGCAGACACCGCTGGAAGGCAACAGGCAAACAAATTGCGGCCGAGGCAGAAGAGGCGCAAAGAAGTAGAATGATGCGAGATGAAACCAGAGAACCCAGAGACGAAAAGCTGTGACTCACAAAAAGTGGAACGAGAAACGTCAAGGCAACCCATATGTAAGGCAAGAGAACTTCGTTTGAGTCTTCCTACCTGCGCACATGAGCGGCCCCGCCTGTTTGAAGTCCATCCCGTCCGGGATCTTCGCCATCGATTCCTGAGGCACCGTCGCATACTCAGCATACCCCCCGTCATACTGCAGCCCAATCGTCTCGTGCTTGTTGCACAAAATGAAGTCACCCCCCCGGCAGGGCTTGCATTCAAAGCACTGCTTCCCAAACCAGCCCACCCCCGCCCTGTCGCCGGGCTTGAAGCGCGTCACGCCCTCCCCAACTGCGTCGACAATGCCTGCGATTTCATGGCCAGGGATGCGGGGGTAGGCGGAAGCCATGCCGAGGAAACCCACGATTTCGCCATGGCAGGCGCCGCAGGCCTTGACCTGGAAGAGGCGAGGACAAAGAAGTTTGTTGCGAGAAGGTGTTCTAAGAAACGTGCGATTGAAAGAGGTCACTAAGAAAAGGGGGCGGCGGTAAATGAAGCTTTACTTTGCGGAGGACAAGAAACAGTCTCAAAGCTGACATCAAGATCAAATTCTGCACTTTCACAGCAAAGCTGTCCAGAACAGCTTGTTTACATATTTCCACCATCCGAGCTCGCCAGAAGAGCCCTAAGAACCCAGCATGGATACGGTTGACAGACACAACCTCAAGCGGCCCATTGTGCGCTCTTTCTAGAGCGCCCCCCGCCCTCCTCCTTCCCAATCTCCCCCCCTATGCGCACTCCCCATGCGCCTTCCCTGTTAAGGCATCCCCTCCCCTCCTCCCTCACTCCCCTCGACCCCTCCAGCCTTTCACCCCCACAATCTCCAATAGTTTCCAACCTGCGTCCTTTTCATCAGGTCAGCAAGTTTGCCCTGGGATTATTTAAGAGTTCCTGGCACAATGATAACATCGAACCTCTGAATCTGCATCTTCGTTGACATAACTACCATCACTCTGCCCCACGTTTTGCGGTTGGTCAACTAAAAGCTTACCCCCAGGTCTGCAACCTGCTCTGGGAGTCAAAAGCATCACAACCAGTTTAAAAGAAGCCCACTTCTGAAATAACCACCATGCGCATATAGAAAGAAGAATCAAAGCTGAGCAATCTGCCATGCTAGTTCTTCTAATGTCTAATTGATATCTTAAGTCCAATGAGTTTCTTTCGGGCCCTCACCTTGATCCTAACTTGTCCTGGTCCAGGTTCTTCCAGCTTCCGCTCCGTCGCCTCAAGCTTTTTGTGAGGGCCAGGAAACTCAAAGGCCTTGTACATGGTCGCCATATGTTGAAGACAGAGTTGGCGCCCAAAGTCCCTTCAATTTGTCTCCTGGAGAGATGAGAGCAACTCATTGTGCTCTAGAAACTGTTCATAGAGCCAAGGGTGGTGAATTGCTTTCACCGCTAAGAGCTTTCAGCTGATAAGGCAGGCATCATCTCACTAACAGAGTGTCCACCAGTAAAATGGCTATCTAGGAAAACTTCTGCAATATGGCAGACTATAGGAGGCAGGAGTCTTGAGATACACACTAGACATCAACTCCCTACCCTGATTGGCTGGTCTCAGGATGCAGAGATGCTGAGAAAACAAACGTAGATTACTGAGATCTTTGCACACAAAGTGCCTATGCATCAATGTTAGAGCACATGAGCACCATCAAAAGTACTTCGCGCTGTTGGAATTATCACTTCTAGGATCAATTTGGTAGCAGGACCTGAGCTGAATAGAGACTGTAGCTATGTCAAGGAACAGATGCCCAATCCAGATCACAATTGAGCTGGCAGGAAGAGGCTTTGTCGTCGGCACTGACCAACCTCACCTCTACACGAGCAGATCGTCTCAGCCACCACCTCTGCCCTTGAACAGTGAGAGCCAACGGGCCAATTGCCCAGTGCTGTGGGCAAAATTGATCTAAAAACCTCTGCAATCAGGAGAATCACGCCCAATTTCGGATACCTATGTATGCAGCAGAAACGCTCCGCAGGTAGCGCTACCAACGTCTGATATGCCCTGTGAATGGACAGCAGCTCTGCATGCTAGGTAGCTGCCAGCCATCATCATGATCATGGCGATGGCGGCTGCAGCGTGCTGGCGACGGCCCGCGCGCGCGCCTCCGTCCAGAAGCACGTACGGAGGTTTGGGGACGTCATGATTACATGTGCACCTCGTGGCTGCGCTTCGAGTACGGCGAAGTTCGAACGTCGAATCTTCTTCTCTCACAACGCGAGGCGAATCCGCTGGCAGGGCTCGACGGTCGCTGTCGAAAAGGAACCGAAACCAAAGGGAAGGAACCACCCCAAAACCACTGTACATGTCGACAGGGGTTGGAATACCAAGTCCGCTCAAAATCCTACAGCAAATTTGCGGTGGGCGTGGAAAAGAAGCCCCGGACGTCGCCCTGCACTCAACAGAATTTTGGGAGCCCTTGATTGGCAAATGGCGGGCGGATTTTGTCGCGCAGCCATGGCCGCAGGACGGTCGGACCTCATCTGTTCGAGGCCGGAGTCAGGCCAGCTCAGCTCTGTAACACCGTACTCGCCCCTCACTGAGGGCCTCAGGATGGGTCCTCCTCCATGCACCCAAAGCAGTGCCAGTGAAACCCTGGCTGGAGTTTGCAGGGCCCCTGAACTCCAAGAAGATACTGGGGCTTGGAGAATGGGACCATGTTGCCATTTGGGTCCTCAGAGCAGCAACCTAGGGCAGAACCCAGGGAGGAGGGTTGCCCAGCACAGGGGGCCTCCACAGGGGTTTGAGAACCTTAGGATTACTAGCTTGGGGGTTTGCCTGAGTCCCCGTTCTGTGGGTTTGCTCAGGTTGCTGCAACGGGGAGGCTTGGCAGGTCGGCTCTACCAGAGTCGCAGGCACCGGGGGAAAGACCAACGCCTTTTTTGCAGAGTCTCATCTGTGAGCTGTTACAGGTGCAAGTTGGGAAAGGGTTAGCGGGATGGTGAGAGTTAGCTGGGGTTAGATGGCCCTGCAGAGCAGTTTTGCGGCCCTCGGCCCCGAGCAATTCTCCATTCGGATGGAGGATGCTCCTCTGGCCATGGCCAGGCATGGATACCCCATGGTGAGTTCGACGATCCTGATTGCACCGTATGTTGGTTGGGCTTCTTGCATTTAATCTGCTTTGCTGGTCTGTGTATCTTTGGCCGCCTGAATTGGGTGTCTTGTGTCAAATTTTGGTGCTGTTTCTTTTGCACTTTGTTGATCCTATGGCGACGCTATCTCAAGGCGTCTTGAGTGCAGTTGTTTATATCTGTAGGTTCTTGTTGAAAGTTATATGGTTTGTGTTTTGAACGGTATGTGGTTCGGTGTTTTTCTGCTTTTAATCAATGTCAGTAAGGAGAGAGGTTTGTTCTCTCGAGGAGCGGCTTCACACCTGATCAACTCAGGCTCACATTTTCTGGACCAAGGCTCAATTTATATCAAGGTCTTTCCAATGCAGGGTGTCCAAAGAGAACAGTACGGGTTTCTTGGCAGTCAGTTACAATCACCAGTTCAACGTGAGCATCACAGAGTTTTGTTTGCACCCCTTCGATTCTCCAGTCTGAAGGACCTGGTAGCATGACGTGCTACCTTGATTCTGGATTCTCTTGCCTCACTAACATGCTATGTCCAACTTGGAGCAATTGGTGTAGCAAACTGGAGCTGTACATGCTGCTTGCAGCACTTGGTGTTTATAATGGCGTACAGAAGTTGTTGGAGCTGGATAAGGCTTCATTTGATGTCATTGTTTGCTACGCTATTGCAGATCAATTGGGGCTGCAAACGCACGGACTAGCTCCTGGGCAATCCAGGGATCTTGGAAATGGCCTCAGGTAGGGGTTTTGTTTGTTATGGGTTTTAGCATTCCTGGCCAAACATTTCTACTGCTATCATGATACTATTTTGCAGTATCCAATATGCAAATGCAGGTGGAACGTCTGAGATTGATTGGCTTCTTTGCTAGCCATAGTGCAGAGCTAGGCAAGGCTGATTGTCTGGCAAGGCCTATTTTTGGCACCGCCATTGGTCCTAGTATGCATGGGCTTTGCTTGCAGCAGGGGTCTGGGTGGGACATTGTGATTAATGCAACTCATGATGAAATGGGACACGAGTACATTCAAGGCTATGCAGCAATGTTCGCCGTGTACACTTCTACTACCTAATTCAGCCCGCCCGGTTCGGGGATGCGCGTCTGAGGGCTCTGCATTCCTTTATGATCGTAGATATCCGGAAGGGTCTGCATCGGTTCATCAACACAGCTCACATCGACAAGGAGGCTATGAGAAGCTGTTTGATCTGGAGGTAAGAAGTGTTCGCAGCATTTTTCTTACGAGCTGGTACGGCACTTGTTTTGTTGACAGTCAGGTCCTGGTTCAGGAGTCTGTGTCTCATTGTAAATTGCGCGTTTTGCTCGACGGTGCAGCCAGTAAATGCAATGTTGGTCTCCATAGTGCAGCAGGTTTATTTGTTGTGGGTTTGTTTGATATGGAATGCCTCTGGTATGCATCTCAAACAGGTAAAGTGCTCTGGTCGCCCTCTTCAACGCAGGCCAGTAGGGTTTAGCTGGCGGCATACTTGGAGCTAGCAGAATTGGATGAATAGACGTGCAATTTCAATCAAGAACACAAGACAAACTTTTCTTATGCTCCTTGGTAATGGTCTGGTCTGGTTTGATTGCAGCATGAGGCAGCTTGCAAGACAAATACTACGTTCTCTATCTGTTTCTGTAGAGGACCTGGTCTACCATCGCAACGTTGCTTCTTGAATTCCTGGAGGACGCAAGCCACTTTAATGCTCATTTCTCACAGGTTTGTCGAGCATCGGATCAGCGATCCGCTGGCTGTTGCATAATGTTAAAGCCGGTGGCATTCAGGCAGACGCACTTCACCAGAGCAGAGAACATGAGTTTTCTTCTTGGGTCACATCAAATCGTCTACTCTGCAGGGTTTGCTGCAAACCCGCGTTCTGGAGCCAGGTCCCGGTCAAGCAAGGAAGGATGATGCCAGTGAGGAAGAAGACGTACCAATTGGGAGAGGTCTGAAGCGGGCGAAGCCCTCAAACCCTGGGTTGAGCCAAGACGGGTATCAGGAGATGGTCCGGAGGCACCTGGAGAGTCGCAAGAGGCTTAAATTGATGCAGGAAGGATTGGAGGGCATGGAGGATCTGACTGTGAAAGCCAACGGGGGTTTGGTAGTGGACTTGGAGCAGATGCCAGGGCCAGTGGTGGAGGTCAAGAGGTCGACGGAGAAGCAGAAGAAAGGGAAAGCCAGAAAAGTTTCTGAGGATGGTGCAAAAGCTGGGTCTGGCCCGCTTGAAAACGGTGCGCAAGCTGGTGCTGCAGCGGCATCCAAGGAAGGCTCGCCACCTGGCGCGAAGGTTGCGGAGGGGGCGCCCCCAGAGAGGAAGAAGCGGAAGTATGTACGGAAGCAAAAGCCTGTGGTGCCGGTTGAGGTAGTTGCGAAGGAGGAGAACATCGAGAAGGAGAGCAATGAAGGCGGGACCGAGAGCAGCAAGGGGGCTGGGAACGCGAAGCAGGAAGTGGTTCCGGGAGGCCCCCGGGCGGTGCAGGAAACCGAACAGGTGGCAGTGCCTGAGCGGAAGGCGAGCAGTCCCTCAGAAGCGGGGCCACCGCCTGCTGCAATCAAGCCATCCCCGCCCAAAATGCAAGTTGTGACGGTAAAACCAGAACCGAAGCACGATCCCTTGGCCAAAATCACAGAGGAGAGCGCTGGGGTTTTGGACCTGGGGTGGGGTGTCCACTTCGTCATCCCCCCTTACTACGATGACCTCGCGCCGACGCTAGGCCTCCCGACTTTTAATATGGTCCAAATCGACGAGAAGCTGCTCTCTGGGGGGATGAGGTCAGCGCATCTGGCGGCGTTAGTGAGGGAGGAGACGGCACGGCGGGCCGCCAGGAGAGAAGCGCTCGAAAGAGCTGAGGCGGAGAACTTGGCTCGGGATCGGACGGCAACTCCGACGCCATCTGGTAAGGGGGGCCGGGTGCCGGACGGTCAGCGGTGCTCCGTGTGCCGGAGTGTGAAAAAGGGCGGCTGCGGGAGTGTGAATGCGCACCCGCGCTGCAAGAAGCGGGCGATGGAGGGCTTCCCGTTCCTTGGCGAGGAGCAGGAAGCGCCCGCCGAGGTTTTCAACGGTTTAGGGGGGGTGAGCCAGGGGGTGAGCCAGGGCCTTCAGGGGGATCCCTCGTTCTTGGCGCGGGCAGGGGCATTGCACCTCCTGCAAACGGCGCACGCCCAAGCGATGATGGGCCAGCTGCAAGGGGTGTTCACACCCGAACAGCTGGCAGTGCTGGCGCAGACGGGGCCGGGGGGGCTGGATGCGCTGAGGAGGCAGGCTGAGCTGGCGGCGTTGGCACTGGCATGGCAGGCGCTTCCGCAGGGGGCGCTGCAGACAGGGGTGGTTGGGGCGAAGTTACAACCCCCCTCAAGGGTGAGGACTTGGAACTTGATTTTAGTTTAGGCGGTGGTTCCGGAGAGCCTTCGTCAGGGGTCTTCAAAGGTTAAGCTTTCTTCTACCGTGCGCTGGCGTTGTGGAGTTCGATTTGCAGGTTGTTTTCTGAACTGTGGTCAGCAAGTCAAGGTGCTCATAGTGCTTGCTGTTACATCAGCTAATGGTTGTGCCAGGTAGATGGCTTTTAAGAGTATCTGTGCAGGGAGGTGTGTGCCTGGATGGTTGCATTACGAAGGTCTGGGAAAGAAAAGCGTCTGGTGTTATTTTGTTCCAGGCAAACAACATCCATCATCGATATCAAACATGGAATACTCAACTCCACTTTCAGTTTTTGCAGACGCAGTCACCTCAAATCGACCCGGCCTCTGCCTCCAAGAGCGAGAAGCTTCGTCTGACGCTGAAGCTGGCAAAGGACCCCATTATCAAAGAGAAAGAAGATACCGCACGCGTGAAGCGCCTCTGGCAGCAGATGGCGCGTCGGGACATACCAAAGCAGCACCGGGCATTCACAGCCGGTCTGAAAAAGCAGACAGCTGAGGCGAAGCGGGTGGCAGAGCTGTGCCAGCGGGAGGTGAGACTGGGCGTCCCGTTGAACTTTGAGTTTGTGAACTTCCTGACAATGATAACCGGATGGAATAATGACAAGACTCGTTCTGTTGCCCACGTCTCATCTATGTAAAACTCTATGCTCAATTCTGCTAGCTCCGAAAGCGAGCCAACATTTCAGACTTGTCTTTTTCCCCCTAGGATGAAGAAAGCGTTTGCAAATTACGATGGAAGAAAGCGTTTGCAAATTTGTGCATCTGAGAGCCAACCTTGGAGATTGGCTTGGCTCAATTAAACCAATATCTTGGCCTCGACTCTTAGTCGTGCCTTCCCTTGATACCCACTGACCTGCTAGAACCTTTTCGATTTGAACCCCGTGATTCTTAACACTGCTGTTACGTGGGTGCAGGTCAAGGGTCGCTGCATGCGGTCGCAGAAGCTGGCGCGATTGGCTGGCCAGCGCACGCGCAGGATGGCCCGCGACATGGTGCTGTTCTGGAAGAAGATGGACAAGGAGGCAGCGGAGCAGAAGAAGCTAGAGGTAAATTCCGATTTTGCTTTGCCTACTTTTGGTTTGTTCAAGATTTAGCTGCCGCTTCGTCAGGAGCTTTGTCTGCTTAGACAAAACTGGGAAAACTCCATCGATATCTCTGCGCTCAGAAAACTTTTGAAAACTGGTCCGGAGAATGGCTCTGTGATAGTCTGTAACGTATTGAAGCAATGTGACAGGGGTTCGACTTCTTCCTCCCTCTCAACGCAATTCCACTTTGCTGACAAGCTGCTTGGGTCCACTACGGGCGCTTTATTGTCCTTCATGTCAATTGCGCTCATTTATGCACACATTACTGACCCTGCTTGCAAACATCGTTCTCAGGAGCGCGAAGCGGCAGCCGCCCTGCGCCGCGAGGAAGAGATGCGCGAGGCCCGGCGTCAGCAGCAGCGCCTCAACTTCCTGCTCACGCAGACCGAGCTCTACAGCCATTTCATGCGCAACCAGGGGGGTCCCCAGACTGGCGCGCCATCCCTGGAGCGCACCCCCTCGGTGGGAACGTCGCTGGAGGATGCTGAGGAAAACAAAAAGTTGCAGGAAGAGGCGGCGCAGGCGGCGCAAGCACTGGCGGCGGCATCCCAGGACAGGACCAGGTTAGTGGCTAGGTTTGATTAACCTGTTGCCCTCTCACTCCTGTGGGAGTGCATTCTCATTCATGAGCATTCAGAGGTTGTTGCTAACTTTGACCTGGGGGCAAGGTCGGATCCAACGGATTTGGAGCACTCGCTCTTATAGAAGGAGGGCGAATCGACGGAGGCTCCTCATAAGCTATCCTGATGCATTTAATCCTCTTCACCTTTCTTCGCTGCTCCCTGGACGCCTTGTTCAAACACTATGTTTCACAGGGTAGCCGCAAGTGCACTTGATCCGACCGAGACTCAGTCGCACGAGAGGCCTGCTGCCACTCCAAAGTCCCTTCGTGGTGCAGCGTCGAATGTTCACGACTTCAAGATCAACCTGCGCACTATCGACCTCGCTCCTGCCCTCTGCAGTGCGTTCGACAGCGAAGTCCACCGCCTACGGCAGCAGTCCGCCGACGGTTCTGCCGGCGGCGCTGTCCCCGGCCCTGATTCCGAGAACATCGACCTGCTCAACCCGTCCACAATGCCGGAAATGTCCACCGTTCTCCAGCCACGTATGTTCCTGGGGAAGCTTAAAGAGTACCAGCTCAAGGGCATGCAGTGGCTGGTCAACCTGTACGAACAAGGGTTGAACGGAATCCTAGCGGACGAGATGGGCCTTGGGAAGACGATCCAGGCAATGTCGTTTCTGGGGCATTTGGCGGAGGAGAAGGGGATCTGGGGCCCGTTCATCGTGGTGTCTCCGGCCTCGACGTTGCCGAACTGGGTGGATGAGCTGGCGCGCTTTTGTCCGGAGCTCAAAGTGCTGCCGTACTGGGGGGGCGCTACGGTGAGGACACGTCTCCTGTTTGCTCGTTCCAAGTTCCTGCTGTTTGATGGTCTGGTGGTGGTGTAACGGCACAGCTTTTCATATATGCATTCATACAAGCTCTGCTTGTTTACGGTCGGTGTTTGTGGGTTGCTTCCTTCTTACGTACCGGCACCTACAGCTTTGATTCGATTTGTACTTGGCCATTTGAATTTTTGCGAGTCATCGCCCCTTTGATAACTCTTGATCTTGATCCGCAGACACCTTGCATTTTCCTTGATTGCACTTCAGAACGATAGCTTTGCCGACCCTGAAAATCACTCCTAACCGAACCCGACTCGCTCTTCTTTTCCAGGAGCGTGCGGTCCTGCGCAAGAACCTGAACCCAAAGCGGCTGTACCGCAAGGAGAGCGCGTTCCACGTGTGCGTCACGAGCTACCAGCTGATCGTGGCCGACGAGAAGTACCTGAAGAAGGTCAAGTGGCAGTACATGGTGCTCGACGAGGCGCAGGCCATCAAAAGCGCGTCCAGCCAGCGGTGGAAGTCCATGCTCGGGTTCAACTGCCGCAACCGACTGCTGCTCACGGGTGAGGAGGGAAGAGAATTCTGAGGGAGAGTTGTGAAGGAGGTGGATAGTCTGCCAGTTTGCGCAGTGCGCTGGAGGGCTAGGTGGTCCTCTGGAATGTCGTTGAGCACTTGTGGCCTTCCTGAGACTTTTTTAGACCTTTCCTGTAGGGAACATTGAGGTTTGAGATGGAAGATTTGAACATTTGAAGATCAAGAAGGTGGACAGTTGCTCGTGCGAGCAGGTGGTACCTTGTGTTGCACCTGCAGCCTATCTTTGAACGTCAAAGCCGATGCTGGCAAAGCACGCAGCAGGCGAATGAGCGCCTACTTTTTGAAGTCGACTTTGCACACGAGCTTCCGTGATCATGCCCCAGCAGGCTTTGAACTTTCAGCTGTTGGCCCCGAAAGTCCTCTCCCAGCGAAGCCATTACTTCAGAATACTTTAGTGACGCAAATCACTCCGCCCCGCAGGCACGCCCATCCAGAACAACATGGCGGAGCTGTGGGCCCTGCTCCACTTCATCATGCCGACTCTCTTCGACAGCCACGAGCAATTCAACGAGTGGTTTAGCAAAGGGATTGAGGGACACGCGGAGGGTGTCGGGCAGCTGAATGAGCACCAGCTGACGCGCCTGCACGCGGTGCTGAAGCCGTTCATGCTGCGGCGGGTGAAGAAGGACGTCGAGAGCGAGATGACCGGCAAGAAGGAGGTGAGGGGCTATCGCTGGCTGGATGTGTTTGGCAGGACTGGAAGATATACGAGCAAGGACATGTGCATTGTCTGGCGTCTTCCCGGCAAATTTTGGCATACGACAGGGTTTACCAAGTCCTAAACGGCCTCCATTTCTTTGCTACGGTATCTCGTGTTGCCTTTGGCGCCTCTGTGAATCGTCTCTGCTTTGCCCATTCGCCCCGAAAAGATGTCTACATGTTCCACAAGTACCTCAGAACGGGTTCAGCAAGTTCTAATTCGCCCGTTGTTTGATGTCTGCAGCAGCTTGTTTCGCTAACCAGATGAAAGCTGTCAAAGACACGTCAAACCTTTCTGCAGGTGACTATCCCGTGCCCCCTCTCAGGCCGCCAGCAGGCGCTGTACCGCGCGATCAAGAACAACGTCTCGATCGCAGACCTACTGGACGGGAGCGCCTCGGACAAGCAGATGCTGCGGCTCATGAATATCGTCATCCAGCTACGGAAGGTGAGGCGTCGTCATAACTTGCAACCTTTCGAGTCTTCAGGTGCAAAGAACCTGCAAAGCATTCGCTCCAAAGTTTCTTGACTTCAAACCCGTTCAACTTCCGGCCTCCGAATGTGCATCTATGGTCAAGGACATTCTCCGAGCTTCGGTCAAAGGGTGAGCTTTCTCGCTTCTCTTTGGAAGCGCATATCTTAGTGGCCTGTCGTTCGGAGCCTGGTGAATGCCGCTGGAATCGGTCAGGATACCCTTCCGCTTCTCCTGTCCTTGGATGTTTTACATCCAGCATATGCCTAGGATTTGACGTATCCAACTCTCGTCTTCTTCATAGGTCTGCAACCACCCGGAGTTGTTCGAGCGAAACGAAGCGCGGCTCTCGTACACGTTCTGCGTGCCCCCCCTCCCGCTGCAACCGGCCCCGTTTGGCGAGCCGGACTGGATCGCCTTTCCAGGTTGCCGCAACCCTGTTACATATCAGGTGAGCTTGCTTGTTGTACTTGAGCTCGTTTCTTTGTTAGACCGTTTGCGAAGTCTTGTTAATCAGGATTTTGGCAAAGAACAGGTCGCTGGAAATGACTTTTTCCTCCAGTCGGTCCTGGATACATTGCGTTGCCACTAACGGATTGACTTTCGGCTCGCTGGTCGTTTAAGCGAGATATGTCAGCTTACATTAGTTTGGAACGTACGGCTATTCGTATGCAATGCTGGCGGAGGCTGTTTCGCGTAGCACACCCGACTTTTTTGCTTGTACCCATGCGAAGTCCTTTTAGAAAGCACATTACTAGAGAACAAGCTGAGATACACCATATGCACGTTCACACCTCCTTTTTCCTCTCCTTGCAGATCCCGAAGCTCCTGTACAGAGAGGCCACGCCCTGCCTTCCCCCCTTTGCTTCCGGCACCCCCCCGGAAGCCCGCTCCAAATGGCTCCACCACCGCCTGTCCATCTTCGCCCCCGACAACATCCACCGCTCCATCTTCCCTGATTCTTCGGACCCCCCCTCCACTTCGGACGCTGCCCCCGTTTCGGGGGTGTGCTTCGGGTTCACCCGGCTGCTGGGGCTGTCCCCCCAGGAGGTGTCGTTCCTGGCGGGAGCCACGGTAGTTGAGCGGTGGGCGTTTCACCAGCTGAGGGAAGCAGCGCGGGTCCGGCGACGGCAGATCGACGAGGTGTTCCGGGAAGGACAGGAGGTGAGTCGTTGAAGAGTGGAGATTGAGAGGTCCCCGCTGATCGATGTTGAAGTCTCGTTTTTCTTTCTTCTGACTTCTCGACGTGTCAATAGATGATGTCACTTCTTTGGTTGTCTCATTCCGTGTGCACCGGTGAGTCTGGCATTGGTGTGCCCCTTTTGTACCTTGCCCTCTTGCATCGTCCCTATGGCATGGTTTACATTGCCTTCTGCAAGCATCTGACTTGAGTTTTCAATCTGCTTCCCTTAACCTAAAGGTAAGAGGGTAATCTGTAGGTTCAGCGTGAAGTCGTCCAACATATGGTGTAACGCGAAACATCTGACAGATAGTATTTTGTCGATTGTGATGTCGATTCTGACGTCATTGCTTGTCTTTCTCAGGACCCCCGCACCCGGTCTGTCCTCAATCTCCTGAACCTTCCCCTGCGCGGCTCCTCCCCGGCGCTCCTGACCCCGCACTACACCGGGCTCCCCTCCAACCCGCTCGAAAGTCTAGTTACTCCCGCCGCCCACCGCCTCCTAGACAACGTCCGCTTGTTACGCTCCGTCGCTGACATCATCCCGCCCGCGCAAGCCCCTCCAATTGGCTCCTTCTGCCCCGACCGCAGCTACGCTTACCAGCAGCAGCAGATTCTATTCGAGCCTCGGACAGTTCGGGCGCTCTGTGGGCGCGCGAGGACGTCCGAGAATGGGGGCCCGTCAGTGCCTGTGGGGAGCTCTCCGGGTTTCGTGGACGAGGGATCCCCCGAACCGCCGCTGATGGCGCCGCTGATGCGCGTGTTTGGGGCGAGCCTGCCGATGCAGGCAATGGACTTTTCCAAGATGCTCACGGTAAGCGCAAAGTTGTTTCTGCGATGACCCGATGTCAGATGAAGATCTGGATCCTTGAATGTTCGGGTGTTCTCGGCGTTCAGGATAAGCTTGGGTTCTACTTTTGCCCACTGCAACTTTCTGGATTTGAACGGAGGTCATGCGGGCATGTCATCAAGGAAGTAAGCATTCAGTACGTGCTGGTTCTCGTCTTTGAAGATTGCTCCTTCCTTCGTGTGTGCTGAGTGGCATGTCTCGTCATGAGTTAAACACAGAGCCTCAGTCGTTATCAAGGGTCCTTTTTGAGTATGCAGAAGCTCACTGACGCCCCCCCCTTCCTTGTGCAGGACTCCGGCAAGCTGCAGGCGCTGGACGGATTGCTGCGGCGGTTGCGGCGCGAGGGCCACCGCGTGCTCATCTTTGCGCAGATGACGAGCATGATGAACATCTTGGAGGACTACCTCAACTTCCGCAAGTTCAAGTACCTGCGCCTCGACGGGTCGTCCAGCATCGTCGACCGGCGCGACATGGTCAACGACTTCCAGACCAGGTGGGAAGAGGCGGAAACGCTAAACTTGCGAGTTGTGTCGGCAATTTTTCCAGAGAGACTGGAACGGAAGCGCCATTCCGCTGTTTTATTTCGCAGCGGATGCTGAACGTTCAAAACAATGTACGGTCATCAAGGTTGTCGAATCTTCTGGACGTGTTGTCCCTTACATTCCGCTGTCGTTGTCCGCTGCCGGATGTGGAGGCTTTACAGAGTTACCTGAAGTCGCTGGTTGTTCCCAACCCTCTCGTAAACGTCGCCGCTTGCACAGCTTCGTCGAACAAGCAGCCCTCCTTGTCCACGTTTCGACTCGATCGGTGCTCTGGTTGCTGACGATTTCTTGTGCGACTAGCTCGCACAATCTAGACACGCATGATCGACACTGGCTGGCGTGCTGCTTGAGAAACCGTCCGCAATCATTCAATCCAAATCACCCATTTCTCGCCACTTGCAGGCCGGACATCTTCGTGTTCTTGCTGAGCACCCGGGCTGGGGGCCTGGGCATCAACCTGACGGCGGCCGACACGGTCATCTTCTACGAGAGCGACTGGAATCCAACCATGGACCTGCAGGCCATGGACCGAGCGCATCGCCTGGGTCAGACCAAAGAGGTGAGGTCTCAGGGCTTCCTATGTTGAGAGTCTAGGTGAGGAGCTGTCCGCTGAGTGGCGGAAACTTTGGAGCTCTTTTTGCTTCTTGAGTTCGTGCAGACGGGATGAATCGACGAGATGTGTTGCTGCAACCTCTCGTTCGTTGGGGAACATCTTCAAAGTCGAGAGCTGTGGCTGCTCTATCGCCATTCCTGGTTGCGTAGAGCTCCTTCTCCCAGCTTTTTATAAAGTGCGGCAGGCATTCAGCCCTTTGCCTGCGTTTAGATCACGAATCTACCATACTTCTTTAGATGATGATATACTGCACGTTCTCAGTTGCACAGTGCCTTGCAATTCAAAGCACATCTCCAAGCATGCTGCATTTGTCCCTATTTCGTTTTCAATTTTAGCCACTGACTTTTTCGCCTTCCGTTGTGCAGGTCACGGTGTACCGCATGATATGCAACGGCACGGTGGAGGAGAAGATCGTGAAGCGCGCCAACCAGAAGAGCACGGTCCAGCAGCTGGTGATGACGGGGCAGCAGGCGCAGCCGGACGTGTTCCAACCGGAAGAGGTCATGTCGCTGCTGCTGGACGATGCGGAGCTGGAGCAGCAGCTCAAAGCGCAGGCGGGCAGGCAGCCGGTGAGTGCGCTGACGTCAGCGTTGTTCTACGTTAGCACGAACGACGTCAGCAGGCAGGTTTGGATGTGGAGTGAGATGGGAGGAAGTTTACGTCGCGGCTCCTGGGTGACGCGAAGTTGGCGTAGCAGCTAAAGGCACAGGCGGGCAGGCAGCCGGTGAGTGCGCTGACGTTAGCATAACGTTGTGATAGATGACATAACGTAAGCAGCATGACATCAGCTTTTATGGGTTTGGATTCGAAAAACTATTGGAACAAGTCGTGTTGTCACTGCTCAACGATGCGGTGCTGAAGCAGCAGCTAAAGCGCAAGCGGGCAGGCAGCCAGTGACTGCTGCTGACATCAGCATGTCGGTGTAAATTGAGCTTTGCTCTGAATCTTGTCGCTGCTGCTGGACGAGGTATGCATAAGATAGTGTCAGAAAGCGCTGCCGAGCGGGCAGCCGAGGAGCGATGCTGTCGTGTTGGTTGAGCATGCATCGTGCTTCGAGGAGCGAGTCTTTGGACTGCTGTTTGGTGTCTTATGCGTTGGGTATAAGGAGCAAAACGAATGGGAGAGATAGACTATTAAATTGTGTGTTGTCAGAGTGCTCTCATCGAACCGTCTTCTCAGTCCGGTTGAATACCACGACTCTTTGAGACCCCTGCTGTCTGTGTCTCAGCTCTTGCTGCCGACAGACTGCCCTAGGCAAGCTGCCTGTTGACTTGGAAAATTAAATGTTTTCTGAATATGCTGCATGCGCCTCTGCAGGCCAATGCCCAGAAGAAGCGCAAGTCCAGCGGGGCCCGCGGCGTGCGCATGCTGGACAACGGCAGTGACGTGGCAGTCGCCGACAGCGCCGAAGTGCCCCGGGAGAACACCCCGGGCACCAGCGGGGGCAAAGCTGACGTTGCATCCGTCGGGGGTGACGTCACCAGCATTTCCCCGGAGCCAAACCCAAAGAGAAGGAAAGGGTCGGAAAGGACGAAGCCTCCGAGGCCCCCCAGAGCGCCGAAAGCGCGCGTGAGGGGGCCGCCGTCGCAAAAGAAGGGGAACTCGTTCGTCAAGCAGGGGAGTGCCGCCTTCGTAGAGGCGCCTCCCGAGGATCTCGCTAGTGTTCCCATGCCAACCACGGCGGTGCAAAAAGGAAAGGTTGAAAGGGTGGCGGGGGCGGGGATTCGATTGAAAATACGGCCCCCTTCGGCGTTGGGTAGTAGAGGCGATGAGTTGGCAGTGCCTCCGACCGATGCCGAAGTTGGGGGTGGTGTGGGGCAACTAGGGGCGGGTGCGGGGCAGGTCTCGAGCCCGCTGATAAAACCGCACATGAAGAGGCAGAGAAGCAAAAAGCGAAAATAAAGACTATGCTTCAGTTGAGGAATTGTACAGAACATTCTTGATCGGCCACATTGCTCTAATAGCAAGCGACTCTTGTTTGTCTCTATCAGAAGCGGTCATTAGGCCTTGCTCCATGGTCTGGTTGAGGAACAATCATGAGCCCCGAAAATCCCCACTGTCTGACCTTGGTTGCTCGTGTACCAAGATACTGCTCTGAGTAGAACTAAATCCAGCGGGGGCTATTGCCTGGGCTCCGTAATTTTTGGCTTAATTGCAACATGGGACGGTTACTCGCGCAACATGGGACTGTTACTCATAACCGACTCAGCGGTCAGCTCATTTAGGCCTGCACTGAATGACATGTCTGGTATAATTGTAAATTACAAGCTCGATACGTGCCTAACATGGTGCGTATATACTTCCGATTGGTAATCATGGCCGTCGATTTGACCGATTAATTGGGCTTGAACCGTGGGCCCCATGAATTCACCTGCAGGCTGCTCGATATCATATGTGCTCAAATACCGCACAGAGTCAGGGCATTCTTGCATGAAGCATTTGGAAACGAGAATTTCACATTTTGATGAGTCGCGATCAGATTGGATCGCTCATGATACGTACACCGGTCATGACTGCTCGCTATCATTGCTTCAAGGCTTGAATATGATCGAATGACGAAAGGATCGGGCCTGAGCCTGATGAAAATGATGATCGATCATGACGAATATATGATCGTTTCAAACATGGGCACTAGCAAGATCTCCTTGTGTGAGTCTGTCCTCATAATTAGAACCAGAAACGCGCTCCTTGCTACATATCAGTGGGTATCATGCATCAACCAGAGCTCTGTGTTATCATTCAGTTCTAGAATTGCGAACAATATAATACGTTCAATCCCAGGCCTAGAGACGCTTCCTGGAGCTATAGCGGCGCGCTCTTGGCTGGTACCTACCTGGTTGCACTGCGTTATCCTGCACGGTCTATTACTAGCTTTTCAAAGGCAGCCCGGACGTACAGGTTGCCGTCAACAAGGAACGGGCCTTCCCTAAGGCAGAAGTTCCTCCACTCGATACCAATGTCCTTCACCCCCAAACAAAGGATATCGTCAGCGAAGACGCGCGTAAATGTATCGGAGCAGCTGCCGCCATCGAGTTTTCGCTCGTACCGTCCCGTTTCCTGATTTCGAAAACCAACTCTCCATCTTGCAGATACAGCAGCACCGTCTCTTCGAGCCGGACCTACCAGACCCACGAACACACCCACGCGGCCGTCGTCCGCTCTCTTCTTCTCGTCGGGCGCCTTACGGATCAATTGAACGCAGCAAGACAGATCAGGCCGTATTTTGACGTTCTTCTCGACTACTTGCTCAACCTTAAAACCTGTCACCTCTTCAACAGGGAACCTGACGTCTACCACCCACTCCCCCTTCTCAGATTTGCTGACGCGAGCGGACTCCGGGCATCCTTCCCTCGGACGTAAACGGCAGGTGGGATTCTGCGCGCGCATCTGCTCGCGCTCCTGTTCCGACCCTTGCCAAAACGTGCGCGCCTCCTGAAGGTGCAACTGGCACACGGGGGTTTGCATCTCGGGGGCTGAGGCGACCTCCGTCTCAAGAAACCTCGGATCCATGAACGGATACTTCAGGAACCCCGCTAGCTCCTTGACCTTGGCCTCTCGCCCGTCCTTGCTGACGTTGCTCCCGCTGCTGACGTCACCCCCACTACGGGCCCACTCTAAGAAACACTTGAAGAGAATCTCTTCGCATCCGCTTCCGAGCGGAGCAGACTCGAGCAGATGTTTGATCATGCTGAACGGCATTTCTGCAATGTTGTCTGCGCTGAGAACCTGATCGAAGCTCCAGCCTACGAAGTCCGAGACGGAGGACACCAGGGGCTTTGCTGCTGGGGAAGACTTGACTGCTTCTGGTAAGGAGAGGTACAGGAGAGCTGTCTCTAGAGATCGAGGCGCTTGGAGCAAAGCAGAGACGCAGCTTTCCATGCAGAGGGCGCTCTCGAAGCGGTCCGCAACTTTGAGGAGGCGGATGAGAGTGGCACTATCGTTCCCTGGAAGTTCTTCCGTGTAGAAGAAACGGATGAGCTGCTGGAAGGCTTCGATGTCTGCAGGAGGAATGTAGGCTTTCCTGGTAGGTTCATTGAGGAGGTACATTTGCTTTCAGCTTTTATTGACGGTCTAATGGCAGCTTTTGTAAGCTGAAAACAGAATGGCACAGGGTGAAAGCAAAAACATTTTTAAGCGGACACTACGTCGGATACGGACAAGCAGTAAGATTGATAAAAGGAAGCTCTTGCAAGTCCCCAACGAGGTAGATCAGCTTGAATCAAGAGAGAAGAGTCTGCTGGCTACTGGTGACAATATGATTTCTTCGATAAGAGGCCATGAGGACAGGAAACTGACTCTCAAACAAGTCTGGAACGATTTCTTTCAAGAGGATTGTTGTTGATGGGAATGCACAGAGAACGGGCCCTGACTTGAGCACACTGCTGAAATCTGAAAGCAACCTAGTAGGATCCTTCAGTAACAAGGCACGGCGAGTCATTACTTGCCTTCAATTGGCAGGCAGATGTCGATCGGCTGATCTTTTGTTCCGCTTTCTCGGAGGCCAGCCTCAAACATCTTCCGAAAGTATTCAGAGCTTGATGCCAGGATTCCGCTGCTGACCGGAATTTTGAGTGGACCTAGAGCCAAAGAAGAACGGGACTTGTGCATTCCTTTCGAAGTCTGCTTCAGAACACGGCATGAATCGATCGAAAAAGTCCTGCTAATCTAATTGAATGACCTTGACTTCTAGAAGACAGTCTTTTCCTGCTTTCAGAACTGTAGGGGAGCTAGGAGCTGAGATATGCTTATGAGCTCCATATTCTGTTGCTATTGAACAGGTTGGACGATAATTTTCAAGGCAAATGATTGACTGTACACGAGATGCACCTACGTGACCCTGAGCGGAAGGTCCAAACTCGCTTGCACTTCAAAACAAACATTCTGAACAAAGTCAGAGCAAAGCAGGTAGGGGGTAGTCAAAAAACGAAACACATAGGGAAAGTGGTTGGCTGTACGCTATTGAAGTTTACGTCCTCACCTGCCTCACATTCATTCCTTCGTTCTTCGCCGGATTTTGTGCCTTCCTCTTCAGGCTCAGCTGGCTGTCTGTCTTCTGATAAAGGCTTCTCTTCGTCAACTTTGTCTGGACGTTCTCCTTCGGCGCGCACGTGCAGAAGTCTGTCGCTATAGATAGAGGACTTGAAGGCAAAGTCAAAAGAGCGCTTCTTACCCATTTTGCTCACGGCTTCCAACGTCTTTGAAAGCGTGCTTCTGAGGAAGGCCGGCTTAAGGGACCAACCATTATACACAAAAGTGAACAGCGTTTTCAACAACAAGGCCTTTACTTTAATTCCACTGCAGACTGAGGCGGCGCGCGGCCGCGGCCACTGGACAGGCTCAAAACCCGGACACGGATTACACCACCAGCAGGTCGCCACGTGGCGCCTTGGCAACGCGTGCCTGGTGCGCACTGCAGACGCGGCCGCGCGGCTGACATAGACCCCAGTTGAACCGCTGGCCGTAGCTGTACAACCTTACTGAGTCAGAAAGTTGATGCAGGCATGCATCTCAATGACCACTTAGCCGTGCAGCATTCCAAGGCCACGCGGAAGAAACGTGAATGGCAATTCTGGTACAGACTCTCCATGGAGACTCGTTCTGCCATGCGGCCTTGATTCGTGAACGGTCGAAGTTTTCTGAGACGGTTGCGCCCCTAGTCCAATCGGGTCAAGGTCCCCCCGGCTGGATGTGCTAAAGGTAGACAATCACGCACGGCGAAATAGCCCGAGAAGTAGAGTCAAGACGACTCTTCGAAGGATCCAGCCACTAGATCAGCCCTCTACATGAACGTGCTCTGGTCTAGCCGAGAACAACCATGAGTTCCGAAAGTCACGAATCATTGATCTTGTTTGCTCGTACCACATCCCTGCTGAGAGTAGGACTCCACCAAAGCTCACCAAGCCGGGGGTTATCGCCTGGGAGTGGGGGTGGGGAGAATTGGATCTCGTATCGCTGCTCGATGGTCCATCGAGCAAGTTCCGCCAGCTCCGGGCGAATTGCTCGGATCCTGACTCGGAGGGGCAGTATTGAGGCAGTATTGACGGGTACTCTAAACCCCCTGAAACTTTACTAATGACACAGACCGCGACGTTCACATCGCTGGGTTACGGTACCGACCACTTGGGTTCGGCGGCCGTGACCGGTAGGTATCGAATTTCTGCTCATCGAGCCGTCCAAGCTCCATCGGACGGACACTGTGTTTCCAATCGAGCTCGTTTTGCCGACACCTGTCGTCGAGCTCCGAGCTCGTGTTTAATACTGCCTTGAGCTCGTTCAAGAATATTCCAATTCTCCCCACCCCGCCTCCCTGGGCTCCGTGATTCTTAAGGCACTTGCATCATGGGACGCCGGGTTACTCATGATTGTCTCAGCGGCCAGCAGAAATGCTAATGCGCTGAATCATGTCTTGTAATTGTAACTTAATCTTGATGAACCTGACGTCATGGTGCGCACTTCCTCCATAACCATGGCCGATTGACCAGTTGGGCTTGCATGAACCCTGGCCAGGTCACTAATTGCGGCTACTCGATCATACGTGCTCCATAATCGCCCGAGGTCAGCTGGCATTCTTGAAGCATTTGGAAACGAGGATTCATATTCCGACCGATGAATTTGGATCGCCTTATACCACGCTCGACTGCACGCTATGTATGCATTGTGATGACGTAAGGATTGGGCCTGAAATGAAATGATTAACAACACATTCATTACTTCCTTCTCTGCCAGGATTTGCGCCTTCTTCAACTCCAGGCTCAGCAGCTGGCTGTCTTTCTTCTGAATAAGGCTTCTCGTCGTCAACCTTATCTGCAGATTGGGCTTCAACGCGCACGTGCAGGAGACGGTCGCTATAGACGGAGGACTTAAAGGCAAAGTCGAAAGAGCGCTTCTGACCCATCTCTGCTCACGGCTTCCGACCTGAAAGAGCGCTTCTGAGGAAGCCCAGCATGAGGGACCAACTACAGAGAAGTGAACAGCGTTTCTAAAGACAAAGCCACGCGAGTACTATTTCTACATAAGCTTCCGCACTTGATTGAGACTCGTCGCTTCGCCGCCCCTTCTATGTCTACACAGCTGTAGACTACATGCTACAGCAGACTCACATGCAGGACTCGGAGCCGTCGATCCGGCGATGGAGGCGGCGCACAGCCGCGGCCGCCGGACAAGATCAAAACCCCGGGCCCGTTACACAGCAGGTCGCCACGTAGCGCCTTGGCTAACGCGCACTCCTGACGCGGCCGCGCGGCTGACAGAATCCTCGATCAAACCGCCGGTATAAGCTCAGAAGTACGTGCGGGATGCAGGCACATATTGCAATATTGCAATGACAGCTTAGCCGTACAACATTCCACGGCCGTGTGGGAGGAACTTCAACAGCAAGTTCGGTACAGACTCGTCATGGAGACTCGTTCTGAGATTGCGTTGCGCCCTTCGTTCGTGAATGATCCAAATTTTCCATTGTATCTTGTACTTGAGTGTGAGCGCGCAGGGGCGCAGAATCTTACGCAGGCCGGGCTTGTGGCGAGCATGACTACCAAATGAAAACATGCATGATGAGCTAGTATTTGAGAGGTTTCTGTCCGAAGGCGCATGATATCTGCCAGCTGACGTGCATGCGAACATTCATGTATAGGATTCAGCCCCGAATGTAAGCCTCGGATTTTGCAAAAAGGAAACAAGACCAGAGATTTGTGTCACAAATTTAGAGGGGCAGCGCCCTTTATCAGCCTATGTCTCTCTGATATATAACTCACTTCGATCGAAGCCGGCCATATGGTGTACGCTTGGACGTAGAGCACCTAGAGCTTCTTGTCAGAAAGAGCTATGCTTCCGTGCAAACTTGCTAAGCAAACGACTTGGACGTCTGGACAGTAGTCAAAACACTCCTCGAACAGACCCCGCTAATCACCCTGATTACATCATCTCTGCGAACGGAGAGACACATCGAGTGCCGTCTTTCACTCCACTGGACAGCAGCTCGCTAACAGTTTCCGACTCGCTTTCTTCCGCCTGGAGGGTAATGAGGTTTCGTTCCCAATTCGACGCCGGCTGGTCCCCTGGGAGGGTCACCTTGGCGTAGTAACTTGCAGCATCTTCCCTAAGCCAGTTGTCTATTCTGTTGGTCGGCGCCCAGCACGTTTGGGACCGGGCACGAAGTTCTCTGTCAAACGTCCAGCTGGCGAGGCTGCGAGAAGGGTTACCGTGAGGGGTTCGGAACATCCCCTCGAGCTGCCTACCACAACCGGGCACGGACAGATTCCACTTCTTCTGGTAGTAGATCCTGTTGTTTGAATGAGAGCATTTACTCCGCTGCCCGTATCCCGAGTGCCCTCCTCCCCTTGTGTTTATGAGGGAGGACGAAGCGCCCGACTCTGGGTCCCCATGGATGTTACTAAACTCGGGGGGCCTGGAAGCGACCATAACACCGCTCAGCTGTAGACGAAGGTCGTAATCACAATCTTCCCCGTATGCAGGCCAGATGTTCTCGTCAAACACCCCTACTTCGGTCACCGCACGCTTGGTGATCAGGAAGACTTGATATGTCGTCAGCTTGTAAAAAGCCACGTCGGGGTTGCTGCTGACGTAGTCATACAGCGTACGCAGCGCGCCGGGAACGAAAGCTGCGTCATCATTGACGATAAGCCACCAAGGCGAATCCAAGGTGGAGTGGATAATGGTGTTCCAGCCACCGGCACAGCCCCGGTTGCACCCGCTTCTGACGACCTTAAAGAAGCTCCTCCCTATCAGCTCTTGCAGCTCGTCTATAATTGCCATCATATCCAGCTCATCCTGCTTGCCGTCTTCTCCAGGAATGGTGTTCACAACGATGACTATGACTTGCACAGGGACGTCAATACTAAGAACAAGCCTGCGGAGCATCGCAGGATTGTTCACCGTGTTGGTCCCTATCACCGGGATCGGAGTCCTCAAGTAGAAACAGGGCTGCCCTTCAGATCTGTCAAGCAGCGGATACGGCTCATTGAAGCAGTTGTATATGGCGGGAATGACAGCATCCGTGAGCCCCAACTCGATGTGCAACTGCCTTCCGCTCAGAGAACCGTTCCGCCAGGCCTCCATGGTTGCCCCGACATCAAGTGGCTGAGAGCCAACTCCCCCGGATACTGTTCTTGCAAGATCTGGGGCTCCAACGCCGAACGCGGCATCCCAGATGCTGAAATAGACCACAATGGCAGTTGTGATCACCGACAGAAACAGAACAGGGGACTGCCTCAAGACGCCCGGGTTATGTCCCGCGGATCCGGACCTGAGGGAACCGCTCAGAAAGCCCATGACTCGAAAGCAATCCGATCTCAGCACGTTGAGGGAAAGGCTGTCAAGCCTGCATGAATTCGTCTAACTATCGTTCAGCTTGTCGCTTTGCTTTGCCGAGGAGACACAGCCTGATATAGCTTCTGACTTTCGTGCTCTGGCACGCGCAGGAGTGGACGGACTTTTGAGGTCCTAGCAGCCCCTCTCTTCAGTCCTGGAGGGCGCCGTCACGTCACAAAAGACAGCAGCCCAACGTTTTGCGGACCGCGAGCCACTTGACGTCAGCGTCCAGCCAAGACAGCGCTGCAACCAATCATACCTAGCCGGTCTCAGCACAGTGGCGGAAACGGGCAGACTGAGCAGTATGGTGGTAGTTGACGCACGGAAACGCGTCAGCCTCGGCCTGTCAAAGGAAATTGCAAGCGATGGGTATAAGCAGTGCGCAAATAGTCTTGTCATGTGATGCAAGGCTGTGTGTGGCGCCCCGAGTAGTCTCATCATGCATTGCTTATACCTTGCCTTTCGTGGTTGTGATGTGACCGCCGTGACGCATCCACGGATAACCCGGAGCGGTCGAACTTCCCCAAGTACCATACCATAAAACTGGCATAGATGCTGAGCCTACCGTGTGAAGTTGGAATCTGTGAAGAAAATGTTTACTTCGAGGAGCACTTCCTGTCACATCACGACTATTATGTGTATGCGTTAGATTCAAGGGACTCCGCCTGGCACTCTCCATGGCCAGTTGTTGAAAGTGGTCCCTCGCAGCGTCTCCAAAATCCACATGAAAGGAAAATTGCAAAACTGAGAGAAGTGCGCATCTGGTCGATCAACCCTGTTGATCTGGAAACGAGCTGCGGACTTGTGGGAACTGTGCACCAGTTACGCTCACTTCTCTGCTTTTTCCTCGGCCACAACAGCGCTAGTACTGACTGTTAACGTCAAGCGGCCTTTGGACCGACTCTAATTCTTCTCTCGGCTTCAAACTTGAATTACCATCGTTCCTTTCCCCCATTTGCCATAATCTTGACGCGCCGTTTCATCTCTCAATTTGGATTGATAGACCAGCAGCTAGAGATTTGCACGCACGCACTGAGGAAGATTCTCAGACTTTCGGCGGCCTTCTTCATCCTGCAACTAAGCACCGGTCGAAGCGCTTCCAAATGGAATTCCGCCCGACTTTCAAGTTCCCCCAGCTATCGGCTAGTCGCCGGAACTGCTTAGTGATTATTCTTTTCGGCTGGGCGGCCTGCTCGTTCCTCTTACAAGGCCTAGGAGCCGCATACTGGGCGACCTGGATGAGTGTGAGCAGCCTGGACCACCCTTTCATACTGAGCGGAACGGATGGGAAGTCAGATACCCTAGTGGCCAAGGGGTTTGGGGACAATCATACCGATATTTGGAAGCACCTTGACGGCAGAGAAGCCTTAGCGCTTTCCAAGGATGAGCGACAGACTTCAGAGTGAGTGCCCAGGCACCTCGGCAATTATCGTCGAAATAGTCATGCCTGCCTGCCCCCTCCGGCCTTTTTGTCTTCGATTCTCGGTACAGACAACACAGAAGCTACATACCATAAGCTGGGCCGGGCATCAGGTTGTCTTTGGAAGATCATGAATTCTTCTGCATGCAGAGAAGCAAGGATTCCGCTGTGCCTATGCTTTCGGCCGCAGCGGTGCTGACAAAGTACTGCGCATTAAATTCGTGCAGTGAAAGTTCCGTTCCCGACTCCGTCGTGTAGCTGGCAGCCGAGAACTGGCCAGGTGTGGTTGAGCTAAAGGGTCTCCAACGTACAGCATTCCAGTATTCATCAAGTGATACATCTTCCCAGTTGCGCCAGTCACAGTCGCACAAATCTCAACAGCAAAACTCTGGTGAGAAGTGCCCATTGAGGAACAAAAACCTTCGAGCCAGGCGGGCTGTTTGACCCGTTTATGGTAGCTCGTAATGACCGTCTTGTTTTCGGAATGAACGTCTTGTCACTTTGCAGAGTGAACCTGCTTCCTCTGGAGCCTTTGCACGAGGAGTTTGTCGCGGGCCGCGCGACTGTTTTCCTGTTGAGAATTCAGAAAGCCGCCAGCAGCGCTCTCGACGTCATGTTCTCGACGCACAAGGACATGGACGAGTGCCAGCCCAACATGCGGGTGCTCGAGGACGTGGAAGGGGAGCGGTGCAACCAGCTGTTCGCTCTCTTGCATTACGCCGAGTATGACCCGGAGACTTGCGGAGGTCTGACGGCTTGGGATGAGTGAGTTGGTCGCAAAAATCCATTGCTTTCTGAACGCGATTGAGTGTGTCTTTTGGTTGTACCGGAAGTCTGATAGTGTTCTTTTCCAACCGAACGGTCGTCGCGGTAGACGTTGTGGTAGACGTACGACCTCAGTCAGTAAAACCGTTCTAGTAGAGAACGGATGGATGATAGCAAACTTGAAGCAGCCGCTTAACTCTGTCCCGCAGCCTAAATTCTGTTACATCTGCTTACTAGGCACATACCAATAAGGGCCGGGGTCGTCGCAACTCGCATGAGTACTTGTTTTTGGGGGCTTCGCAGTCAGACATCTAACAACTTTCAAGAGCCTTCTGCTCCGAAGTATTTGCAAACCCCATACACAGATTCAAAGTTTTCGTGGTCCTTGCTTATGACGATGCACTTTCATGATGCATCTGTTGTCATCTGTGTCCAGAAACCTTTTTCTCTTCCAACCATGATTGACTGTATAGCCGTACAGCGCCCAGTGAACGTCTGAGCTATTGCTGAAACGGAGGAACCTCGAATTTCATCAGGTGCACACGAATGGGCACGCAATTGAAAAATAACACATGTGTCCGCGCCCTTATTATATAAGCTCTCCGTTGGTAAATTGAGCCTTAGCCAGCAGGAAATCCCCCCGAAATCATGATCAAGCGCTCCGACTCTGACATGATTCTGCCCGCATGTCTTGGAATTCCTGGGGAACCAAAACCGTGGGGCTTCATAACCCGTTTGCGGGCAAAGAAGCGGAAACGTTCTAAAAACCTTCAGAGTCACAGAGTGTGACTCGGGCCCACTGGACGCGCTCTGATTTTGCTAACTTTCTGCTTCTCTTCCTTGCAGCCCCGCATGGGAAAGTCTAGACTGTATACCTTGGATCTTCTCGTATACCTACGAGGAAAGCTGGAACCGCCTGCCAACCCCAATCCAAGCCCGTTTGCGGCGCGCGTTTCAAAGCTCGCGGCTTGTCAGCGGCCACTTCTCTTATGGGATCCACTCAATCGGCCATCGGGGCACCTTCGCTTACGTCACCACGCTCCGGCACCCGGTCCACCGGGTCGTCAGCTGGTGGAACTGGAGCATCCAAACGGGAAAGCTGGCGCCACCGGTTGGGGAAAGTGCGTTTGAAGACTTTGTCCGAGACGCAGACTTTCCGGTTGGCGGCTTCCAAAAGAGCAACCACATGACGCGGGTCTTGTGCAACCAGGGAACAGGGTTGGTCTCCGATCTCTCCGAAGAGCGGCTTTCGGAGGACACCCCACTTGAGCTGCTTACTGAAATGACCCAGGAGCATTACCAATGTGCCTTACGCAACCTGCAAAACTTCGCGCTCGTATTTGTCTCGGAACTCATATCGGAGGTCGAGCCCTTGGCCCCCCTCCTTTCGAACTTGTTCCATATGAGAACGACGGTGGCCCCTTTGACAAATGGCACCCAATCCAACCCGACCATATTAGACGAGAGCGCGGGGATGGTCGTGCGGTCCAAGTTGTCGGAAGCCACTACGGCAAAGTTGATGGAACTGAATAAGTGGGACGTTTTGCTGTACGACAAGGCACGCACATTACACGACGTTTCAGTAGCGAGGCTGAAACAATGGGGCGAGAATGCGAAGGTAGAATATAAGGGAGACTATGGGTTTGGACTGTCGAAATCTCGAGTCTATAAACCTTGAGCTTACACTGGAACTCCATGCAAGAACAGGACTGCATGATGACTCTGATATTTGTTGTCATTCATTCAGCCTGCAGATGCCCCGTTTCGATGGTAGTTCAGAATGATTTGTGGCGCGCGCATTGGGTAGCTCTTCAAATCACTTGGCTGCGGTATTTCAGCACCGCCGTGGCCGCACGCATGCACATCATAGGTCGCCGTGCACCTAATAAGGTGATTGCACAAAGTACGTCTGTACGAAATCGAACCTCATAATTCTGCAGACCCGATCAGCAGGACCCTCAGGCTCTTGATGAAAAAGTTGGCGCCGATGTAATTGTTCGAATGGAACATTATGTTCAATAAATGACAGGAGGACAGGAGGGCTTGCTGGCACGCTCTAATATCATGACCATCACTGCTTGTTTGGCATCAATCTACGCTACGCTCAACGAGGGGGGCCCAATATCGAAGGAACTTCAGTGTAACACGGTATTACCTAATTGCTTATTGTGCGGGCCTGAACCGCGCGGCCGCCGCGTCGAATCCAAATTTAGAAGGCTCTGTTCCATCGATGTGATCGATGCATGAGCGGGCACGCGACCTTCGCCGGCCGCTTGGACGGTGCCCACCGGGCGATATTGATCATCCGGCCAGCCCACGTATCGATCATGACAGAGTCCCAGGGCCTTGGACTCACTCACGTGTTCAAAGGCAAAGAGTAGCGCGTGGCCACACTCGACAGCTCACGACAAGCAGATCCTCCGCAAAACGATGCAGCCAAGATCGACCCCCTACTTGAAAGCCAGCACAAACAATTGCTTGGGACGAGAAAAGCTTGCCACCTCCAGACTCCATATGCATGAACGCCAACTGCGCCACGGGATGCTCGAATGATTTCGACGCGTGCGCATCAATTGTTGTCATTCCGCTCAGCAATTGAACTCACATCTCCAGAATCCGAGCTGAGCGATTTGAATATCTTTGATTGATGAACACGTCATTATCAATAGCTGTAGATGGCTAAACTACCGGCATCTTGCAACATTAAAACTGTACAATGCAAGTGCGCCGTGCTGTTGAATCCTAACCTCTAATTTAACCCTCCAATCATTCCCTACTGTTCGTTACGTCTTCTAGAAACTCCGGCAACAGCGCCAGGAGTGCCCCCGCCCCCTCTTCCAAGTCCGAACCCATTTCCCGTGCTCCCAAACCCGAGTCGCCCAACTCGAAAGCTTCCATTTTATACTGCGGCGCGCTAGACAACAACTTCTCTCTACCCACTTCCACCAAAGACGCCAAACTTTCTAGTTGCGCACTTCCGCCTACCCCGCTGGATAGCAACGCGCCTAGGGACGGCGTTTGTCGCGAGAACTCGATGAGCGTAACGTTTTGGTTGAGCGGAATGCCTGCCCTCTCTTTTGCGATCGCGAGTGCTTGGGAGAATCCACCGAGCACGTCGACTAGGCCCTTCTCGAGCGCTTGCTTCCCGGTCCAGACCCGGCCCTGAGCCACCTCCTCTAGTTGCTCGATCTGCATCACATGGATTGGACGTCAAAATCTGCTCCAGAACGTTTCCTTGACTTGGCGCCGTTCCCGTCTCTTCCGAAGCTACCAGACTCGTCTCTTTTCCAAAAACCGATGACTTTTTAAGGACAGCGAAGGAAGTTCGGATGGATGAATTATCATATCGACTGCGGTTAAGGCTCTCAAAGACGCCACGACAATCCGAGAACGAAGCCAAGAAAGTTGTTCTAACAAAAGACCAGTCTGTCATTGGCGCGGGCAGGCCTCGTCCAGAACTCAGAGGAACCGCATATCGTGGACGATTGCAGGGCGCAGACGACCCTTGGAAAGACAACGCAAAAGGAAAAACGACGACGAAGATACAAACATTAAAGGCAGGAGACCGACTCAGACCGTCGAAACAAGCTGACGAGTTCGCGGGACGAGAAGACGGCGAAGATGCATTCGAAGCTCGCAAGTTGCCAAAAGACAGACACAATGCTACTCGGAGGAAAACGGTTTGGCAGGAAAGGCCTACCAGAGCGGACAATTAATGCGAACAACAAACGAAAAAACCCCCTGTAAGAGACGGTGCACAAATCCGGCGGGAACCGCCTCTCAACCTGGACAGCCCGGTCGGGTTAGGCAAACCGAGCAGTCCTGGGAGCTGGCTAACCCCCGTCTCAAGCCCGGGTTAGCGCGAAGTTCCCCAGCGCACAGGTCTTCAACATACAAAATCCTTGAACATGCAAACTTCTAGTACCCAGTCAGCAAGACATGTGACGTCAGCAGCTGACGACAGCGGAGGCGGCGACCGGCACGCACCGACATCTTGCGCGAGAGCGCGGCCTTGTCCCGGAACGTTTTGTATGCGTGCATCGCACTTTTGGCGAAGTAGTCCTCCTCCTCTTCGGTGAACGACCGGTTGTCTGCGTTCAGTTCCGCGAACTTTCCCCTCGAGATAATCTCCTTCGAAAATCCGGCGCGCTTGTACAGCTCGGCTAGGCTGAATTTGCCTGCATATTGAGGCAGCAAGGCGGTGTCAGGCCACTCGATACATATTGTGGAGCAGAGCTGTTGGAAACTGGGTAGCATCGGTTCTCAGCCGCGTGTTCAACAGCCTCTCATAATCTTGCTTTTAAGATCACAACGGAAAGCGTGGAAGACCAAACAAAAAGACAAGGGTGTCTCGGCAGCAGCACTAACGAAGCGTCCTTTTAGAAAGCGCAGAGCACGTTTCTTTGTCTTGTTTAAACTTCAACATTGACATTCTTGGAACGAAAGAGCAAGCCCTCTCCTGACATTCTTGACAAAGCAACGGCTTCTTTTGCGTTTGGGTAAGACTCCCTCTCCAAAGTGGACTGCCGCATGACTTCGTAAAGTGTCTGCACTCCGTAAAACCTTCCAATACAACACTCGCGCACCTTTGCAACATGAGTATTTCAGCAACGATAGCGCCGCAGGGTCGATCTAGAACACAATGGAAGATGAACGTACCGGTAACAACGCCGATGGACCCGGTAATCGTCAAGTCCTCCGCGACAATTGTGTCCGTACCCATGGCCATGTAGTAGCCCCCGGAGGCTGCCACGTCGACCATAGAAGCAATGACCGGCTTCTCTTTCGCGACCATCTGCAACTCCCGCCACATGCTGCAACAAACGAGTTTTCTGCTTCAGATCCAAATGCTGCAAAAAACGATTTCTCTACTTGAGATCCAATCCTGCTGACTCCTTCGACGCACACGTACTGCGACTTAGCGCAGTCACTTCTGCTTGTGAATGGAGACAAACATTTGGAAGCATGGCACGCCTTTTCGACGCATGCGTGTCACGATCGACGCAATCACTTTTGCTTGTGAACAAGCGAAGAATAGGGAAGAATTTCGAGGCATGAGATTGGAAGCATGGCACGCCTTTTCGACGCATGCGTGTCACGATCGACGCAATCACTTTTGCTTGTGAACAAGCGAAGAATAGGGAAGAATTTCGAGGCATGAGACAGGCTAACAGACGCGAAAACATCACACAGACAAATTAGAGAAGAATTTCCAAACATGACACAGGCTAACAGACGCAAAACATCCCACAACCAAAAGAGGGAAGCATTTGGAGGCCCCACGACAAAAGCTAACAGACGCGAAAACATCCGAAACAAAAGAACGACGAGGAACAGACAAAACCGATGCCAAGAAGGTGCTTCAAGTCAAGCCAACTCACAGGTCGGATGCTAGCGCATCTCCACCGGGGCTATCAATCCGCAGAATGACCGCCTTTATCCTCTTATTGTCCCGCACTCGCCGCAGCTGTTGAATCAGCGCGTCGCTGCCAATGCCGCTCCCCGTTCGGCCGCCCTTGCCGCGGCTGATGCCCCCAGCCGCCCGAATGACTGCTATCCGGTCCCGGCCTGCAAGTTCGAGAAAACAACTCGGTTGGAAACTAGGCTGCGAGCAGGTGCCTGACGCACCCACCAAAATGTCGAAGCTACCCACTTTCTCCTTCCTCAGATCTTTCTACACTTTTTGAAAAACTGGCAATTTAGGGAGTCTGGCATCCAGGCCCAAGCTTTTTGAGAATAACACCCACATTCACCCTCAGCAGAAAACGACTCCGAAGACGGCCACATCTCGAAACTTTCTGACCGTTCAGCCCCTCAAAACAACCATCATGATCCATGCCAACGGACGTGGATTGCACCAAACAAGAATGGCCCATAAAGATGAACATGACGACCCATACGTTAGTGCACGGAATGATCTATAAGGACAGAATTTTCGGTATGGTTAGTGCACAGAATGATCTGTAATGAATGATCTATAAGGACAGAAGCTTCGAATGCCGGTAGGCCAACACAACCCTCTACCACATAGCGAAGCACGCAACCTCACAACGCCCTCGGAACCAAGTAATGGAAACCCACCTGTAAGGCCTAGCGTTTTCTCCTTAACCCTCGAGTACCGCCTGTAATCCACCGCCAACACTTTGTCCTCCTTGCCCCCCGTCCGCTTCTTCAAATCCTCCTCAATCTCGTCTGCGTACTTAATGTCCGTAATCCACCCCCCCGCTTTCAGTGCCTCCATTTCGTATACGCCCTCGTTGATAAGAGCCTCGACTTCGGCCTTCTCCTTGCCTGCACAGCCACAGTCCCGTTTGCTGTTTCCACTCTGACGTTAAGGGTTGGCTAAACGCATTAGAAGGGAGTATTCGGAGGAAAGCGAGCAATCTGAGTCTCACAGATGCGCCTCAAGGTGACTTCCAATAAAGGCAATGAACCAATCTCGAGATTCCGTCTCTCCTCTATAAACCAACTGGACATTCCGACTCTTGTCTATGGACCATCTGATTATTTCGGACTCCCGTTGTACTTTCGAAATGTAAAGTACAGGTGTTCCACCTTCCGCCTCAATCGAACCTCTCGACGACTCAACCTTCTGCAGCAATGATTCCTTCCGACCGTCCATTCATGCTCGTAAACGGAGGTAATCAGCCGCCGAATTGCAGTTCAGTCACCATCCATTGAAGAGAACCACAGACGGAAAACCACTGACGAGAGAATCACGACGAAAACGCACAACACTAGCTAGAAGTGAAAGCAGGCGCAACAGTAATAACATTCACAAGAAGCGAGAAGTGCGATCAGCGGCGCACCTCGCGCGGCGGCGGTAGCCTCCACGAAGCCGGTGTAGAGATCGTCGAGCAGCGCGGTGAGCATCTCGCGGTTCTCGGGCGACATGTCCTTACGCGCCAGCTGGTCGCCTGCGCTCTTATATTTGCCGATGCGCTGCACCTGCGGCTCCACGCCCACCTTCTCCAGAACCCCACCCAGGAACGAGCCCTGCAGAGGAGATTTGACGTTCGGTGATTATCATAATTTTGGGAAGGTAACAATTTCTTCCTTTCTCGATGGATGGGTAACACCTGCGGCTCCACGCCCACCTTCTCCAGAACCCACCCAGGAACGAGCCCTGCAGAAAAGACACACCGTTTGATTCGTCGCTTCCTTTCATTGGAAAGATGCCACTTGCGGCTCCGCTCCCACCTTCTCCAGAACCCCACCCAGGAACGAGCCCTGCAGAGAAATGAACGGCGTTCGATGTTCGTCAGAGCGGTACTGCCACCAAGTGTCGCTAAACTTGGATAATCTCGATGACAAAAGAAGACGCAGGGTCCCTTGTCCCGATTCTGAAAGCACACTGCGCCCAGTGACTGGCAAGCGCCCCAGTATGGAACAGGGGAGCGGTGTCGGCGCTCACCGAAACAGAGAGGCCGCGAAGCGACAGGTAAGCGCCTGGGGGCACATAGAGCTCGTTGCAAGCAGACGCCAACATGTACTCCTTCTCGCCGCCAGTCTCAACGTACGCAATCGTGTACTTCCCTGCAAAAAGAGGGATTGAGTGTGATTAAGAGCTGACAAGAGAGGAGAATGAGTAGTCTTGAATCAAGCGAGAATGACTCCAACAACGGCGATTGACGTTTAAGAAGGAAAACCAGCAGTATTGAGGACATCAAGTGCTGTTTACCATCGATCCAAGCGCAAACCAATTTTTAAAACGGATATATTCTAAACGGATCGAAATCGTTTCTCATGGAAAAGGACGACGCAATCAGGAAAGACAACGCAATCAGGACCTGTGACAAGTCTTACTGTAGAATACGGATTTTTGGTTACCAAAAAGGGGTTTACCAACTGTCTTGACCGTTCCTCGAACTCGTCAATCCCTTCCGACATCGAAGCCGCTAGTATGCCTTGCAAAGACTCAAAACCTCTAGCAGAAGTTTGTTCCGTTCTATCACGAACACAACAGAATATAGTAGAAGAAACAATCCCTCACATAACGGAACGTCTGGTACAAAACAATCTCTCACCTGACTTCTTGAAGTACTCGATGTGCCGCCGCAACTCCTGGATCTTGCCCCACCCGCACCCAAGCGGCTCAATTTTCAGAAAGAGACCAACGACACGCGGGTCGTGCGCAGCCTTCCGAAGGTTCTGGCAGACTTGAGTCAACGAAACGGTGTTCGCAAAGGAGGAGCCAAGCTGCTCTTGGAGCTGCAGCGAAATAGAAATGCTAAATTCAGAGAACTATACGTATCCTAAGCACACGCATCCAAACTCCGCTTAGTAGAATCCCTCTACCTCTAGCTGTTTAGATCACGCGATGGGAGTTAGGCAATCAGCAACCTTCCTTCGAGTGTCAAGCCCCACGATCTTAAGACTTGAAAGCTGATTTCGACCTATTCCGTCATTGAAAACAAGGCCATCTCATCATGTTCTCACTGCTGGCTCGAGAAGTCAACATCATAAAGATCTTATCAAATTACTTCCAGACTTCCCTGATATCAATTGCTCCGTATGCGATCCTCATGCAGAGTCTTCTCGTGCAATCTGTCCGAATCCGCACCAATAAAACTGCCGAGAGGTCAGATGACTCACTGCGCCTGAGAGATTCATCGTAAGCACACTGCCCTTCTTGAACTTCTGCCACGGCCATGCGAAGAACATCCGCACGCTCTGCATGAACCGCCCGAACCCCTCGATCTCCTCAAAGACCATCTCCCCGGACGGATACTCCTTTCGCACGATCTCCTGCTTCCCCTCTGCCGCGCCGTTGTTTTCATTTCCAGAAACGGTGCCTTCAGAGGGGGACTTTGTGCTAGAGGGATACTCTGTTTCTGCAGTGGCACGGGCGGTGCTGAAAGTGCGGCGGCCGGAGGGGTATGCAGGAGACTGCCGAGAGAGGTAGAGGCTGGAGGCTTCGCCGAGGAAGGGGCTAGAGAGGGTGGACTGTGCGAGCACCTGCGGCTGGAAAATCGTGGAGAGCGTCAGTCTAATTGGGCCACACGAACATGGAAAAACGCACAGGGTGACGAAAATCAGTCAACATAAAGCGCAGAAACTTATGGTAGCTATGACGAGTGTTGCATACTCAGAGTTGCACACCTCCATGACTCTTCATACTGAATTGAGCTTTGCAGTATACTGGCAGTAAAAGAATCTCTGCCTTACAATGAGCCAGCCATGCCAGTTTTACCAAGAGAGCTTGCTATGCCAATTTCATCGTAAAAGTTCGATGAGAGCCAGATCTACAATTCTGAGAAGGCCCGGACAGGTGGTAGAAGCACATGCAAGCCACATAAAGCGCCCAAGTTGATAGACCTTTCAGAACCAAACTGCTCACATCCTTTCGTGATTCACCTTTCCAAAACCGCATGCGCCGACAGAAAACTTACTTCTAGTGGCTAGCATTTGGGCTGCCAGGACTAGCTGAAAGTGTGATCAGCGCTTGCTCACAAAAAGGAACTCACCTGCTTTCTTGGTAAGCCCCTCCTTTCGATACCATGCCAGCTACTGCTGTTAAGCACAACAACTGAGCGATATGCGCCACATCGGGAGGAAGAAACACTGCGGTGGATCAAAGTCCTCGACGACAAAGCACGTATAGCAAAGGACTGCTGCACAACTGATGACGCCATGACTCGTGGCTCAGCCGGTGTTGGAAGGTGACACTATCTGGATCTTCAAAGAACGTTGATCGCTGATGCAGCCGGCTCAGTGATCTTTAAGAGCCTCCACCGTCCAATGCTGTAAATTACCAGTTGAAAGCTGACCCAACCGCAAGTACGCTTTCGCAACAACGTGTGAAGCCTTCCAAAACGAAAGAACAGCGGGCAAGAAACAAGTAGCTCATCTTCAAGTTCAAGTTCGCGCAGCTGGCAAACGAAGCGCTTTACCTTAGCCAGAGCTACGTCGTCACCGCAGAACGTGGCACCATCCAAGACGTCCACGGCTTCAAGCTCAAGAATTGGGCGGATCGCAACCCCCGGCCTCAAACCTTCCGAGTTTGAGGCTTTCCTGGCGAAGGAATCAAGAGTGCGGGGGCTTTGGGCCCCCGCACTCCGTCTGGTGTGAACAACGCAAGTGGGCCCCTCGAATAGA